CACTTACTTGGAGTCTGGAGCTTAGAAAAATGTCGAGAAATATAAGAATTACATCAAAATGTTCCCACCACACAAGCACCGGTCAGTACACTCAGGCCATCACGTGACTATTTCTACAGATAACCAAACTGTTGTTTTATGGGGCCATAGTTTAGTGCGTCGTTTGGATGCTGCTTGGGTGGCGGATGACAGTTGCCATACTGTCATTTTGGCTCACTTTGTGCTGCTCACCTTTGATGTTTTTTTCATTATATAATTTCTTAAGATAATCTGAATTTATATAAGTAGTTAATTTCAAAATAAATTATCATAGGCCACTTCAACAAGAAAAGTGTGCCATTTTCCGCCATATATATTGTGTTGAGTTTTTATTTTTTCATACGCAAACAGAGCTTCGCAGCATTGAGGTTGATCAAATAGGGTACATGGTGACTTTACATGAAAAAGTATGGCGCCATCCTAGTCACTGTCACTATCAATGACACGGATTCTTTTAAAATGCCTTGGTCCACACTCAAGACTCATAAAACGGGGATGGGTTTGACCACTGATAACATAGTTAGAGTTACTGGCTTGCATCGTCTGCTGACTGCCATGAAAATGGAAATTTACGGTGGAGTTGAAGGTTGTGTTCCCAGTGAACAAACCCCCGACATATGGGAATGGCTGCTGATTTGGCCCCGATGTAGCAATACTCTCCCGACAGATTGTAGTACTAGCCGGTACTCATCTGTACCCTTCTCCTGTTGATAATGTATTTGAAATCCCCTTGCACTGGACAGAGTTTAATCGGCAGTAATTATTCAGAGTATTCACATTTTTGCCTGGAATTGGAGTAGATTTGTATCGGGCTCTCTGATTGGTCAATCCTCAAAGTGATATTTTTCACTAGTGAAAAAAAATTAAAAAAGTGATATTTTTCACTAGTGAAAAATATAACTTTTTTCAGTTTGAGATATCCCTATATTTCACTGCTAAAAATGTAATAAATAGCATACTTTTGGTCGACATATTGTTTATTTCTTGTAGTATTCTGTAAGTCAGTGTCGCGCACATCTGTCCATGAGAATGTCTGTGCAACTGCTGTGAAATATACCAATGTGCAAATGTTAGATTGCGGTGGGTTTTTGTAAATCACTTATGTAACACTGTTGTATCCATGTCTTAGGTGCTTGCTACCTATCCTGCATCATACCACCTTCCGCGGGTGTGAAAGGAAGAAGAGTAGGGGGAGGGGTAGATAGTGTATTTAAGGTATACAGCCATGTCGAAACAATTACAGCGGTAACTGGATAATCACAAGAATCTTCCCTTGTAATGATAACGTCACCTTTGTAAAACTTACAATAAATAGAATCACTAAGTGACGGGAAAGTGTAAATACTTGTCTTAAAACTAGAAAATGTGAAACAGAGAGGAATAAAAAAAAAAAAAAAAAACGGCTAGCAAGAAGAAATTTTGGCTGAAACTCACGAATACTTCTGGTCGCCGAGAGTTGCACTGGTCACCACGAGTAGTTCTGGTCGTCACGATTACTACTGGTCACCACGAGTACTAATGGTCGCCACGAGTACTACTGGTCACCACGGGTACTACTGGTCGCTTGAGTACTACTGGTCGCCACGAGTACTGATGGTCGCCACGAGTACTAATGGTCGCCACGAGTACTACTGGTCACCACGGGTACTACTGGTCGCTTGAGTACTACTGGTCGCCACGAGTACTGATGGTCGCCACGAGTACTACTGGTCACCACGAGTACTACTGGTCACCAGAAATACTACTGGTCACCACGAGTACTGCTGGTCAGCACGAGTACTGCTGGTTACAACGAGTACAACTGGTCGCCACGAGTACTACTGGTTACCACGAGTACTAATGGTCGCCACGAGTACTACTGGTCACCACGAGTACTACTGGTCGCTTGAGTACTACTGGTCGCCACGAGTACTGATGGTCGCCACGAGTACTACTGGTCACCACGAGTACTGATGTTCACCACGAGTACTACTGGTCGCCACGAGTACTGATGGTCGCCACGAGTACTACTGGTCACCACGAGTACTGATGGTCGCCACGACTACTGCTAGTCGCCACGAGTACTGCTGGTCGCCACGAGTACTGCTAGTCGCCACGAGTACTGGTGGTCACCACGAGTACTACTGGTCACCACGAGTACCGCTGGTCGCCACGAGTACTTCTGGTCACCAGAAATACTGCTGGTCGCCATAAGTACTACTGGTTACAACGAGTACAACTGGTCACCACGAGTACTGATGGTCACCACGAGTACTGCTGGTCGCCACGAGTACTACTGGTCACCAGAAATACTGCTGGTCGCCATAAGTACTACTGGTTACAACGAGTACAACTGGTCGCCACCAGTACTATTGCTGGGCGCCAAGAGTACTACTGGTTACCACGAGTACTACTGGTCACCACGAGTACTGATGGTCGCCACGAGTACTACTGGTCGCTTGAGTACTACTGGTCGCCACGAGTACTACTGGTCACCACGAGTACTACGAGTAATGATTGTCGCCACGAGTACTACTGGTTACAACGATTACTACTGGTCACCACCAGTACTATTGCTGGGCGCCAAGAGTACTACTGGTTACCACGAGTACTACTGGTCACCACGAGTACTACTGGTCACCACGAGTACTGATGGTCGCCACGAGTACTACTGGTCACCACGAGTACTGATGGTCGCCACGAGTACTACTGGTCACCAGAAATACTACTGGTCACCACGAGTACTACTGGTCACCACGAGTACTACTGGTCACCACGAGTACCGCTGGTCGCCACGAGTACAACTGGTCACCAGAAATACTGCTGGTCGCCATAAGTACTACTGGTTACAACGAGTACAACTGGTCGCCACGAGTACTGCTGGTCGTCACGAGTACTACTGGTCACCACGAGTACTGCTGGTCATCACGAGTACTACTGGTCACCACGAGTACTGCTGGTCGCCACGAGTACTACTGGTTACCACGAGTACTACTGATCACCACGAGTACTAATGGTCGCCACGAGTACTACTGGTCACCACGAGTACTACTGGTCGCTTGAGTACTACTGGTCGCCACGAGTACTACTGGTCGCCACGAGTACTACGAGTACTGATTGTCGCCACAAGCTACTGGTTACAACGATTACTACTGGTCACCACCAGTACTATTGCTGGGCGCCAAGAGTACTACTGGTTACCACGAGTACTACTGATCACCACGAGTACTGCTGGTCGCCAAGAGTACTACTGGTCGCCACGAGTACTACTGGTCGCCACGAGTACTGCTGGTCACCACGAGTACTACTGGTCACCACGAGTACTGCTGGTCACCAGAAATACTGCTGGTCGCCACGAGTACTATTGGTTACAACGAGTACAACTGGTCGCCACGAGTACTGCTGGTCGTCACGAGTACTACTGGTCACCACGAGTACTGATGGTCACCACGAGTACTGCTGATCACGACGAGTACCGGTGGTCGCCACGAGTACAACTGGTCACCAGAAATACTGCTGGTCGCCACGAGTACTACTGGTCACCACGAGTACTACTGGTCACCACGAGTATCGCTGGTCGCCACGAGTACTTCTGGTCACCAGAAATACTGCTGGTCGCCACGAGTACTACTGGTCACCACGAGTACTACTGGTCACCACGAGTACCGGTGGTCGCCACGAGTACAACTGGTCACCAGAAATACTGCTGGTCGCCATAAGTACTACTGGTCACCACGAGTACTACTGGTCACCACGAGTACTGATGGTCACCACGAGTACTGCTGGTCGCCACGAGTACTACTGGTTACCACGAGTACTACTGATCACCACGAGTACTGCTGGTCGTCACGAGTACTGCTGATGACCAGAAGTATTGCTGGTCACCACGAGTATTGCGGATCACCACGAGCACTGCTAGTCATCACGAGTACTACTGGTCACCTCGAGTACTGCTGGTCGCCACGAGTACTGCTGGTCACCACGAATACTGCTGGTCACCCCGAGTACCGCTGGTCGCCAAGAGTACAACTGGTTACCACGAGTACTGCTGGTCACGAGTACTACTGGTCACCACGAGTACCGCTGGTCACGTGTACTGCTGGTTACCATGAGTACTGCTGGTCGCCACGAGTACTGCTGGTCACCAAGAATACTACTGGTCACGACGAGTACTGCTGGTCGCCACGAGTACCGCTGGTCGCCACGATATCTGCTGGTCACTACAATTACTGCTGGTCACCACGAGTACTGCTGATGACCACGAGTACAACTGGTCACCACGAGTACTGCTGGTCACCACGAGTACTGCTGGTCACCACGAGTACTAATGGTCACCAAGAGAACTGCGGATCACAGGAAGTATTGCTGGCTACTAACTCTACTAACACTACTGCTCACCACGAGTATTACCGGTCATAACGTAGAGATTATGTTCCTCTTTCTTGATTAGAACAGATAAAAAACACATGGGATTGAACAAATCTTCAGCATTCCTGTTTAACGAACTCGGTTTATTATCGACAAATGTCAAATCCTCTCTGTTTTCTTTTTGTTTGTTTTTCTTGATACATTTTCAGCTATTCATAAAGATAAAATAACAAGCGCATTTACTATACATATGGTTTGTTGTATTTGTAGACAGCTGTCTAGCAATGATGTTTCCTATTGAAGCAAACATTGTGTTTGCTAACATTGTATGTGCGTGATCTGAATCAGAATTGGTGCAGTAGAGAACAGATACCAACAAAAAGCTGTAAATGTGCACCAGTAAGAACCGGAACTAGATAAAATTATCTATACTATATTCTAGCTTATAAATATCACATTTGATATCATATGAGGAAAGATGTCATGAATATATTGATATTATTAACCGTTTGGAGACAAGGCTGTCAAACCAGTCACCCAGTTAACGAGCACGTGGGAAGCACATGCTTCAATAACCATGCCTATACGAACCAGTAGAGTAACGTAATACTTACACTTCTTAGCCTTCTTTTATCAACTGTTCACAGCTTCTCCTTGATTTCGACTTTTATCGTATTTTAGTCCTGCTCCGACTTTAACACATGGAAATGTTAAATACACGCGCATATCACATGAGTTCGTTATGTTTGGAATGCAGCATGGAGTTGACCCCGGTCCAAAAACAAGGTATGATAACTGCCTTGTCACATTTGGCAACAGCGAGGAGTGAGTGATTAGTTCTTACGGAACATACAACATCACATACTATTAAAGCTGCATGTGTTATTTCGGTATCTAACATTTAACTAAATCGGCGTCCATGTATCGACATTTATCTGGTTCAGTATCCATGCATCGACATTTCGGGATTGTTATCGATGTACCGATATTTACCTGGTCCAGTATCCATGCATCGACATTTCGGGATTGTTATCGATGTACCGATATTTATCTGGTCCAGTATCCATGTACCGACATTTATCTGGTCCAGTATCCATGTATCGACATGTTATCGATGTACCGACATTTATCTGGTCCAGTATCCATGCATCGACATTTCGGGATTGTTATCGATGTACCGATATTTATCTGGTCCAGTATCCATGTACCGACATTTATCTGGTCAAGTATCCATGTATCGACATTTCGGGATTGTTATCGATGTACCGATATTTATCTGGTCCAGTATCCATGTATCGACATTTCGGGATTGTTATCGATGTGATATTTACCGATATTTATCTGGTCCAGTATCCATGTATCGACATGTTATCGATGTACCGACATTTATCTGGTCCAGTATCCATGTATCGACATTTCGGGATTGTTATCGATGTACCGATATTTATCTGGTCCAGTATCCGTGTATCGACATGTTATCGATGTACCGATATTTATCTGGTCCAGTATCCATGTATCGACATTTCGGGATTGTTATCGATGTACCGATATTTATCTGGTCCGGTATCCATGTACCGGTATTTATCTGGTCCAGTATCCATGTACCGACATTTATCTGGTCCAGTATGCAGGTATCGACATGTTATCGATGTACCGACATTTATCTGGTCCAGTATCCATGTATCGACATGTTATCGATGTACCGACATTTATCTGGTCCAGTATCCATGTATCGACATTTCGGGATTGTTATCGATGTACCGATATTTATCTGGTCCAGTATCCGTGTATCGACATGTTATCGATGTACCGATATTTATCTGGTCCAGTATCCATGTATCGACATTTCGGGATTGTTATCGATGTACCGATATTTATCTGGTCCGGTATCCATGTACCGGTATTTATCTGGTCCAGTATCCATGTACCGACATTTATCTGGTCCAGTATCCATGTATCGACATTTCGGGATTGTTATCGATGTACCGATATTTATCTGGTCCAGTATGCAGGTATCGACATGTTATCGATGTACCGACATTTATCTGGTCCAGTATCCATGTATTGACATTTCGGGATTGTTATCGATGTACCGATATTTACCTGGTCCAGTATCCATGTATCGACATTTCGGGATTGTTATCGATGTACCGATATTTATCTGGTCCAGTATCCATGTATCGACATGTTATCGATGTACCGACATTTATCTGGTCCAGTATCCATGTATCGACATTTCGGGATTGTTATCGATGTACCGATATTTATCTGGTCCGGTATCCATGTACCGATATTTATCTGGTCCAGTATCCATGTACCGGTATTTATCTGGTCCAGTATCCATGTACCGACATTTATCTGGTCCAGTATCCATGTATCGACATTTCGGGATTGTTATCCATGTATCGACATTTATCTGGTCCAGTATCCATGTATCGACATGTTATCGATGTACCGACATTTATCTGGTCCAGTATCCATGTATCGACATTTCGGGATTGTTATCGATGTACCGATATTTATCTGGTCCAGTATCCATGTATCGACATTTCGGGATTGTTATCGATGTACCGATATTTATCTGGTCCAGTATCCATGTATCGACATTTCGGGATTGTTATCGATGTACCGATATTTATCTGGTCCAGTATCCATGTATCGACATTTCGGGATTGTTATCGATGTACCGATATTGATCTGGTCCAGTATCCATGTACCGATATTTATCTGGTCCAGTATCCATGTACCGATATTAATCTGGTTCAGTATCCATGTACCGATATTTATCTGGTCCAGTATCCATGTATCGACATTTCGGGATTGTTATCGATGTACCGATATTGATCTGGTCCAGTATCCATGTACCGATATTGATCTGGTCCAGTATCCATGTACCGATATTAATCTGGTTCAGTATCCATGTACCGATATTTATCTGGTCCAGTATCCATGTACCGATATTTCTCTAGTCCAGTATTCATGTACCGACATTTATCTGGTCCAGTATCCATGTACCGATATTTATTTGGTCCAGTATCCATGTACCGACATTTATCTGGTCCAGTATCCATGTATCGATATTTATCTGGTCCAGTATCCATGTACCGACATTTATCTGGTCCAGTATCCATGTACCGACATTGATCTGGTCCAGTATCCATGTACCGACATTTATCTGGTCCAGTATCCACGAACCGACATTTATTTGGTCCAGTATCCACGTACCGACATTTATCTGGTCCAGTATCCACGTACCGACATTTATCTGGTCCAGTATCCACGTACCGGTATTTATCTGGTCCAGTATTCATGTGCCGATATTTATCCGGTCCGTTATCCATGCACCGACAATTATCAGGTTCGGTATCTGAGGACTGAAACTTTTCTGGTCTGGTATCCGTATGCCGATATTTTATCGATTAGCGGCTGGAATAGATAAATAAACAAATGAACATATATGCTTTACGGAAAGGATGTAAAATCCCATAAGACATATTCAGTTTTCTGAATATTCATATATTCCTTCTCTTTAAATCATTGAAGTTTTAAAGACCTACTTGGCCACAAGGCAAAACTGTAGTCCGTTTCTCTGTGCTCACAATAACGACAGAACTATTTATCGTCATTTCGCAGCGATATAACGAAAATACGACGTAACTCAAAGCGAAATAACGAAATTGTGAAGTCGCTAATTAAAGGAGCGAAATAATTCGCCTCGCTAACTATCGATAATCATCGTTATGTCGCCTCGCTAATTATCTTCTGTTCATCGCGATAAAACGATAATTATTGTTGTTATGTCGCCCCGCTTAATATCGTCTTTTCGCCGCGACAAAAAGGTGATTATCGTCTTGTCGCTCCACTGATCATCGCCTTTTTGCCTTCCGGTATGTATGACGTACTCATATGTTTTTCGTTGCATCGAACATATTAAAAAGTAAAAAACGTCGTAAGTGTGTACATCAACTGAGATTTTACACACTATACAAGCATGTAGTGATACCTTTTTTTTATATTGAAGCTTGCATTACTGGGTATGTTCTGCAGGCGTATAAATGGTTTTATGGCGATAAACAATCACCAGTTGCATTCCTATCAAATCTCGAATTTCTACTTTTTTTAAACAACGAAGATAGAGATTATATTTATGCTCAGTTGAATATGAAAATATATTCTTACGTAATGTAAATGATTTCAGAATTCAATGTGTTTCAGAAGTACATGCAACGACTATAACTTTTTGGTAAAAGAAAAACAATTTTATCTTCTAAGAATAAAAATAATACCGTTTATCTTCTTATTTAATGTCTTTACCTGTAAACAGAGCTGACTTCCTGTATTAGGTAAAAATCGAACCTAATCGATAACACAAAGTATTGATTAACACTTTAAGGCTTTGAAGGAACTAAATGGTTAGACTTCGTCAGATTTTCCTTGGCCTTTGATTTCGGGTTAACATTGTAATACTTAGAATTAGACTCTTCACAAAATTATAAAACTCTCTGAGAGAAATTGATAAAGATTATCAGTTTCAAACTAACGCTAGTCGACACTCGCTATTGTGTCTACCACCCACCGCTGTTTTGATTGGAGATAGCCGAGTTCATCACGTGACCTTATGAAGCCTCGTTTTATGTATAATTATTTAATTAGCCAAAATTTAATTTGCCGGGCATGTTTCAATTCTTTCTTTGTAAAATGACCTCTTGCTTCACGCTATACACGTGACAGAACGAAATAAATTAGTTTGAATTAATCCGAATCTAAAATTGCATGCGCAAACAGATTGTTTACAATCTCCGAACGATAATGATAAGAAATAGTGTTGGGTCGCTCCTATTTTATTTGAACTTTTCGATGTTATCAATCAAATAGTTATGCAAACTTTACAATGTTATAATTAACAGAAAGTACACAATTTTAACAGATATTTAAATGTTATAATGTTTTTTATCAGTTATGAAATGAATATCTAACCATTTAGTTCTTTTAAATTCATACAATATTCATGTATTAAAATTGGATTTAAACGCCATTACTGTCATTATTGATTTAATTAACCACGACGTTACTTCATAACTGTATCCATTGTTTCCTTATAACTGTGTGGTTACACTGATTGAGTTTGGAATTAATACTAAATTCAGTTTTCGTAAAAAAAAAACTTACACTAGTTTTCAGCAAATTGATTTCGATTTGTTCATATGAAATAGTCTACTCGAGAATGTTTTTATCGTAACATTACATGTCTAAAAACCGTTTTTGAAATTGTTGAGATTTGTAAATTTCTAGGTTACCTGAAAGATGTTGGTCTATATAATAGACTAGGACGTACCATTTTAATCTTTTGTGTTAATACACCCATTTAAGATTTCTAGCATTTGTCTTTTACCCTTTGGTTTGTTTAATGTTATTTCCTTTGGGATCGCTGTGTGTTTTATGGAGATACCACTTACTGTAAAAGTACATTTCTAAAAACAACGAAAAACATCTAACAATAATTAAACCGTAAAAGGAATGACACTGAGTAAAATGCTTGACTGAAAATATTGTATCCATTCTCCGTAGACAACAAGTTTCATACAGACTTTAGATCAAATACTTTATTTTATACCTACTGACTTGCAGTTGAATGAAATACCTCTTCGATCGAATAATTTTCAAATGTAATTTGAAATTCGACTACAGACGATCACATGTGATCGAACCTATCCATTACATGTATCTATTTTATCCAGTTAAGGGGATACACATGTACAGCTTGAACTGTTTCAGTTGTTATTGCATGTTGTCGACGAACACCTAGTGATCTGATTCTATTATCCGATCCATTCTTTATCACACTTTATATTTTAATTTCCTGTCGATTTTGTAGTAGAAAAATCTTGTAGGCGAAACAAAATATCTAAATATTATAAAATATAAAATGATATATAGAGCGAATGGTAAAAAATTACATAACTAATGGAAAGAAACAAACCTTATACAGATGTGATGTCGGTAGAATTAAAATAATCTCCTAGTATATGTATGTATATGTGAAGCCTGCGAAAAATTATCCACGAAAAAAGGTTCCAGGAAGACCTGGTGATAGCATATCGTATATCAAGTTAGTTTATGAATGCATTAGACAGATATACTTTGTATAACTTATCTTAAATGAATATTAATTGATGTTTAAGCAATCTTTTATTCTTTGAATCTAACAGATATATTGTATTAAGTTAAACAAGGTACTATAACCTTCGCCCAAAAGACTAGCGTAGCTGTCCTGGCCCCACTTGTATAAAAAATCTCAACTTGAGATTTCCTCAAGTCGAGATATTCCTCAGCTGATATCTCCTCAAAAACGGCTTGTATAAAATTTTCTCAAGGAACAGGAGGAAGGCATCGGCTAGGATGTCCTGAAATTCCTTGAGGAATTTTCATACAAGATATTTTCAAGGAGATATTAGCTGAGGAAAATCTGGGCTTGAGGAAATCTGAAATTGAGATATTTATACAAGTGGGACCAGCTCTTCTCTGTCATCTTAATTACAGGGTCTTGTTCCTCATGTGTAACCGGAGCACGAAAAGCCGATAATCATCGTTTTGTCGAGGAGAAAAGACGATAGTTAGTGAGGCGAATGGTTTCGCCCCGATAATAGCGACTTCACAATTTCGTTATTTCGCGTTGAGTTATGTCGTCTTTTCGTTATGTCGCTGCGAAAGGACAATAATCAGCGGGCGACAAAACGAAACAACGAAATGGCCGAAATCAACCACCATACTATGAGCTCAACGTTTGTTTTTATTACAAACGAGTATGATATGCTCTTCTGGCCTGCAACGCTGAAAATACCGACCGAGTTACATCTAACAAAAGTCTTTCAGTTCTTGCATTTGCTTGTCCAAAAATACGACGAGATATTTTTCTTTTAGAACTTGAGACTCCCAATGACTATTCGAGCGAAGCTCTTCTTTTTTTCACAATTTCTGAAACCTACTTTCTCAGTAAAGTTTGATAATAAACTTTCTGATTTTCCAGTCAAAGCATTTCCATTTGTTTTCTGGCGATATTCTATCCATTTACTTCCTCCTCTGAAAGGCTGATATTGCCATCAACACCGCAATCAATCCGTATGTTAATGGACTCCAACTTTGCCTCTTTTTCACAGATAAGCTTGAGCTTATATCATTTGTACATATGCAGAATGACGTATAAGCAGGAACGAGCTTATTTTTTTCGATTTTGTATTATTTGACTTTGACTTAAAACACAACGACCAACCAGTTTTTTTTATTGGTTTGAAGAACATTCGCCAGACTGCTGCAATGTTTTATCGGCGTGGGTAAGCCCAAGCTACATCGCACAGCACCAGTGTAGTCTAAAGCATTTCGTGTCCGTATGTTTGAGCTCTCCGAAATTATACGATGGAGCATATAGTCGCCGCCTTTTTGTATTTGTTATCAGCGGTTATCGTCAGTTTGATCGTTACAAATAAACGCTTTCACAATTTTAGTCAATTCTTGTTTCTTTTCTCGACTTTCCTTGTTATTTCGCTAAGTCTGTCACTTATATATTTTCTTCTATAGAAACATTTGTCACTTTTCGTAACTCATTTCATTTATTCCAAAATACTGGCATTATTACTCCTTTCACCACAGCCGCCAGTGTCGATTTAACTTTTTCAGCATCAGCACTTTTCTTTTTCAAATGACACATTTCTTCCAAGAAATACTGTCGCTTGTCGTATGCCGAGTTGCGCAATATTCAAATACTGAATGTCGAACCGTGCAACTTTAAGATTTCGGGTATGTTAAATGTCGTTTTGTCGATCTACACAATCTTACGTCGAGCTGAGTAACATTCAAAGTCAGAGTCATATCAATGACTAAGAAAATACCAAGATAGTGAAAACAACTTTTCTGGATATGCCGCAGTGGCCAGTACTAAACAGGGACGAAGGGGGGCCACATACATCTATGACCAAGTGTTAACAAAGCATGCCGAATTGACTACAGTATATTGTTACCACCATGTTTTTACTCTATAATCTGTTTACCGTCTCATCACACTATTTTCAACCTTAGTGTACATAGGATTATAGTACAGCTGAGAAAGTTGATTGATTCCTACCGTCTTGTACACTACGACGCCAGTGCTAGTAAGCTCCACACTGGTCATGTCTGATGGAGGTGACGATGTGGTCATTGAAACGTCACACTAATATCTTCTACTAGTCGTGTTATTAGAACTTCTATAAGTGTACAACACATGAAATGAAGTAACATATACATATAATTTCTAGAGATAAAACATCAATGTTCCAACCAATAGAACCACAAGGTATGGAAAGATATCTTTACCTTAAAAGCCCTCAGATGTGGAAACATTGAATGCGCTGATGTTTTATTTATATCTTAATTCAAATCATGTCTTTTGTAAAAATAATTCTGTAGAGCTAATATTTCCTTTGTTTGTTACACTTATGATGTGAAGTAAATCTTCTTGTTGAAAGGAAAGAACAGATAAAGAGATGAAAGGACAAGTTGTCATTCCCATCCCAAAAGGGTTATCAGAGACCACCAAGGAGTATGCTACTCCCCTAATGCTGCAAGCCAGGACATCTCATAAGACGCCTTGATAACACCTAAAGAGAGTATCCCAAATGCCTGTAAACAATCTGAAGAACCAACCACCCATGGTATATTAGTATAACAGTTATATCTTGGGTTTGACCTGGAGTCTATCTGCAGGAAATGGGCATTAACAGATAAACATATATAGAGGAAAAACTAGTTTCAAGAAGCAAATCAAGGAAGCCATCAATTTACCAATATTTCTTTATACTCCAAAGTACTGATACAAGATACAAAACAAACATTTGCAATTTGTTTATTTTTACATTCATCCATGCCATACAGTTATTTCATATTCAATAGGCAATTGCAATGTATAACTAGTGCAACAGAACATGTGGAAATGTATCTATGTATAACTAGTGCTACAGAACATGACATGGACCTGTATAAATAGTGTGACAGAATGTGACGTGGACCTGTATAAATAGTGTGACAGAATGTGACGTGGACATTTATCTATGTATAAATAGTGTGACAGAATGTGACGTGGACATGTATCTATGTATAAATAGTGTGACAGAATGTGACGTGGACATGTATAAACAGTGTGACAGAATGTGACGAGGACCTGTATAAATAGTGTGACAGAATGTGACGTGGACATGTATAAATAGTGTGACAGAACGTGAGGTGGACGTGTATTTATGTACAGTGTGACAGAATGTGAGTTGGACATGTATTTATGTTAGTGTGACAGAATGTGAGGTGGACATGTATTTATGTATAGTGTGACAGAATGTGAGGTGGACGTGTATTTATGTATAGTGTGACAGAATGTGACGTGGACATGTATAAATAGTGTGACAGAACGTGAGGTGGACGTGTATTTATGTACAGTGTGACAGAATGTGAGGTGGACATGTATTTATGTTAGTGTGACAGAATGTGAGGTGGACATGTATTTATGTATAGTGTGACAGAATGTGAGGTGGACATATATTTATGTATAGTGTGACAGAATGTGACGTGGACATGTATTTATGTATAAAGAGTGTGACAGAATGTGAGGTGGACATGTATTTATGTATAAATAGTGTGACAGAATGTGACGTGGACATATATTTATGTATAAATAACACTATAGAACACGAGGCGAGTCCACAAACCTGACATGTATTAAGTTACTCAGACAGTTTAATCATTGACAAACTTTAGTGAAAAATAAATAGATGATCTTTGACAACATTTCATTCATAATTTAATCTTCACTGAACTATTAAGCTTAGAAAATGCCTTTCATGATCAAAGGTATTTAGAATGAAAATCAGCTGATCTAATAATTTGTCTAATGATTGGAACTGTATCAAATTTCATTCAAGATTTCTAGTGTAAGCAATGGGCGAAAATTAACACCGCAACATTTATTTATTTTCTGTTCACTCTCGCAAGGTCAAGGCCAAGGCCAAGACCATCATCTTTGAAATCCAATTATCTATATCTCCACTACCAATGTCACACACATCAACATCATTAAACATTAATATGATTCTGACATTTCCGTAACCATACAAAAGTTAATATCTAGAGTGGTATCATGTCTGTGACACAACAGATTACACACCTTGCGGTCATGAATTCTCAGTACTTTTCCTGTTTTTCTGACAAACTGTCCTGTAAATTCTCCATCATTACTCGAGAGGGTAGGTCCTGGACTAAGGATAGTTGTTTATCTCAGTCTTGTAAACTCTCTGTACTCTCCCATATGTTCAGACCTTGCACTTATTCTCCCCTACATTTGCCCTCGTGACTGCTCACTAAGTTCAATCTTGTGTCACTCTATCAAAATCAGTACAAAACACCATCGCTATGACGATGACCCCGGTTTACAAGGTGACATTTTTTCCACTTTCTGTTTTGTATCATTTGTCTCCTTAACCTCTGTCATTTCTATGTCCTTGTTTGTTTCATCTTTGATCTCTGACATATCTACATCATTTGATTCATCCTTGACCTTTGCCCTTTCTATGTCCTTGGGCTCTCCTTTGATTTGTCCATATTCCATCTTATGCTGTGCATTCCATTCTAAACACTTCCTGATTTCCAGGCCAATAGCCTTAGCCATGGGAGGTGGTACTGCATTACCAACCTGTAACAAAAGTACACAATGAATGGTCTTGATGACAAACCGATGCTGTAACACACTTTCAGATAGATAAAAGTTCACCAACTCACCACAGAAAGATTATTGTCCAATCATTTACCACAGAACAGATCATTGTCCAATCATTTATCACAGAACAGATCATTGTCCAATCATTTACCACAGAACAGATTATTGTCCAATCACTTCCCACAGAACAGATAACTGTTCACCAACTTTCTTCCAATAGCCACTAACTTACTATTATAAAACAGACAATGGGATGTTTGTTGATTATTATCGCTTTAAATTATGGAAGCCTATTACTACAACTTTAAAACTTTTTTATTTTATGTTTTACACAGATTAATGTGTAAATCTGTAAATTTTACACATTATTCTGTAATTTTACACTTTGATATATAAATTTTACACATAAGTCTTGCTTAATTGCCTGTCAACCACACGGAAAATAAGACAACCATTAATATATAGAATTTACAGATAAAAGTTGATTTTTTTCCAGATTAAAGTGTAAAATTTACAGATTAATGTATAAAACATAAAATAAAAAAGTTTAAAAGTTGCACTAATATGTTTCTGTACTATATTCCTAGATGAACTTTAGAAAATTTATTTTAATCACAAAATACATGTAAACTGTACAAGAAGAAATTTGGTTTACAGTAGCAGAAACCCTGCCAGTATTTGTCCACGAGATAATTTGTTAAACATAGATGTAATTAGGACAAAAGCTAGTACCTGTCTGTGACGGTCCAAGATGGTACCAAAGAAGCGGTAGGTGTCTGGAAATCCCTGTGACCGGGCACACTCTCTAACACTGACCACACGGTGCTGTTCTGGATGTAACACACGGCCCTGGAATGTATGGACAAAACAGAGTTATAGAACAAACTAAGCAGCAGCTCTTAATCAGAAACAAACAACTATGACAAATATACAGAGAGATTTGCTTCAGAATAACAAAGCAGAAATGAATTGATGTTAAATCACCATAGATGGCTAAATACCTTGTGGTATAACCTTCTTCATTTGCTCAGAGGTTTTGTTAATTTTCAGTATTTAAGGTTAAAATCAAGGTTAAACAAAAGTCTCAGATTCTCTGCTACATAATATTCACTGAGCTGATAACAATGGATTTCCATTGGAAAACAACTGCATATTAAGTACAAAATGACGACTTGTATTGATATTCAACTTGACTGGTTTCTTATAGTTACCTGTTTGCCCATGGGTTCAGGATTAGTGACAGTGGTGGAGAAGAATCCGTCCCACTCGAGTCGGCCATACAGTCCTGCCCAGTTGTTGTGACGGTTGCCTGTGTGAGGGAGACACCAGGGGATCACAGTATTGAACTGACGGTCCATAGTCTCACAGGCCTTTCCTTCAGCACAGGAACATACACCTCTCAGACTACCCTTGCTGTTCTTTCCCTTCTGCTTGTCGTGGTGGGTATATCGCCTATTCAACAAAGAGGCGGGTACATAGACACATGTCAATTAATGAACTAATGACAGACTATTATACTTTTGCCGAATAAAATTAATTCTTAGTTTCTCAGGCATTTTTTTTTAAAAATCCATGAGGGAGGCAGGTTTTTTTTGGTTTTGTTTCAGAAACAATGAGGCAGGTATGCATTTTGTTTTCTAAAATGATAGGGACATCAAGGTCTCCATCAAGCAACATTGTCAAAATCAATCTTGTTTTTGTCAACCATTGCCGACATGTTGTAGTTTTCAAATTGCTGTAGAAATTCCCATTCGATGTCTAACTTTCTCTGCTGAATGGCTAAGTACAGCTCGGAAACGGTGCAACTCACTGAATCTAGAGACAATGCTCCACAGGAGTATAATCTTTGTCCCTACACTTATTTGTACTGTTAGCACTGCCATTTGGGCATGGGCGGAAATGCTGTTTGGAAACTAAATTTCAAAACAGCACATTCCAGTAACGGTGCATGCCGGAGAAATCTGGCATATTCGGACAATGCTGATTTTTTATGCGGCGGTTTTCTTTTTAATTTTTTCATATTTTCTAATAAAAATGGTCAATGCGGCGCTGAAATTAAGATGCGGTGGTGCCTGAGAAACAAAGAATTAATTTTATTTGGCCTTATGGAGTGGCTAGCAGGACAAACACATGCTCTAAATTTCGTTTAAGTAATTAGACACTCTTTGACATGTTTCGGAATATTTTCATCTGCTCTTAAAACAAAACCAGTAAAAGATTTGAGTGTGATGTTTTGATGACTATGTTGTCATCTTCATCAGACAAATTAACAGTGTGAAGCATATTAGCACTGATGTACATAGATGATGAGATTGTACTTTTTGGGCTGTACTATAAGTGTTAAAAAAGGTAGCTGAATTGACTACAGTACATTAATACATCTTGTGTTGGTTGATTCCTTTCCGTCTCATACTCTAAGTCTGTCAATGCTAGTGCGCTCTACACTGGCCATTTTCTGATGAAGATGACCATATAGTCCTCCAAATGTTACACTCAAACCTTTTACTGATTGTTCTATAAGAATAATACATATGCCTTCACATGTCATTTATAGCTAGACAAGAAACTGTTTTATGAGTGAACAAAAAGCCTGAAATGATGTAGCAGTACATATATACAATAAACTTACAGTTTTTTAGTCTTGGTTCCATCAGAAAGCCTGATTTCCAGGTTAGGGAGTGAGCGCCAGTCAGATCCAGGGGCCAAGGGAATGTGCTGCATACGGGTATGGACAAGAGCTGACATCTCTTTACAAATGTGATCTCTTAGAATAGGCTGGTGCTGCTTTCCACGGATCTGAAACAAAGTTAGGGTTCAATATGCAAGAAAGCCCTTTAAAGATTTTTGGTATGAGAAGATGGGAGAGTCATGGATGCAATTTAAAATGAAAGAATTTGGAGTTAAAGAGATCAAGATAAGATAAGGAGTCATTGTCAAGTCTGTATCAACAGGGATGTGTATTTACCAGTTTTTGGAAGTGGGAGTGGCCATCCCCTTGGTAAGAGATTTCTTCTGCTTTTGCTCCGTTGCGAATCTCGGGCAAATCTGACATTGTATCCCGAACTGTGATGGTCCGGAAAGGTGCAGCCTCCATTCTAGTAATGTTCGAGCTAAACTGAAAAAGAGATAGGACATTTTGAATAAAATGTGGAAGGTCCAATGTCCTATCAATGTCAAAGTTCAGAGGTCCCAGAATGTCAAAGGTTAGAAATCTTATGAATGTCAGAAGTCCTGTTAATGTTATGAGATCAGAAGATCTATCAATGTAACATATCTGAGGATCTAACAACGAATCAGAATGGAGGATCTTACAACTAAACAGGTCAGAAGATGTAACAGGTCAGGTATATAACAATGAAAAAGGTCAGAGGATGTAACGGGCCAGAGGATGTAACAGGTCAGGGATATAACAATATAACAGGTCAGAGGATGTAACAATGTAACAGGTCAGAGGATGTAACAATGTAACAGGTCAGAGGATGTAGGTCAGAGGATGTAACAATGTAACAGATCAGAGGATGTAACAATGTAACAGGTCAGAGGATGTAACAATGTAACAGGTCAGAGGATGTAACAATGTAACAGATCAGAGGATGTAACAATGTAACAGATCAGAGGATGTAACAATGTAACAGGTCAGAGGATGTAACAATGTAACAGATCAGAGGATGTAACAATGTAACAGATCAGAGGATGTAACAATGTAACAGATCAGAGGATGTAACAATGTAACAGGTCAGAGGATGTAACAATGTAACAGATCAGAGGATGTCAGAGGATGTAACAGGTCAGAGGATGTAACAATGTAATTAACAATGTAACAGATCAGAGGATGTAACAATGTAACAGATCAGAGGATGTAACAATGTAACAGATCAGAGGATGTAACAATGTAACAGATCAGAGGATGTAACAATGTAACAGATCAGAGGATGTAACAATGTAACAGATCAGAGGATTAACAATGTAACAGATTTAACATTTGTTTGGAAAGTCTAAGGACAATGTTCAAACCTTTTTCTCATCTACTTGTACAGACAACTGCATTGCCCGAGGAGCAAACACATGTAGAGGTTCTGGATAGGAGGGCAACTTGTGTCCTGGGGCTGCTGCCAGGATGATAGCTCTAAAACATAATCACAGGTTGATCTTATCACAAGCAACAAATTATTATAAAACAAACATAATAAAGGAGTTAGAAATCTTTGTCAAAGTTAATTTTACCGACAACAAAAAGCAACATTTTGATTGTTTATGATGTCCCTACAAAAGAAGCTTTTTAAAGAGACGTGACTTTGATTGCATTACAGTTGTTTTACAAATAAACATTGAAATCTATAAATATCCAGTATTTAATTTGTCTAGGTGTGTTATACATTTTTAAACCATATAATTGATTACCATAAACAACAGCCTTATTATATGGGGATAGTTGTGTCTAGAATGTTGAATTCGGTTTTGCTAACCGCAAATGACCAATGTTACAAGATCTGTACAAGTCCTGGGTCTGACTAAGATCATGATAACAGTTATCTTACCTCCTGCGGGTTTGGGCAACTCCATAGCTGCCAGCTTGTAATACTCCAAAGGTGCACTGGTATCCCATACGGATAAGGCAACGCAGGGCCAGCTTCAGTACCATGCTGCGCTTGTAGGAGACAAAATTTCTCACATTCTCCAACAAGAAGTAGCGAGGTCGGTAGTAGTCACAGTATGATAAGTATGATGCGATAAGCGAATTCTGTAAAGATGAAAATTCTTGTTTCTAGTGAGGAGGTTTATTACAGAGTGTTGAGTTGAATTCTGTCAGGTGTGAAAGAAATGTTTAGTACATGTTCAGCAAGCTGTAGCAGGTTAACAGTTTGAAACATTTGTGAAATATGGTACAAAGAAAGACAGATTTATATGAGACAACAATTTGTGACAGTATTTATACATATTTTTGTTGATCAGGATCTTTTTGCTAAGTGTTATCATAACTTTACTATGAAAGCTTAGATGTCTATTTAAAGGATTTTCTCTCTCAGGTGGGTTCTGGCCCCACTTCTAGTGTTAAATGAAAACTGTATGATAAATACTGGGTAGTGACTAAGTTCCAATTGTGAATCTTTACCATGTGAGTATAAAAACAATACAAACCATATGAATTTGACTCACCTTGAATCTTGAGTACTCACGGCTGTTGAACCTGTTCATACCACTGAACCCCTGACAAGGAGGACCACCACACAGCAGCTCTACATCACCCTTTTGAGGCAGTTTCTGGCCTCTGTCATTGCTTGTCTCCCCCTAGAAGTGCAGAACAATGTGGTATTGTTTTGGGGCATTTCAAATTTACACTGCATAAAATATTTCTTGGGATTTTTAGAGTGGAGTAGAATACAGATGCACTGCAGAGTGAGTGGGTGTGATATTTGAGCTGTCCAGAGTGGAGAATTATACTCGTGTCCTGCAGAGTGGAGTATGACATTTGTGCTCTACAGCGTGGAGTATGACATTTGTGCTCTACAGAGTGTTATATTCGTATTCTGGAGAGTGGAGTATGATATTCGTTGCCCTGCAGAGTGGAGTAATACTCATACCCATGACTGGAGTATGATAAGTCCTATAACATGAAGTAGGGGTATAATACTCACATCCATGACAAGACGGAGCAGAATATTACAGTCATCTGTAAAAACTTCACAGCCAGGATTGTTAAGCCTGAATGCCTGAGCTGCAGGCTCTTCCTTCTCTATGGCCCAGCGACTCTCTGCCATACCAGCTTGGTGGAAACCCTCGGACAAACCTATCAATTAAACAAGTCTTTAATCATCACTGTGTCGTGTCAAAATTGCTTTATAATCTTCACATTGTCGTGTCAAAATTGCTTTCTATGTTGTTCTCTTGATTGTGATACAAAAAAATATTACTCAATACTTTGAGATTTCAAGTCTAAGGATATCCAATATGAATAAGAGTACAAATCTTGCCTCCACAGCCAGCAAATACATCCAGACAGCGCAGCCTCTGAAAGTCCACAGATTTTTGCTCACTCATGTCGGGCACCACAGCTGTACTCTTCCCTTTTCCTTTACCCTTTCCTTTCCCCTGTTAACAGTGAAAAGATAAGATTTCTCCTGTGTCAACAGTGAAAACATAAGATTTCCCCCCTGTCCACAGTAAAAAACAATGAAATTTCGCCCTTGACAACAGTAAAAACAATGAAATTTCTCCCTTGACAACAGTAAAAACAATGAAATTTCTCCCTTGACAACAGTAAACAACAATACAATTTCTACCCTATCAACAGTGAAACAATACATTGTGATAACATGCTGCAGAGATATAATTAATGCGATCCCTTGATGGATTACTTGGGGCCATAACTTACCTTGCCCTTGGAGCCACATTGTGTTGCCTTAGTAGGAGGCTCCTCAAACATCTTGTTCTCACTATCATACATCTGTAACATAAAACATCAGTCCATCATATTGTTTTCTTACTGAGCAGCTCCTTATGGGCATTTGTCTGATTACAAAAGCACAACCTCATTCATTAGTGAACGAAAAAGCTTCATAAGGTTGTTACAATGAGCTGCTCCAGAGAAGAGCTTGTTGCAGCAAAATGTTCTAGAGATTGTGTGGCAAGAGATGTTGTGTTAGTTACACTAGAAATATAGTGTTGCTAGATACACTACAGATATAGTGGTGTTAGTTACATTAGAGATGAAGTGGTGCTAGTTACACAAGAGATGAAGTGGTACTAGTTACACTAGAGATAAAGTGGTGCTAGATACACTTGGGATATTGTGGTGCTACATACACTAGAGATGAAGTGTTGTTAGTTACACTGGAGATGCAGTGGTACAAGTTACACTAGAGATGCAGAGGTACTAGTTACACTGGAGATGGTGGTGCTAAATGCACCAGATATATAAATGCTGGACATTTTAGAGATCTAGTGGTGCTAAATGTTCTAGAGATGTAGTGGCATTAGAAGATGTTTGTAAGAAGTAGTCTTCAAGATTACTTACCTCTGTAAAATAGAACCTGTCAGGAGCTCGTGAGAAATAGTCTTCGAGATCACGAATGTTCTCACTATATACCACCTCACACCTGCCACGCACCAGCTGAAATTCCACTGTGGTTTCTGTGAAGGTCACAAGGTAATTAGATTATCTTTGTTGTCAGGCCATGATAGAGGAGTTGTTTAGTTAGTCAAAGTTAAATCAGATCTCAACTGAATTTAGTTTCGTATACGTGTATTGTTTTAAATGCTAATCAGTATTTCTCTCAGAGTGATGTTTGCTCCCCTTACCTTCGTCTGACCAGAACAACACATTCATGTCCGTATGATAACCTGCCGTCACGCCTTTGTGAGTGTCTTCTGGCCTGTAGCAGACATTCAAAAAGAATAACCAAATATTGGAATTTTCTTTGCCAAAGCTATCAAACAACCATTGCTATGTGTCATCCTACATGTTGATATATTTTTAGGTTGGTATGAATCACAAAGATCAAGATGTACCTGGTTTCATTTTCATGTTGGTAAAGATGTTGTAGATCATAATTACCTGTAGAATTTGGCCACCTTCAGTCTGATATCTGTCATGTCAGAAATCTTTGAGGTATGTGACTTTTTACAGAAGATCTGTAATATACGGGCGACCCTAAAGGGGCTGGGCAATTTGTCATTGGATCCCTTTATGTACTCTGTCTTCCTGTAGGCCTCTGGGTACAGGTCCTCGTCCATCTGTAAACCAGGCAATCACATGTCAGGCTTTCATTATAACTCATCTCATTACATATTTTCACCTCACCACATACTTTCTGTCATTACACAACTAAAATTTGTCTGTTTTATACTTACATCAGTTTTCTCTTGTTTAGGCTTTTTTGGGACTGCAGGTTTGACGTTGAATGTGAAGCCATCAGGCTCTATGTAACAACAGTCCCCAACTTTGTACTCAAGGCCGTCACGCTTCACACAGCTATAGTACACCCGGCTGGATGTGCCATCATCCACACTGATCTCCTCACCCAGGGCAGGGTTCTCCCTCTGTAAATAAACATTCCAAATACTGTGACACTGGTGTAAGAAAATTCTCACCAACCTTCAAAATGAAAATAAAACTGAAAGAATCATTTCTAAAATGAATATTAAATTCCTAAAATTAAAAAAAAAAAAAAAAAAGAAAGAAAGAAAAAAGATTTTAGTCTTCATTGCTACTAGTTCTCACACAAGACTTACCTTCCTCAGCTCATTCAGTCTGTGACAGCTGGTACAGAACTTGTGTTTCAGGTGATCAGCTGGTTGGAAGTCACATATTGGTGGGTCCTCAAACCGGGCCAAGTCACTGTCATACCTGTTTTATATAATAAAATACGTTATAATCATCATCAGCTTTCACCTTTGAACCATTTCTTGTATTTGTTTTTAAAAAACTTTGTGTGACAATTTTATGACTTACAATGTTAATACGGTGTAATCAGAATAGAGTGATACGCTGTGTTAACATTTATCTTTTCCATCAGCTTCTGACATCCAGTTGTAACTTTAGTTAAAGAAATACTGGACACTAAGTAACTTTATTTGTGGCATTGAGTTTTTTACCATTTTGTCTGACCCGTACCATTAGTGATAGAATTCAGTCTAAACAGATGGATCAATAACTTTGGGGTGACTGATCCTTATCATTGGTGAGTCTGACTAGACAGTGACATCCTTACTATTAGTGATAGAAGTCATTCTAAACAGACTGACCAATAACTTTGGTGTGACTGATCCTTATCATTGGTGAGTCTGACTAGACAGTGACATCCGTACCATTAGTGATAGAAGTCAGTCTAAACAGACCGACCAATACCTTTGGTGTATCTGATCCTTATCATTGATGAGACTGACTAGACAGTGAAATCCTTACCATTAGTGATGGAAGTCTGTCTAAACAGATTGATCCTTACCATTTCTGATAGAAGTAGGTATTTTCATCTTCTCTGTCAATATCTTCATCAGCATGTTCTATACCTCCCAACATCCCCCAGTTGGAAGGAGTCTTTTTATGAATTACCTGCAACACATCTTACCTTAGTGATATGTGAATGCATAAAATCTTAAATAGATCTGTTGGAAATTGAGAGGGGATATTCAGACATGACGATAAAAAAGAATGCATAGCAATAACTTTTAGAAAAACTGACGAATCAAAATGCCAAATTAGAATACACAACATGTTAAACAAGAGCACTGCAAATAATGAACTGTCATATATCAGTTCTGAACTCCGTTTGTTCAAGTCAGTGCCTAGATGTTTGAGAGGTTCTGTGCCTTTTAAATATTCCTGGAAGCCAAAAATTGTTTTCAATCGAGAGAGAAACTCCATCAGATACCATATTATGAAGACATTTCTATCTCAAGGTACATTCCCAACGCATAGTTAAAGATACAACTCAGCTTGATATCCTTTGAAAACTTCATCTTTTAAACTTGACACTACGTGATGAAAGAAAGACTTACCTTTACCAGTCCTATGGCCGTTTCTAGTTTACAGTCTTCACAGTCGTCCATCAGGAATAACTCCTGGGGATCAGAGGTCTCCCCCAAAATTGTATCTGTACCTCGGCTGCAATAAATACAGTTGAAAATCAGAACAGGACAAGAATCACACACAGTAGAGTCAGAGAGTGTAGTGAACATATATATAAAACAGAAGAGAGTTGTTAACAAGAGAGACTTTGATATGTGTAAAAAAATAAAACAGCAAATTAAAAAAAAAAAAAAACTGAACATTTTTCTTTTCCAGCAACTAACTTTCACAATTTCAACAATACAAGCTGTGGCAATTTACTTCCAGAAACCAAGAATTATGAGCCTCCATTGTAAAATTTGATAAACAGTCTTCATTTAAATCCCATACAGTTAGAGTACCAAACACCAAACACTTGTCTGTTAATTTCTGAATTGAATGAAATCTTTAAATCATTGTCAAATCACTTGCCAAGGGACCCATTTGAAAATTGTTGTAATTGGCCTTGACAAAATGGTTGTGTATACTGACCAGAACCAGTGGGCATGGAACATCTTGTTGCCATGGGAATCCTCCCACAGATATGCAACACGAGCTAAGTACACAGCCATAGAGGTGCTCTCTGGCTTTACAGAGATATAGTCGTCAATGGTGACCTGGCAACACCAAAACATTTATATAGTGGTAAATGGTGACCTGGCAACACCAAAACATTTATATAGTGGTAAATGGTGACCTAGCAACACCAAAACATTTATATAGTGGTAAATGGTGACCTAGCAACACCAAAACATTTATATAGTGGTAAATGGTGACCTAGCAACACCAAAACATTTATATAGTGGTAAACGGTGACCTGGCAACACCAAAACATTTATAGAATTTTAAATGGTGACCTGGCAACACCATGACATTTATATAGTTGTAAATGGTGACCTAGCAACACCAAGACATTTACATAGTTGTAAATGGTGACTTGGCAACACCAAGACATTTATAGAGTTGTAAATGGTGACCTGGCAACACCAAGACATTTATAGAGTTGTAAATGGTAACTTGGTGATACCTACACATCTATATAACCTGATACCCAAACTTTCCTGTGCACTGGATGTATGTTATCATTAAAGTTTTGAGTATGACAAGAACAGTTATATAGTAACGGATTCAACTTAAACAACAATCAACAAACCTTTACACCAGCCATGAACCCTAATAAACACCCACCTCTTGACCGTTAATGTTGACCCTCTTATAGTAAGAGTTCTTTCCGTCATTTTTGATAGGCTCTCCGATCCACTTGAGTTTTGTCTACAAATAAAGGGATGATTTTTTTATCATAAGAATTAAAATGTAAGTTATATATCTGAAATCAGAAAGCATGAAATGTTGTATTTATTAAACCAGAACCTAGGTAGTGGTAGAATAGTAGTGGTGCTGTAATTAGAAAATGTTCATGAGATGACCATTAAGATCAGGGTACTTACCTTTGTGTTGACCGACAATCTGTGCTTTTTATCTGGAGTCGTCACTTCTTCCTGAAAGAGAAATTTAATCTCTGCTCACTTTCTGACACTTAAAAAAAGGGTTTTGTACATTAAAAAGTAATATGTCCTTTTTTAAAAACGTGAAAATACTTAGTGATGACACTGCTAATTGGATTCAATTAGAGGGATGTTGTCATCAAAAATCTCTTTAAGAATGTGAACTTTGGGTGGAGGGTGTAAGTAAAATGTGAGAAAACAACATTAGGGCTAAGTTTTTAGACATTATTGAAAAAACATGAGATATTATTGAAATTCATGAAAACTACTGACACACTGTGTCCTTACTCTATTTGGGTTGGTAGCAAACGAGGGAATACCATCTCAGACTGGAAAAATTAATATTGTCTAATTTTTCAGTTGATCAATTTATTTCAATACCTGTAATAAGTCTATGACTTAAGTATAAAGCTTGAACACAACTTATTTCTATTTACAAACCATTTTCAGCTTCTTATCATCGTCATCTTCCTCTCCCAAATCATCATCCTCAGCATCTTTAACTGCCATGTTTGGACACCTGAAATATAAATGGCATGGAGACAGCTATAAACACTAGCCCGTATTATCATTATAAACACTACCTCTGTAGTTGGAAATGAACATACTGAACCAGGACGCTTTTTTTGTTTGTTTTTGTTTTTCCAAATCAATAACCACATTTTGCAATAAATTATAGATTTTCAGTCTTGACAGATGTCTAAATGGGAAAAGTTACATCTATATAAAATTTTATAATATTCAGCAAGTCAGAAAATAATCCCTGAAAATTTGAATGTGACCTCAATGTAAAAGGGAAAGTTTACAAGCCAAAAGTGGTATGCTAGACATTACTTTTCAATCATGTATAAATATTATTGAGATTCACCAACAGCAAGTCAGAATTTATGGCCCACATCTTGGTCAACTAAATGCTCTAGCATGACATTTTGGTCAACATTAAAATGTTTCAATAATTTAAAAGTAAACAGCACCATAATCAAACCAAATGAGATGAAGATAAAATGATAAATGAAAGTATGATGAATTGCCCAATGACTTGCTATCTGTATACTGTGAAAAGCCTACCTGCGCTCCATGCAGGCCTGTTTCGATTTCCCGGTGCCACCAAACTTGATCATGTCCTGACACGCCCGGCACTTTCCGCAGTCTGACTGCTGGCACACCTGTAACATAGATCACTTTTAAATTAATTGAGATTGCGGGAGTTGGCTATGAGCCAAATGTCTGTTCTTTAAAGGGTTAATACAAATCTCAAAATCACCAAAGATTCATAATTTGTTTTTACTCAAAAATAATGATGTAGATATGAGGTACAGGTAACACCTTTTTCACCAAGGCAACACAAAAATATATATTTGGGACTGGAACAAGAGATCCCAGAGGGATCTTGGCACCCACCATTTGAGGATCTGTTTTCAGTTCCTGAAGATTTATTTATTTTTTGTTTGTTTGTTACAGGTGTTGTAAATGTTCATGAACTGGTCTTCATTGAATGTGCTCAATGATGGCACAAGATATTCCTATTAAGCACCTATTAGCAAATATCTTTTGAAAAAGATCCCAAAGTATTATTAGATAGCAGTCAGTTACAGGTGGATAATGGACAATATACTTGTGCTGTATTACTGTTGACATCCAAGATGGCTGCCTGTGGGCCACCTTGATTTCAAATCAGTCCAAAAAAGGTACAATTCACAACTAGGGACCAAGGGAAACCAATATCTATGAAATATCAGAAGGATCCATCCAGGACTTCCTCAGATATAGCAGTAACAAGATTTTACTCTAAAAATCCAAGATGGCTGCCTGTCAGCCATCTTGATTTCAGATCAGTCCAAAAAGGTATAATGCACAACTTGGAACCAAAGGGAACCTGCATATGAAATTTGAGAAAGATCCATCCAGTACTTTCCAAGAAATAGCAGTAACAATCTTTTATATCCAAAATCAAAGATGGCCACCTGTCGGCCATCTTGAATTCGAATCAGTCCAAAAAGGTACAATGCACAACTAGGGACCAAGGGGAACCTGCATATGAAATTTGAGAAAGATCCATCTAGTACTTTCCAAGAAATAGCGGTAACAAACTTTTACATCCAAAATCCAAGATGGCCACCTGTCGGCCATCTTGAATTCGAATCAGTCCAAAAAAGATACAATGCACAACTAGGGACCAAGGGGAACCTGCATATGAAATTTGAGAAAGATCCATCTAGTACTTTCCAAGAAATAGCGGTAACAAACTTTTACTTCCAAAATCCAAGATGGCCACCTGTCGGCCATCTTGAATTTGAATCAATCCAAAAAAAAGTACAATGCACAACTAGGGACCAAGGGGAACCTGCATATGAAATTTGAGAAAGATCCATCCATTACTTTTCCAGAAATAGCGGTAACAAGAATTGTTTACGGACGGACGGACCACGGACGCAGGGCGATTTGAATACCCCACCATCTGATGATGGTGGGCTAAAAATGCAATTTCATTTTTAATCCCATTGCATTCTTGATTATCTATTTATAGATGTCTCCAAACATCTCTTAACTTGCCTTATTGTAACTGAGCATTTCTTGCCATCACCTCCTAAAGTTCGTAATATATATATATATCTCTTATTGGACACTGTACTAATAAAAGTAGATTTTACCTCACATATTCCACATCGTCTTCGTTTTGCTCCCTGGCCAGTTTTCTCATCAAGTTGACCTTGAAACATTTTATCGAATATTTCGCTGACCAGTGGTGTTACAGTGGCCATTGTATGGCCAGGCTTCTTCTCTTTCTTCTCCTTGCGTAATTCTTTCCTTAGAGCTCGCCTGACAATGAAGACAGACTACAACTCAGGAAATGGTTTACTATCTAATTCGGTTAAATTTACCTTCTTGGTAATAAAACCTTGTGATCAAACATCAAATACCAAGAACTGAGTCTTTAGTATCAAGTTAAACCAATGACAATGTCTTTAGTATTAAGTTAAACCAAGGACAAAGTCTATAGTATCAAGTTTAACCAAGGACAAAGTCTATAGTATCAAGTTAAACCAAGGACAAAGTCTATAGCATCAAGTTAAACCAAAGACTAAGTCTATAGTATCAAGTTAAACCAAGGACTAAGTCTATAGTATCAAGTTAAACCAAGGACTTAGTCTATAGTATCAAGTTAAACCAAGGACAAAGTCTATATATCAAGTTAAACCAAGGACTAAGCCTATAGTATCATGTTAAACCAAGGACTAAATCTATAGTATCAAGTTAAACCAAAGACTAAGTCTATAGTATCAAGTTAAACCAAGGACTAAGTCTATAGTATCAAGTTAAACCAAGGACAAAGTCTATAGTATCAAGTTAAACCAAGGACTAAGCCTATAGTATCATGTTAAACCAAGTACTAAGGCTATAGTATCAAGTTAAACCAAGGACAAAGTCTATAGTATCAAGTTAAATCAAGGACTAAGCCTATAGTATCATGTTAAACCAAGGACTGAGTCTATAGTATCAAGTTAAACCAAGGACAAAGTCTATAGTATCAAGTTAAACCAAAGACTAAGTCTATAGTATCAAGTTAAACCAAGGACAAAGTCTATAGTATCAAGTTAAACCAAGGACAAAGTCTAAAGTATCAAGTTAAACCAAGGACTAAGTCTATAGTATCAAGTTAAACCAAGGACAAAGTCTATAGTATCAAGTTAAACCAAGGACTAAGCCTATAGTATCAAGTTAAACCAAGGACAAAGTCTATAGTATCAAGTTAAACCAAGGACAAAGTTTTTAGTATCAAGCTAAACAAAGGACTAAATCTACTGTATCAAGTTCACTGAACCAAGTTAAACCAAGGACAAAGTCTTCAGTAGCGAATTTGATTAGAGACCAATTTACAGGAATCAGCTAAATGCATTTAGTCAAATCTATTGATCAGGTAGAAAGAAACCTCCCAAACTATCAATTATATCGTTACCATTATACATAAATCAACCAGCAGACATTAACAGGCTTATTATCTATACTACTGTGATGGTTCTCTATCAAACTTTTGTTTCTCTATAATATGTAGATAAGTTCCTAATAAATCACTCTTAAAGAAATATTTACCTCTTGCCTAAAGTAACTCCAGCCAACTTGATAAGTCCCCTCATACAGGGAGTGGTGATGAGAAGACCTTCATCCTCATCAGCAGCCTCATCATAGCTCTGGACCTGGTCGACAACAAACTGGGCGTGGCGCAGCAGCGAGTCCTCTGTCAGACTCAATAAACCAGTGGGAGGAACTGTAGTCTACAAAGGTACCAGGTGAAAGGTCAAATGTAAACAAAGGCACCAGGTGAAAGGTCAAAGGTAAGCAAAGGCACCAGGTGAAAGGTCACAAGAAAACAATTTCCTTTTTAGTAGATTGTATTGCAGACAATGTTTATTCATGAAATGTTATGATTGCTAATGTAGGAATATTTTCCATGAATATCCAATGTAAGGCATTATCACAAAAAAATGGCTTCTCATTGCTTCTTGATCATATTTATGTGTCTGTATAAGGAAATATATATCAGTCCCAACTGAATCAGCTCCTTACTGACCTCTATCTTGTTGAGAAGATCCTCGTATGTAGCATCCTGGTTGCGCTGCAGAAACTCGATGACCACTTTACTGATGTGAATCTTCTCTCTCATTGTGTCCATAAATGGTTTGTATGCTTCACTAGGACCCATCAGAATGTACTCAGCATAGGCTAGGAACACAAAAACAATCTATAAGCTAGGGACACAAAAATAATATATAGGCTAGGAGCACAAAAATAATTTATAGGCTAGGAACACAAAAATAATTTATAGGCTAGGAACACAAAAATAATCTATAGGCTAGGGACACAAAAATAATCTATAGGCTAGGGACACAAAAATAATTTATAGGCTAGGGACACAAAAATAATCTATAGGCTAGGAACACAAAAATAATCTATAGGCTAGGGACACAAAAATAATCTATAGGCTAGGGACACAAAAATAATTTATAGGCTAGGAACACAAAAATAATCTATAGGCTAGGGACACAAAAATAATATATAGGCTAGGAACACAAAAATAATTTATAGGCTAGGAACACAAAAATAATCTATAGGCTAGGGACACAAAAATAATCTATAGGCTAGGGACACAAAAATAATTTATAGTCTAGGAACACAAAAATAATCTATAGGCTAGGGACACAAAAATAATCTATAGGCTGGGGACACAAAAACAAGCTACAGGCTAGGAACACAAAAATAATCTATAGGCTAGGGACACAAAAATAATCTATAGGCTAGGGACACAAAAACAATCTATAGGCTAGGAACACAAAAATAATCTATAGGCTAGGAACACAAAAATAACCTATAGGCTAGGAACACAAAAAATAATCTATAGGCTAGGAACACAAAAATAATTTATAGGCTAGGGACACAAAAATAATCTATAGGCTAGGAACACAAAAATAATCTATAGGCTAGAAACACAAAAATAATCTATAGGCTAGGAACACAAAAATAATCTATAGGCTAGGAACACAAAAATAATCTATAGGCTAGGAACACAAAAATAATTTATAGGCTAGGGACACAAAAAGAAATTTATAGGCTAGGAACACAAAAATAATCTATAGGCTAGGAACACAAAAATAATCTATAGGCTAGGAACACAAAAATAATCTATAGGCTAGGAGCACAAAAATAATCTATAGGCTAGGAGCACAAAAATAATCTATAGGCTAGGAACACAAAAATAAACTATAGGCTAGGAGCACAAAAATAATCTATAGGCTAGGAACACAAAAATAATCTATAGGCTAGGGACACAAAAATAATTTATAGGCTAGGGACACAAAAAGAAATTTATAGGCTAGGAACACAAAAATAATCTATAGGCTAGGAACACAAAAATAATCTATAGGCTAGGAACACAAAAATAATTTATAGGCTAGGAGCACAAAAATAATTTATAGGCTAGGAACACAAAAATAATCTATAGGCTAGGAACACAAAAATAATCTATAGGCTAGGAACACAAAAATAATCTATAGGCTAGGGACACAAAAACAATCTATAAGCTAGGGACACAAAAATAATCTATATGCTCCACACACATGTAGGCTTGGGACACAAAAACATTATCTACTCAACATGGGCTGGAGATACAATTCATACATAACCCTCCCAGAAGGTTACTTAACTGTGGTCAGTCATCCTTTTCTACTAGGTTGGCGATAAAATGAAGGTTGGGAAACTAAGAATAGTGCAGTGTCTTTTCAGTAATAAGTACAGAACAAATGTCTTTAATTCTTACCTGTGCTGAACCCAATAAGTGCATTCTCTCCACCATCAAAGCCTGCTGTCCACCATTCGTTGATTGGGCCCATGTTGCGACAAGCCACACCACCTGGAAATAGCATTGCAACTTGTTTTGAAAAAAGAAAGTTAAAACTATTGCTAGAAATTTTACAGCAGTAGTTATTTCTGAGGCCTGTTTGAGATGGTACAAAATGGCGGACCTGAGAATCCTTGGAAGACACACAGGAAATTTTCTAAAAATTGAACATGTGATTCTTTTCCAGCTAACTACTACTGGAAAGTATGAGGTATATTATGAGATGAGAGAAGAGAATCACACAAACACCCTACAAACACACTGTAACTGATAACCTATAACCTTATCCTCAATACACATTAACCTTACCATCAGGACTAGAGTTCTCATCAAAATGACCTATAACCTCATCCTCCACACACATTAACCTTACCATCAGGACTAGAGTTCTTATTAAAATGACCTATAACCTCATCCTCCACACACATTAACCTTACCCTCAGGACTGGAGTTCTCATCAAAATGACCTATAACCTCATCCTCCACACACATTAACCTTATCATCAGGACTAGAGTTCTCATCAAAATGACCTATAACCTCAACCTCCACACACATTAACCTTACCATCAGGACTAGAGTTCTTATCAAAATGACCTATAACCTCATCCTCCACACACATTAACCTTACCCTCAGGACTGGAGTTGTCATCAAAATGACCTATAACCTCATCCTCCACACACATTAAGCTTACCATCAGGACTGGAGTTGTCATCAAAATGACCTATAACCTCATCCTCCACACACATTAACCTTACCCTCAGGACTGGAGTTCTCATCGAAAATAGGTTTGAGGGAGCCACTGAAGTAGAGTAAGACATTCTTCTCTATCAGGCCGGTGTCAAATGGACAGAGATGGGTATTTTTGTCGTACACACTGAAAAACAAAATGGAAATATATTCACTCCAACAAAATCATAACCATCCCATCAAGGCTGTACACAACAAAGCAAGTGTTAACAAATATAACATATTGAAGCTTCAAAGAAATATGCAGAAATCGATAAGCTCTACACTCAATGCTGGTAATACCACCAATCAAACATTGACCCTCACCTAAAATTTGTTATCTTATGTTGTGGCCGTTCATCGTAACTGTTGATATTCTCTTCATCACCAGTAAACACAGACAACTTTGGGTTGGTCAATGCTATAAACTCCTCCACCTGTAAAAACACCAGGATAAGTTTACCCCATTCACTATAGCAACTTGTCAGATTAGCATTCAAATAATGGAATATGGAGATAAATTAGTAAGTAAAAGATTCTACAGCTTCCTGGGCCATTTCTCTTATCTTTATTGTTAGCAACAAAATATACATACTGCGTCCTCTGCGTCTCCTGGAAACATTAACAGATCTGGGTCATCAAGCAGTTGTTTACATTCACGACATTTAGCAGGAGGTAGTCTAGGGGCAGGGCTGGCTTCCACCTTCACCTTGTCACATGGGTCCCTGATTCGCACAAAATATGCTGAATATAATTTCACACAATAATTGCTACAAAGCTAAATATATCAAAGTGACCGGTAAACAAGATTTGAAACATCAATAATCGTGTAACTGCACAAACTGGGAGGAGTGTTCGTGTAAACATTTGAAGCATTATCATCAGAAGTGGTTCCACATGATAAATTAATTTTTGTTGTTCAACACTTTGTATACCCACTTTGTATCCGTATCATCTGTGTCCATTTTATCTTCACTATCCTCTATCTTGGCTTTTTTCAAATCCTTTTCTTCTTCACATTTTTTGTCCTCTTCCTCATCAGCGGTCGACTTCCTTTTTGCTGGCCTGGTATGGTAATGACTTGTTTTAACAATGTCACCACAAACTCATGTCAAGTTATACAGACAATGTTCTTAAGGGCTGATATCAAGTTTTACTGTTTATACCTAAATATGTTCTTACATAACACTTTGAATGAAAATTTTGAGAAATTTAAATGAGAAAATATGAATGTACATATTTGAATCTCAGAACCACTGTAGACAATACTCAATCCTACAAACAATAATTTCCTTAAGAAGTGTACAAATTTACAATTGTAATTACAACACTGAATCTCAGGGAAGGGACATAACTCACACTTTGCTAAACATTGACATGATGGATGGTTGTCCGGCTCCAGTGGAGTTCTTGCTTCCTCGACTTCTGCCTTTTTTCCCGGAAGTTTCTTTGTAAAATAAAAGTGACATTGGTGCAATTTAAGCTCTTAATCTTTAATGTTTTAGCAATTTTTCTGATTCATTTCCACTAATACTTTGCTGCTAGCCTGTCAGATCTATAGTCTAGTCTGACACATTGTTTTCCCAATATAACGTAACCTGTTCAGTTATTTCTCTTATTCCTAAATCAGCAGTAACACCAACCTCGAGGTGACTTCACTTCCACATCCTTCTCTTCATCTCTTTCTTCACTGCTACTTTCCTTTTCTTTTTGTATCTCCATTTGCCCCTGAAGGAATTATAACATTTAATATTTTATTAAAGTCATGTGTGTAATCCTAATTTGGTATAGGAATAACATTCAGAGTTAACATGTGTGTAGAGTGCAGACTAAGCTTAACCTATTATACCCGTGTTGATCTTGAATTAATTTACAATAAACAGAATAATCAAAGTGAAATAAAAAAAACAAAAAAAAAAAAAACAAGGAGACATTTAGATATAAATTACATCATGTGATTTATTTCTACAAATACAATATCATCCCTTTGTATAATTTAAAAGAATACTTTTTGATTACTATTCACCTCTTTATCTTCGGTGTGATTTTCAACAGACATGCCATTCGACCCATTGGTAGCTACGGCTCCATTAGATACACCATTACCGTTGGTACCACTTTCTGGGATTTCTTTGGTCTGTACATCAGTACCATTTTCTGGGATTTCTTTTGTCTGTACATCAGTACCATTTTCTGGGATATCTTTAGTCTGTACACCAGCACCATTTTCTGGAATATCTTTTGTCTGTACATCAGCACCATTTTCAGCAATGTCTTTAGTCTCAAATCCATTTGAGTGCCCATTGGACCCTCTATCTTTGTCTACTTGATGTCCGTTTTGTTTTTTTCCATACTCCTTCTTCTTAACTACCACTGGGTCCTTTGATGTCTCTGTCAGTTTGAAGAATAAATCAAACACCTTCTTCAGCTTCTTATAATATCCTTTCTGTAAATAAAAATAGTTCAAAATGTAGTTTGTTTTGTCATATTTTGTTTTTTGTTAGAAAGCTGATAAAAATTATTAGCTATGTCACTTCACATTGCAAAATGTTGCTGGACAGAATCAAATACAGTTATCATGTCATAAACTCAGTTAAACGTCACGGTAAAAATATTGATTTTGCTATTGACAGTTCTTGTTTCATACATTTCATTTATGTCTCTATATTATTGCAATATTCATTCTATTACCAATGTCCAGCTTGACCACTGTTTGGATAAAAAAAAACCTGTCTCAAATGTAGCGCCAATAATGTTACATAATGGTTTTAAAAATGAGACAGTTTGTTTTGTTAACACAAACACAATATGGGCAGAAATAACAGTGACAGTAATGATATGGTAAGTTAAATCCTGTTTTTCAGTATAAAATTTTATGGGTGTGGCAAATGTTATTTGATAACTCAATTTAGAATAAAGAGAATAAGTGACATTAATTGCCAACATTGTCATGACTAATTTAGGTGGAAGCAATTTTTGTTTACAGACAACAATGTTTTGTGCACGTGTCGTCATAAATGATGCAAAAGTTAACATATCCAGATTGTTGATCAACAGATACTTCTTACCTCAATTACCACACATACAGTAACAAAAATAATTTACCAAACAATTACAAACTTACTAAGTTAACAACGACACCGTTAATGAAAGTACCACATTCCTAAATACATTGTAATGGTACAAAATTTACCTCTGTGATAATTTTATCTTTTAAGTCACTCTCAAGAGACAGGACTTCCTTCCTAGTTCTGTCAGGAATACTATCACCCAGAAGTCGGCATTTCTTCTTCCAATAGCCCTGAAATGAAAATTGGAATAATTTGCCACTCTTAACTAATCATTATCACTTAGGACAATGAAAAATAATCAGAGTTACTTCCCCTTATCAAGGCATGATGCTGAAATGATAGAAAGAACCACTTTCCAGCAAGATTTCAATAACAAAGTAAGTAACAGATATTTGAATATATTTCACAGGAATAAACCTAGTTTCTACCTTGAAATTGAGGTAATCTGAGATCAGTCACTTTAATGATCACAATTGAAAACTGATGAAGTTTTAGAGCAATAGCTTTGCTCTCACACATAAACAATGATGATAAGTATGATGGAAAAGTGTCGTCTTTATTTACATGCAGGAAGTTTCAGACAAACCTTTTCAGTGATATCTCCATCTTCCAATTCTTCATCTAATTCAAGCAATCTGAAATGGACAAAACGATCAAAATTAAATGGTATATTTAAAGAGTATTTGTGGTTAGATGTTTGATATGAATATTTTAACATATCAACATGCAGCGTCACAAAGCCTTGGCTATGCCAAAAAATATGGTGTTTAAACATAAACAACATTGTTCATTCAAGTGTGCCTTGGCATTTCTTTCAAGATAAATTATTATTCATATTCTATATTAGTGATTTCAGGAATGAAATGGGATAATTAATGCATTAACATTAAGTTCACATTCAGCATGTTGTCATAAAGTTTAAGCCTTAAATAGAGAAAACCTTGATCTTCATTTTCCACCCTGAATTGCAGGGGGGACGAGCACCAAAGGACTAGTGTTTGGGAAACAAGAATATAATTTCACCAACTGGCAGCAACCTCTCAAGTTAAGTTAGGCCAATGGATGATATGATGAGCTCAGTCAAACTGAGTACATAACTTGCAAGTTTAAAGGTCAAGAAGTTAAATCTTGAGTCTCTGGATGTGGCACTTCCCCTCTAATGCTACATTTATGCAAATTCATTCTCAATTGTATTTTGCTGGTCTATTTTGTTCATCTATTTTTTCAAAGTTCATCTTCAAGTTTCATGTCTGTTATCAGGGCTCTTGATCTGCCAGATTTGGGGCCGAATATCCCAATTTAGACCCCAAGATTTCCCAATTCTATGGAAAACGTCACTATTTTTCCCAATTCCAATGGCCCCTGGCCCCAGTCCCAAAATGGGGTGCGAGAGCCCTGGTTATCATTGATAAATTGCAAAAAACAGGGCAAAACAAGACATATTTCTATTTTAGTGGCACTTTGACAAACTAGAAGATCAAGTATACATCATGTGTATTAATCTTCATTATGTCAAGACAATGACTGTAGCCATGAAGATTATGTCCTTGCATAAAAACGCAGATCACATTCAATAATGCTTAATCTGATATCAAAATGTATAGTGGTCAGTTGCGCAAACAAAATTACTAAGTTAAAGTAAAGAAGTATATCATGCGTGCAGTATTTATGACTAAATGCCCATCCATTGCCTGTATATTGGATTGTCAAACTGCATATGAAATGTAAGAAGTCAACAGTGGTGAAATAAATATGTCTATGGTTGATCATGACAACTGCTGCAAATAAGAAATCGGCAGAGAAAATAATCACTTATTCCTGACGTCTTCATTCAGCGATGCTTGTGGAAGAGTTGCACTCGGCATTGTTGATTGTTACCGTCAACAATACCTATAATTCAGAAAATATTTCTGATCACTGTCTTACGGCATTAAAGAAAGTTTCCCGCGAAATAATAGGATGATCCAACTTAGGTGACTGTTTACTCCTTTAAACTTCCGGTGTTATGTAAATCCATAAGCATATTAATATCTCTCGAAATTTTACTGCAACGACAAAAATTATAGTTATTTAAGATTTTATTGCTTATCTTGCAACTTGACCGAACATTCATATTTATCTTATTATGTACATTAGGAAACCTGTCCTCCCTAATGGGGAATGGAACAAACCGGAAGTTTACAGACGATTTCGCAGAAGAAAGCGGCATATTTGACAGGAAAAAATGGCATGGTATTACAATTTTCTTCATAGATAAGAACACCTTGAAACGATTGACTCGAAAACTTATCCCAAATTTCCACATGTTTGTAACAAATTGTAGTCGTGTACCTATCGCTGATATATAGTTTCCTGATTATACATAGCGCACTAGTCTGGAGTGCAGAGGGGTTGTTTACATATTTTCAATGAACCATTTTGAAGTAGTATTGGCCAAGGCCTACTTGTACACTAAATATAAGTGTCAGATCTGATCAGGAGAAGTTTCTTAACAACTTATGTTGTGTGAATGAATGGATGCACATGCTTAAACCAGAAAAAGGTTTAAAAGGAAAACAAGCTTTTTTTGAAGTTTTTGAATACTTCGAAAAGGCTCATTTTATATAAAAAACAGCATTATTAGGTTGCATAATTCTTTGGCTATGAATTATCATGTAATAGGCCTATGTTTAATTGCTGTTAGAGCACTCACTAGGATTATGTTATTTCCAGTTATATAATTATTGGAAAGAAACTGCCCCTAACGCGGTTTGAACTGTGAGCTACATTTGTCTCCAGCCTGAGACTTTTCAGTCACTTTTCCCATAAGTGGTTGAAACAGTTGGACTGGCTGAACTAGCTGGTTGGGTTGCGACAGATTGGGTTCAAGGCTAGATTGCAGGATATTCGGCACATGCAGTTTGAAGAGGCAAGCCGTACACGTACCTGGCCAAACCTAAATACTCTAGTTGAACTTAAATTTCTCCTTCACAAGTCCCTCCTTTTACCCATATGCTGCTCCCTTCTCCACAATATTTTGTAATTTTGGTGCCTCCAATGAAGCATCTTGATCTCTATAGCTTTTACCTTTGGACTGATCAATGGTACCATATCTAGTAGGAAATGTTTTGATTTGAACTACAGAGACCCTTCAATGTCTAAACTTGACACTCTACCACTTGAATTAAAAAGAGAAATTTCCAAAAACTGAGGCTAGTGATGTGTCGAGAATTTAGTTTCACTACTTGAATGAATAGTTGGATATTCTTTTAATTGATGTTACAAGACTCTTGTTTTGTTTTGTATCTTACTATTGACTGCGCCTTTGATAAAGCATGAAGAATGTGGTTAGCTAGTTCTGTATATTTACATGTATACTATTAGCGTGATTATTGATTAAGTAAAAAGAGGTTCTGATTTATGATGATAATGTAAGTATTTATATACCGGTGACATATCATATTTGGATCCACCATCAGAAAATGACCCCCCCCCCCCCCCCCTATAATATTTTGATCCCCCTTAAGAGAAGTTATATTAACAATGCATATATGTATATAAACTATGTATATTTAAGGTGATAGTGAAAATACGATGATAGGTGTTATGTTAGCTGTGAAGTTGTTAATTACACCTGGCCAACCAGTCAATTCCATAAGAGGATTAAGGGTAGAGGTGTTCAAACCTGAGTGAGCACCCATGTGCACATGGCAGGTATACCCAGTGATCAATTAAAGTTACCTGTGGATAAATTCCATTACAGATTGATTGAGGTCATCATTTTACATAAAAGCTGTGTTTAATATACATTTTCCACTTTAAAATTAATACATTCAATTTAAAAATACTATTTTCTTATTGTACGTCTCTTTCTGTTATAATTATTGACCATAAAATCTCTCTTTCATCAAAATATATCCTTTTAGGTCAACTGTTAATTTTCCCTTTGCACGTATATATGCAGAAGTCTACATGCATACATGTATATAACAATTCTCCATTGAATCCATAAACTTATTTTCCATGAAGTATATTTGGGACAGGTTATATATAGAGTAATTATGTATGCAGTCATCATTTAAGCCCCTGTCAATCACTACCTGTACAGGGTAATCTGGAGCTTGACCTCGTCAGCCTTGGCTCCACAGGTGTTATGTAATCACACCTGTACAGGTAACCCAGGTATCAGTGACCAAGTCCCAGACACAGTTACCTATCATATCTCATTTTATTTATAAAGCTATAAAGTTTAAAATAAAATTCACAAGGGGGATCAAAATACTAAAGGGGGGGATCCTTTTCTTACGGGGGGAAAAGCAATCCCAAGGTCCTTTTCTGTTGAGGAAAAAGTGATCCTGATCCTTTTCTGATGGGGGATACAAATATGATATGACAGGTGTCCCGTTAGTTAATTATTTGTCTTAATTACTGCACGAAATGTTTCAACAACAAATATTGGCCTGTGAATTTCAGCTATAGCCTGTTTTATCTTTCAGAAGGTACCAGTACAGAAGAAAAGACGAAGCTGAGATAAGAAAAATCATCATGTCCCAGACCACATTTCTGGAGTCTGTGGTCAGCTGGAATGAAGAACAATGCCAGCAGAATTTGGAAGAGGCCCTGCCCAAACTTGTTGTATCCTTTTGCAATTACCAATCGATCATCTGATTGCTCCTTTTCTTTCAGATATCATAAATTTATATGTCCCTCACCAGGAAATAGGGACGACAGGTTTTCATTTTGTCTGTCCTCTTTCCAGCCTTTATCTTGTCTGGGCTCTATTCTCCACTATATGTCACTTGAACTTAATACTTGGGTCATTGGTTCACTTTGCGGAGGCAGTGTGTTGGGTATCATTGACATTTGGTCTTCATCAAAGGAACGCTTTTCTGGGCTCTATATTGTAAACTACTAGTCACTGTAAGTTTATTTTGTGAGATGGTGTGTCCTGTACAAAACTACATTTTGACCTTCAACATATATGAAATATATTTGTCATTTGGACTTCTTACTTTGGCCACGGATTCACTGGCATTGGAGATGTTAAAGCATACTTGCCTAACAAACAAAAATTTATTTCAATTCATACCAACAAATGTAGTTATATGATGAAATATGATGGAATACATGGTGTCACCAAATTTAGTAATACAGTTTATCATCAATTACATAAAAGTCAGTTAAAACTTAATATCTAATAATATGTCTTTTGAAATACATTCTTTGTTGTTTTGAAATTGATCTTGATATGCACACTGAAGACTTATTTTCATGAAGTTTTGGCAGTGCGTCCAGAAACTTTGTGGCATGGCACCCACTCACACCTAGGCATTATAACTGTGAAAACTTCAAGTGACAAAGGATATAAAACCAGTTTTAACACTTGGACTGATCTACCCAACTAAAATACAAACAAATCAGACTTCGGTGGATCTAGCTGGACATAAAGAGAGTAAATCTATTCTTTGAGATTTGGGAGGAATGAACCCATGATTCTTGTCCTGTTTCTGAAGTTTGTGCCTTTGAATTTCACAATCTTGTATCCCATGTTTTGTTAAGTTGATGAAAACACAGTAAGGTAACTGTAGCTTGTTATAGTCAGGTTGGTTCAATTACAAGATGTTGATGGCCTTAATCACACAAATAGACCTATTGTCATGATGCACAGGGAATACAGGAACAAGTTGGTAAGTAGAAGATACAAACAATTAATGTATTAATATTTTCACTATAATTTACTCGCCTATTAAGAGGATTATCAATCATTGATCTGTTGGTAATTTGATATCAAAATCCAAGCCAGACTTCAGCAGATTTTGTAAATAAATTTGTAAATCAAACTTTTCTTTTATGTTGGATGATGTTTCTAGGCTCGTTTGAGTCACATTTTTTGGACATCAGCAGATGGAACAAATGGATTACAGGGAATACAAACACACACCTGGTATATTAACAGTATCATGAATAGTAACTGATACAGGATTGAACTCGAAATCACCGTTTGTAACATTAAGGAATAATTTACGTTCCTGGTGACTTTGAGAATTCCCCTCCAAACACCCTGTAGCAATATATATAAGTTTCAGCACGGAGGTCTACTGTCACAGCTTTACTTTTATAAGTTATCCTGGATATTTGTAAGTTAATCATGAATCTGATTTCATTTCAGGAATATTAAAAATCATTTGTCAATCCTTCCTTCCCTGTGTTGATGTTCTGGAAGCAGAGTGGCGGGTTTATAGCCAGATAGTATCAAAGGTACAGATTCTTTCACCATTTCAGCAGGGAATATGCCATTAGGGAAACAGAAAAAAAGTCCTATCACACACCTTTTTTTTTCTGTACAAATTATCAGTATCTATGATCTACATCATAATTTAGCCCAAGCTGTTTTGCATGAGTCAAATGTATTTATTTTTCAACAACTTTCTGAAATTAATTTCAACTGAAAAATGAAGGAGTAGAATATGAAGTTGACAAAATCTTTATATTTATTCATTAAATATGGAAAATGAAGGACAGCGACTGGTATGAAGATGTAGTTGACAACAATGTAACCATCTGAAGATGATTCCAAATGAAATGATAATGACACCTGTTAACAAAATGTATGACAGCGTAAAGTTGTGAAAATAATTAGAATACTCTAAAATAATAAATGAAACATTGAGGAATTTAAAGGAATGACAGAAAAAGGTGTATACTGTAAAAGTATTTATTTTTTGGGGGCTTTATTTTTGCGGAACTGCAAAGTGTTTCAGTAGCAATCTTCTATCAGGATGCAGTGAATTTCATATATTTTCTGTTAACTCATCACATCTGCAAATTTCACATCAGAATAACTTTACACATACTACCAACTGTTTTTGAAAATTTTATTGACCACTGAAATATATCTCAATTTGCCAACCACTAAGGCTATAATATGATCACAGCAATGTCTTCATGAAGTACTTGGTAGCCTATGGTTGTGCTTTTTCTGGACAAATGATGGATGGATCATTCTAAAATTTCATAAGTAGATATGCAGTAGTCTGTATTTATATATTTTTTGTTTTGGGACTGATCGGGTAAAAAAGATGGCTAGCAGGTGACCATCTTGAATTTTGATGATTGAAGATTGTTGTTGATGTTTCCTGAGAAGTACTGGATAGATCTTTCTCATATTTCATAGGTAGGTTGTTCACTTGTGCTCTTTCATTTTGAGACTGATCAGAAAAACAAATGGCGGACAGATGGCCATCTTTGATATTGAGAATGGTAGTTTGGTATGGCTGTTTCTTGAAGTACTTGAGGATCTTTCACAAATTTCATTTAAACACTCTTCTTGGTCCCTAATTTTGCCTTTTTGATTTTGGGATGGATCAGGAAAACAAAATGGCTGACAGGCGACTGTCTGGGATTTAGATATTGAAGTTTGTTAGCACTATTTCTTGAGAATAACGTGGATCTTTCTAATCTAGGATTTTGACTATAAAGGTTTGGTATCACTTTTTCTTGAAAAGAACTAGATGGAGCTTTCTCAAATTCAGTGTGTATGTTCCCCTTGGTATCTAGTTATTCCTTTTAGATTTTAAGAAAAAAGAAACATATTGGCTGACAGGTGGCCATCTTGGATTTTGCAGTTAATGATTATAATTGTTATATCTTAAGAAGAATTCTCAAATTTCATTAAGTAGAGCAAAAACAGAGGAAAGAAGTGGAAAATCTAACTTTTTAAGTACAAATAAAGATCAAATGATGGTGGGTGCTAGGATCTCTTGTATTTAAATGTTTGGCATTTATACCTGATGGTATTCAAGAAATAAATCAATATGAAAATTACTTCAGTATATCTGAAGGTCATGAAAAATCTTTTCATCTAAACCTGATGCTGTTTCTCTGACTGATGGTTTGATTTTGCATGAGAAAATCTAAATTCATTTTTTGCACATCATTGTCAGAAGTGATGTCAATGAAATTAATTATTTTTACCTTTAAGAGTAATATTGTCTTAATTCCATTTAGCTCACCTGTCTGAAAGGTGATTGATACAGGCCCATTGGACCCTTTGTTGTTGGCTTATATTTTCTCAATAATCAAGAGAAATGATGATTAATGTCCGAGTCTCTATCATAAACTTAACTTAATTACAAAGTGTAGATGATTGCTGTTTTCATACAGTAGTGTTTGCATCTCTTATAATTCAAGCATATATTAATTAGAGTTGTCTCCCCTATCCCAGAATGATTTTTTTTTTTGGATTGCTATAATTAATACTGCTCTCTGTAATAATGCTAAGCCCCATTTATACTCCCACTGTCATGAAAATGCCATAAGGTATTTTGATGGGGAAAGACAGGAGTATTTGTTTAAAATTTAATGAAAATATGATTATTTTGACCAGTTAGTAGCATGTGTCCTCTGCAACTTGTGTAACTACTCTGTCTTAACATTGGGATGTTAAAGTAAGTTTCTGGTATTACAAGTTCATTCTAAGCTATGCAAAAATTTTCCCTTGTTCTTGGTACAGAAATATATACATTATTTATCCAATACATGATATTATTCATATGAGAAATAAATCTTCTTCTTTCACTTTTGTTTTCCTAGAATTTTATATCATTTTCACTTTCAGTTTCGAACTACTTTCAGAAAAACTTATCTCATATTCAAAGAAGTATTTTTTCCAATTTTAACATGAAACTAGGAATATACATAATCAGTAGCTAACTGCAAATTAAATAAAACATTTTATGAATTTGAAAATAGAATTGTGTATTCCACAATAAAATAATTGTGAGATTGATAATTTGTTAATATGTTTTTTGTGAATTTGTCTCAGATGATAAGTAAAATAGATGTTTTTGACATTATAGGCATCCCTTATAGTAGACAAGGTAGATATCTGTGTTATCAATTCCATGATCTACCCTTTATCTTATGCTTCTTTTAGTGTGATTATTTTACAACAACTCTCCTTTTATTTACAAATTGAACAGAATATGTTTTGGAGTTATAGTGATATGTGTAGATACATTCAGATTTTTCAAACCAAGAGAAAATGAAAAATAGACACTTGAGTTCTTAGAAAGACCGTTGTACCTGTTGCCTTAGTTTTGGACTGTTCCTCCACCAGTAACACTGATAACATCTTTGTGAAAAACTAACATGTTAGTGAGTTATGTTTGAATGAGCACTGTCCCCTGCCTATGAAGCCTATGTCTCATGCTGAGGTAATGAAAAAATGGTTGGTGTTATTGTGAGTCATGATGTCACTTAAAGTCATAAACACACAACATACACTGGCCATTTTCTAGTTATGGCAAATATCATAAGATCTTTGTACTCAAATGGATTATGGAGGTGTTGTGGTTTTAAATTTTTTTTTTTTTTTTTTAAAGTGTTTAAGCCTATGTGTATTTTATTTCTTTTCCAGATATGTGATACATTTGATAATATCTTAGAGACAGTACAGAATCTTTTGGGTCAGAACAAGCAGGACCTTGACAGTGTCCAGGAGGACATTCTCACTTATCTACAGGTATACTACTTCTGATCCTCATTTCCCTGCATGCTCTCCAGCGTACATGACCAGGATCTTATTTCATATTAGTCACTGTTCATTTGAAATGATTTTAGATAACCTTTGTAGGAATCTTGATCTGGTCTGGATTCTGTTTATGATTCATTTAAAAAAAAAAAACAGGTCAAGATACAAAACTTGATCAATGTATTGAATAACTTTGGTAATTTCATAATGTCATATGTGTCATGATTATCCAAGAGGATTTCCTGATGTCAGAGGTCTAGAACTAATAGAATCATTTACTTTGAAATAGCCATGAAAGTGATGTGAAAATTCTGTAAGCAGTTAAAACTAATGAAATTGGTCTTGTTTCATATTTTTTCATTAGACATGCCCAGCATGTTTTTAATCAAAGTTTATTCGCATTAAATAGAAAACTTTTTTTTTTTTTTTTTTTTTTTAAATATGTAATTCCCTATTGTAACTGATCAACACATTTCATCTTTGTATAAAATGTGACATAGAAAGGTCAAATTATCTATGTTCCTTCGGAATCAAAATCAAACTTAATCAGACAGCTTTCTAACCTAGTTGAGACAACATTTCAGATGTATAGGTTTTTTACTGTCTTTGATTTGTCCCTGGTGTTTTTAGTTCAAAGACTTCTGAAGAAAGGCTTTGATTTGTTTTGTCAAATTTCCACAAAGCATTCTGGTATTAAAATACTATCAGCTTGAATCATGAATGAAATATATTAGTGTATTCTTAAGGGTGAGTGAAATGTGTGATATTCAGAAGGAAACAGTTAGATTTAAGAAACAAGTGTAGGGAATAGACTAATCAGGCTTTTACAACAACACAGTCATTTTTATTGAATTCTCATTGTATTTGTTTTCTTCTGTAGTCTTGTAAGAGTTTGTATTGGAATTAAAATAAAAAAGTACATAGGGAAATGAGCACTTGATCTGCTTTTTCTTCATCTGCATCTGTGTGTGAAACTGTGTATTTCAACATAGATAATAGAAAGTACATGTCTGATCGATGAGTAGTAGAAGTGACAACATACATAGTGTACCAGTTTGCATAACTTTTGAAAAAAAGCTTAACATGTCTTATGGTGCTTTTGAACTCTTTTTTACATGGATTGATGTATAATATTCCAGTTGCTACTAGAGATTGTGGACTGCTGTGAAACATGTGTAAGGTTTTCCCAGAGTTCCCAGGTAGCTCTGTGTTGGAGTCATGTGCACTCACTTCCTGTTGGAACTCTCCACATTCTGAAGGGTACATACAGTCACTGTAAGGTAGGATTTCTTAATTCTTTTTAATGTTTTCAAAGTAAGTTAAGAATATAATGGAACCTGAACAATCAATCAGCCTTATTACTGTACAGTAGAATGCATTTGCCTTAGAATCCAAAAATCCATCGACAAATAGATAAAGATATTCAATCAAAATACAAACTTTTTTTGATTCTGTATAAGACTTTTGAACAAATTGTCAGATGTATTCATATATTGAACATGGGTAATTTCAATTATTTTCCTACATTCTTCGGTAGAAATTAAGAGCTGAATTTTAAATGTCATCTAAAAATTCACACAGCAAATTTCTGACGACACGGGAACAGGGTTGAAGTAGTTATGGACAACATTATGAAATTCTATTTCATCCCAGTATTTTCTGAAAATCTTCAGGGATAAATGTATAAATGATAGAGAATTTGTAATGGTTTCCAGTTGAATATCATATAATTCAAAGACAGTTTGCGGGGGATATCTCTTTTTTTCAGGATTGTTATTTACATTTTTAAAATGTTTTTAAAATTTTTGAAAATCAATATGACAGAAGATTTGTATTTTTCTCTTGTGCTTCACACACATTAAAATTATAGATATATTCTGTTACTTGAGTGATGTATATGATGAGTAGATGGGAAACTGATAAATTTTCCTTTTAATGTTGTTTAAAAGAGTTCAGGAAAAATTAGTGCATTTTTTGACATCAGATAGTTTGACATTATGCTTGACAACAAGATGACATCATTTTCAAATTAACTGATTCATGCTGTTATCTGGTAAGAATTGCTTACAAAAAATTTGATATATCAGATTAAATAAAACCAGAAATTTGCTTGAAAACCAACTTATTCAACCTTTGCTTCATTTACATCTGAAGAGAAAGTCGCTACATTTTTAATGCATTGACTAGAAAGCACTGCTCTTGGTCAAAAGTATATAGTATATCATCAGTGGAAAAGTTTTATCATTTCAGCAGTGTTAATGAAATTGTTAAATTCCTATATTTCATTGAGAAAAAAATATGAGAAAGTTGATCATTTAGTTGTGGTACACATAGTTAAATGTGAAGCAGAATGTTGTATAAGAGACTGAAAAGGGATACACTTGCTATGAAATTTTGTATTGAACAAATAAGAACAGAGAGAATTCCTATGAATTTTTTATTGATGTAAACTTAAAAAGAGAAAAACAATCAACGTGTCTCTTCACACCTGGCCAAGATGTAAACATGATTGATGAAGGTTTGATCTCTAATTGATCACCTTATCATAGACCAGATGTAAAGAGTGATAATGATACCCAACAGTACTGTTAATTAGCATAGCAATAGATCTTATACTAGCCAGTTAATATTGATTTCAAGGATTTCTAGTACAGTAAAACCTGCAGTATTGCCAACTCACCTGATTTTGTCAGGTCAACCTGATGTTTGCCATAGGATTCACCTGCTCAAATTGTGAAAAATGTGAAAAAAAATCACATATCTCTTGAATTTGTGCAGTATTCTAAAAGATTTGAATAACTTTTTAGATCTGGTTTGGTCAAAACAATGTTCAAACATAATATTGGAACATCATCTCAGTATAAACAGATGGGATAACTATATGTTGGAATTGATTATAAGGTCGCTTTCCTTGATGACCCTTTTAATTTTGAAGGGCTACGACCAGATATCAGAGTACAAGAGGTTGGCAATACTGTAAACATCACTATAGAATAGACATCACAACCAATAACAAAAACTAGGTAGTTTTCTTTATTATCCCTCATTGAAGGGACAAAATCTCCTCCAGTTGATGAAATTTAAAACTTCTTCACATGGTTTTAAAGCATTCTCCAAAATATTACATTTTGGTGGGTACACTGTACTCACAGTTTCAAAATATTAGGATTAACACTGTTTATGTGTGATTTTTTATTGGCTACACCGTCACCTTTATCGAACAATGATTAGTGTACGAGATGGTAATGAATCAACAAAACTGTAATCCTATGTACACTAGCTGGAAAATAGTATAATGAAACGGTGATAACACAGTACAAACAAGTCATATTGGTAATTTTCTGGATGTACATCAAAAGGTTTTGGCCACAATTTATCATTATTGGGGCCAAAATCATGGCCAAAAAACCCTTTAAGTGGTAACAATGTACTATTCCATGAGAGTTGATTGGGCTACACTTTGTGTTTGAAATCTGGTCATAGATGTTCAAGAGTTTAAGGGCCCTTTTGTCTCTCTGTGGAACTGGCCACTACAGCATATCAAATGACTTCTTGTAAGAACTTTTACTTTACATATCCTCTCCAACCTGAAAAATATCTTGACAATTATATCACTGATGTGGAAAAAAATGACTGATGACTGGAATGTTCGATGTGGACCTGATCTCTGGTCTTTGATTTAGTAAAGTAACACTGGTATCAGTGTCTTACATTGTTCTTGAGTTAATCACCTTGTGCATACCCAGGGTCATTTTGAGGCACGGTCGTCTTATAGTAGCTGGTGACTATCACACTGATTAACACATGAGGGGCCTGTTACATGCCATTTTATGTAATAAGGGTAAAGTGTCTTGCTCAACAACTCAACCACGTCATTACAGACCTGTCAGTTTCACATCTCCCTGAGAAACACAAGCAGTCATGACTAGGGAGTGTCAAAACACACATTTCAGGTCTTTACCAAAGGCTATGTAGACCAACACATTAACCAACTAAACTAACAGAGCCCACCTTTTGTATGTGAATAGCTATTCCACACTGTCAATACACAATACTGATAAATGATAGCCAATATACATATAAACAAAAAAATGTCACCATGGTAACAGAATGAGCTACACAGAAAGCATGATGGAAACAAAAAAATTCATTTGAAACTATAAAATTTACTTGTGACTGACTCAGACAGTACTGTATGTATCAAGTAATAAGCCCATGCCTGGAACTAAGCTGATCTTTTTTGTCAATATACTATTTCATAGCCCTATAATAAGCCCATTCCAGTTTTATCGTTGTCCTGTAATAAGCCCACACCTGACTGTTTTTCTTTGTCCTGTAATAGGCCCACATCCCTAGGTTTATCTTTGTCTTGTAATAGGCCCACATCCCCAGGTTTATCTTTGTCTTGTAATAGGCCCATATCCCCAGGTTTATCTTTGTCTGTAATAGGCCCACATCCCCAGGTTTATCTTTGTCTTGTAATAGGCCCACACCCGCAGTTTTATTTTTGTCCTGTAATAAGCTCAAACCCCAAGTTTTATCTTTGTCCTGTAATAAGCACACACCCCAATTTTTATCTTTGCTCTGTAATAAGCCCACACCTCACTGTTTTTCTTTGTCCTGTAATAAGCAGACACCCCAAGTTTTATCTTTGCCCTGTAATAAGACCACACCTCACTGTTTTTCTTTGTCCTGTAATAAGACCACACCTCATTGTTTTTCTTTGTCCTGTAATAAGCAGACACCTCACTGTTTTTCTTTGTCCTGTAATAAGCACACACCCCAATTTTTATCTTTGCTCTGTAATAAGCCCACACCTCACTGTTTTTCTTTGTCCTGTAATAAGCAGACACCCCAAGTTTTATCTTTGCCCTGTAATAAGACCACACCTCACTGTTTTTCTTTGTCCTGTAATAAGCCCACACCTCATTGTTTTTCTTTGTCCTGTAATAAGCCCACACCTCACTGTTTTTCTTTGTCCTGTAATAAGACCACACCTCATTGTTTTTCTTTGTCCTGTAATAAGCCCACACCTCACTGTTTTTCTTTGTCCTGTAATAAGACCACACCTCATTGTTTTTCTTTGTCCTGTAATAAGCAGACACCCCAAGTTTTATCTTTGTCCTGTAATAAGCCCACACCTCACTGTTTTTCTTTGTCCTGTAATAAGCAGACACCCCAATTTTTATATTTGTCCTGTAATAAGACCACACCTCATTGTTTTTCTTTGTCCTGTAATAAGCAGACACCCCAAGTTTTATCTTTGCCCTGTAATAAGACCACACCTCACTGTTTTTCTTTGTCCTGTAATAAGCAGACACCCCAATTTTTATATTTGTCCTGTAATAAGACCACACCTCATTGTTTTTCTTTGTCCTGTAATAAGCAGACACCCCAAGTTTTATATTTGTCCTGTAATAAGACCACACCTCACTGTTTTTCTTTGTCCTGTAATAAGCAGACACCCCAATTTTTATATTTGTCCTGTAATAAGACCACACCTCATTGTTTTTCTTTGTCCTGTAATAAGCAGACACCCCAAGTTTTATATTTGTCCTGTAATAAGACCACACCTCACTGTTTTTCTTTGTCCTGTAATAAGCAGACACCCCAATTTTTATATTTGTCCTGTAATAAGACCACACCTCATTGTTTTTCTTTGTCCTGTAATAAGCAGACACCCCAATTTTTATATTTGTCCTGTAATAAGACCACACCTCACTGTTTTTCTTTGTCCTGTAATAAGACCACACCTCACTGTTTTTCTTTGCCCCGTAATAAGACCACACCTCACTGTTTTTCTTTGTCCTGTAATAAGCAGACACCCCAAGTTTTATATTTGTCCTGTAATAAGACCACACCTCACTGTTTTTCTTTGTCCTGTAATAAGACCACACCTCACTGTTTTTCTTTGCCCCGTAATAAGCACACACCTCATTGTTTTTCTTTGTCCTGTAATAAATAAGCCCACACCGGAATAATATCTTAACCCCCTGGGCTTATTGTCAGGTAGACTAAGTAACTGATAACTTAGGCTTAAAAGAAAAAAATCACTTGTAATTAAAGAAATAATATTTCCTGCTCTTTACAACCCTAATATCTGAAAAACATAGACTGAAATATAAAAAAAAATTATGACAGACTCAAGCAATTACTGATGTTAATTCAGCCAATTTCAAGAAACAGATATATGTATCTCCACTTACGATAGCTAAAATGTTTGTGATGGAAGGACGGACTGTTATAAAATTATGTTTTGTTTATATACAAGATTAATACCTGAAATATGGCAAGTAAACTTTAACTTAAATATCATCTTCATCATAACTTCTTATGACTCTTCTTAACTGAACAAAATTGATGATTAATTTAAACAAAGCTTATTTTACACTGCATAAAGGTCATGAATACTGATGGTTATAGGTTTGTGAAACTTGTCAAACATCCACCACTTCATCTAAAAATAGTGTTGAATAAAAAATGATACAAGACTAACAAACATGATATATTCTATACAATAAAGATGAAGGTTTGCTATGTTTCACTATTATCCTGTTATACAGGGGTGTAAACATTTTGTTCAATGCACTAGCCCAGGGCTAATGGCCTGCTAAATTCCACTAGCCCAAAACAATTTTCTGTTAGCCCCAAATATTTGCACCACTTTATGAAATATTAAAGAAATATGTTGATGTTTTAAAATTCATTAACAAATGAATTAATTTAAAAGAAAACAAATCTGAAAGGAATCTGTTGTCTACAAAATTCAGATTCATTACTCATTCCCTGAAATTGAAAGGGAAATAAATCAGAAAAAATTCAGGATTCTGGATTTTTCTCAGGCAAGTTTGTACAGATTTCATCTCCAGTGAAGTTATTCCAGTTCATGAATTAAGAAATACTTATGCTATGATCATAATTCACTAGTGACAGCTGAGAAAAAAACCCTAAAGAATGTCACTGACCCTGGGCTAGTGGGTCTGTAATTTCCACTAGCCAAAGTTTAAAAATGTCACTAACCCTGGGCTAGTGGGTCTGTAATTTCCACTAGCCAAAGTTTAAAAATGTCACTAACCCTGGGCTAGTGGGTCTGTAATTTCCACTAGCCAAAGTTTAAAAATGTCACTAACCCTGGGCTAGTGGGTCTGTAATTTCCACTAGCCAAAGTTTAAAAATGTCACTAACCCTGGGCTAGTGGGTCTGTAATTTCCACTAGCCAAAGTTTAAAAATGTCACAAACCCTGGGCTAGCCAAAGTTTTAAAATTTGGTAGCCACGGTCATCTGGCTAGTGGATTTTCATACCCTTGCTGTATTAGACTGTCGTTATTTTCATTTGTACCGGCACATATGCCTGCAATCGTGGACCAACATCAGGGTTACAGAAGATAGGAGGACTGGCCTTTTGATCATCAGCTTTCTTTGGCAGGTACATGCCTGTCTCTAAGTCAAACTCAATAACATGACCTGTTTCTTTTGCCATTATTTTCCATGAGTTATTTCCTATTAACTCAAAGACAAATCTTGTGTCAAGGCTGTTGTCATCATATCCATGTTTGTATTCCTGTTACATAGAAAGCATATCTGCATTAGTGGTTATCATAGCTGTATGTTATTCTGTAACATAGAATGTTTTCCTGTGTTATAACAAAATATCAACATGGTTATTAACATAGCTGTATGTTATTCTGTTACATAGATAGTTTTCCTGTGTAATAACAACAAAATATCAACATTGTCATAAACATGACTATGTTATTCTGTTACATAGAAAGTTTTCCTGTGTTATAACAAAATATCAACATGGTTATTAACATAGCTGTATGTTATTCTGTTACATAGATAGTTTTCCTGTGTAATAACAACAAAATATCAATATTGTCATAAACATGACTATGTTATTCTGTTACATAGAAAGTTTTCCTGTGTTATAACAAAATATCAACATTGTCATAAACATGGCTATGTTATTCTGTTACATAGAAAGTTTTCCTGTGTTATAACAAAATATCAACATTGTCATAAACATGACTGTATGTTATTCTGTTACATAGAAAGTTTTCCTGTGTTATAACAAAATATCAACATTGTCATAAGCATGGCTATGTTATTCTGTTACATAGAAAGTTTTCCTGTGTTATAACAAAATATCAACATTGTTATTAACATGACTATATTATTCTGTTACATAGAAAGTTTTCCTGTGTTATGACAAAATATCAACATTGTCATAAGCATGGCTATGTTATTCTGTTACATAGAAAGTTTTCCTGTGTTATAACAAAATATCAACATTGTTATTAACATGACTATATTATTCTGTTACATAGAAAGTTTTCCTGTTTTATGACAAAATATCAACATTGTCATAAACATGGCTATGTTATTCTGTTACATAGAAAGTTTTCCTGTGTTATAACAAAATATCAACATTGTCATAAACATGGCTATGTTATTCTGTTACATAGAATGTTTTCCTGTGTTATAACAAAATATCAACATTGTCATAAACATGGCTATGTTATTCTGTTACATAGAAAGTTTTCCTGTGTTATAACAAAATATCAACATTGTCATAAACATGGCTATGTTATTCTGTTACATAGAAAGTTTTCCTGTGTTATAACAAAATATCAACATTGTTATTAACATGACTATATTATTCTGTTACATAGAAAGTTTTCCTGTTTTATGACAAAATATCAACATTGTCATAAACATGACTGTATGTTATTCTGTTACATAGAAAGTTTTCCTGTGTTATAACAAAATATCAACATTGTCATAAACATGGCTATGTTATTCTGTTACATAGAAAGTTTTCCTGTGTTATAACAAAATATCAACATTGTCATAAACATGACTATGTTATTCTGTTACATAGAAAGTTTTCCTGTGTTATAACAAAATATCAACATTGTCATAAACATGGCTATGTTATTCTGTAACATAGAAAGTTTTCCTGTGTTATAACAAAATATCAACATTGTTATTAACATGACTATATTATTCTGTTACATAGAAAGTTTTCCTGTTTTATGACAAAATATCAACATTGTCATAAACATGACTGTATGTTATTCTGTTACATAGAAAGTTTTCCTGTGTTATAACAACAAAATATCAGCATTGTCATAAACATGACTCTGTTATTCTGTAACATAGAATGTTTTCCTGTTTTATAACAAAATATCAACATTTTTATTAACATGGCTGTATGTTATTCTGTTACATAGAAAGTTTTCCTGTGTTATAACAACAAAATATCAGCATGCTATGTCTTAATTCTTTCATTTAATTTTTTTTTCTTTTTATTTATCCAATAATAAAATGTCATTTACTGTGTTTTTGTAATGTGTTGAATGTTGGATTTAACGAGGCATCTCCATCTATACATTATTTTGGCTGATGAGTCCCACATGTAAGAACAAATCCTCGAAAGATGAAATGGCTAGATGATACAGATGATTTTTTTATTTACAATCAGCATATATACCATAGGTATACAATGTGCTGTGCATAACATTCATTTTGAAAAGAAAAGTGAATTTCGCTTCTGTGTCTAGGACATTCTGCTACATGGTAACTACACTTTACAATTACGTACCCTTTTTCTATACCAGATAGTCAGCGACATGTCATAACTCTATGCTCTGTACAGTATAGGAATGATATGACTATAGACGCATTGTCTATACATAAACTGTTTCTTACCCTTGTTTTGAGGTTTATGCCATCCATGTAGAGGACCTTGTTCTGGTTTTGATCAGTAATGCCTATGATTTGATAGTAGTTGTCGCTGAAATCGTGGATCACCTTGAAAAAAGCTGAAAAAGAATGGATTTTTGTAATGAAGGGCAAACAATTCAATAGAAAACAAATATTTACTGTTGTCTTGGAAAACCATTGATATTGAAAAATATTGATGGTAAAGTAGATGATCATTCCCATTTGTCTAGAAACCATTCATATTGTCCTGGTAAAGTTCACTGTAGGCTAGATACATAGGATTTTAGTCACTTCCATGCGACCTGCAGTGATACTTACTGTCCTGGTAAAGTTCACTGTAGGCTAGATACATAGAATTTTAGTCACTTCCATGTGCCTTGCTATGATACTTACCGTTCTGGCAATTTCACTGCTTCAAAGACTTGTTGAATGGACAATAGTCACATTGCTGTCATACATACTGTTCTTCAGGCAAATTTCACAGTTACATTGTAAAACTAACAGGTGTCATGTTACTATAATGCAAACTGCCCTGGCCAAATTAACTATTGACTAAACTTCTGCAAATGATAGTAGTCAAATGTTGTTATGATACTTACTGTCCTTATCACAAACTTCACCATTGACACACACTTGGCCATCATGTTGGATCTTTAGCAATCCATTTCGTCGTTCTGCATAGGCGTAACGAAACCGTAAAACTTGACTTTCATAGTGGTTATCTGACACAGATGGCTTGGCGGCATAATTTAACAGCTCCCAAGTATCAACAGGTACCTGCTATAAAATATCCAACAGAAAGTTCCTATAATGATTGTCCTTAAAGATGACCTGTTATTTTAACTTACAATATACACTACTATATGTTTTTCCAATTATGAAGTTCCTGGGGCTGTGTAACAATTAGTGTTGTTCCGATTAATCGAGTTAATCGAGTATCACTTGTTTGAGATGTTTGATCAATTAATCGAGTAAGAAATCTGTAATCGATCATCGTGATGTATGAAAATAGATTATTTCAACATTGAAATTATTTTCAACATTAATAAAACTATTTTAAAAATAATGACATTTGTTTATATTAAAAAGTATTCTGTGCAATAAACGATTAACAAGCACACAAAATGATGGTGTAGGTACAACAGTTTTAGTTATTACGTGAATTGCTGTTAAAACATAACACAAAATACGTATTTAGACTTGAATAATATCCAAAAACAGACAATTAAGAATTAATCGATTTTAATCAATCATCGATCGGTTACACAAAGTTGATGATCGATCAGGAAATCTCAACCGCTTCCCAACACTAGTAATAATTGTTATCTTTGGAAAAAAATTAATTTTGACCAGTTTGAAGATGCTTGCTGATGTCTTGTAATACCTATTAATTGCTTAATATTTGTATTAGACTGTAGGTCTTCTATTCTTCATTTAGTGTTGTTTATTTTGGGCCTGAACTTTACCATTTGAAGTACAAGATTTATCATTTATTTATGAATCGTTGATTATTTAAAATACCAGTTTTAACATTTTAAGTATAAATTTAACAATGATGTACTTCATTTACAATTAAAAGTGTTATTTTTTTTATGCTCATCTGACCTGAAAGGCCATGTGATTTTAAGGCATGCCATGGCATCTGTCATCTGTCCAGCAACTTTTCCTACAAATCACTAATTGTCGTGAATGACTGAACAGATTTCAGGGATGGGTGGAAGGGGAGGGGGTGGGGGTAAATAGGGGAAATAGAACTAATTATTTAAAATCATAATTATCCTGTAGCAATGATGGGATTTTGCTAAAATTCAGTCCATTGCGTCCTTGAGTGAAGAGGAATCAGATTTGTATAAATGTTGGGTCTTTGCTCTATAGGGTGAGTGGGGCAGGGCCCAATATGTGAGATAAAACAAACACATGAAAATCTTTATCAAGCTCACCTGGCTCAAAAAGCATTTTATTTTTGTGGTTTGTAGCCACGGAAGCAACAAGTGTGTCAACACAATGAACTTTTTTACGCAGCATTGGTTTACCATATTTACTTTTTCAAGCATTACCTTTACCGTTTCTATTGTTTCATTACTCACTGTAACATCTAAAATGTGTAGGTTCTCAGGATCTAACTTGTGCTGGAGTATGAAATCTGCCGGGAAGTCAATCTCACAATCCATGAAATCTGCCGGGTTGTGAATCACAAAATCGGTGGTGTAATGCTAAGGAGGCTGCTGAGTAACTGTAACTATCAAAGTAACCAGAAATACAAAAACTAGATTGAAGTATCAGCTACAAAGCTTCAGGTTCAGTCTAACATTCAACATTTCTTGTACATGTACATATGTGAACACCATGTTTCCTACTGACTGCAGCAAAGTCAAGATGAACAATCCCTTCATATGACTTGAGACATTTTCTATATCACCACTGATTAAAGTCACAATCAGGATAACTAATAACCTGGTTATTATACACTCTGGTAAACATACAGACTGATAACTAATAACCTGGTTAGTTTACAGTCTGGTAATCATACAGGCTGATAACTGATAACCTGGTTATTATACAGTCTGGTAAACATACAGACTGATAACCTGGTTAGTTTACAGTCTGGTAATCATACAGGCTAATAACTGATAACCTGGTTATTATACAGTCTGGTAAACCTACAGACTGATAACTAATAACCTGGTTAGTTTACAGTCTTGTAATCATACAGGCTGATAACTGATAACCTGGTTAGTTTACAGTCTGGTAAACCTACAGACCAATATCTAATAACCTGGTTATTATACAGTCTGGTAAACCTACAGACTGATAACTAATAACCTGGTTAGTTTACAGTCTGGTAAACATACATGCTGACAACTGATAACCTGGTTATTATACAGTCTGGTAAACATACAGGCTGATAACTGATAACCTGGTTAGTTTACAGTCTGGTAAACATACAGACTGATAACCTGGTTAGTTTACAGTCTGGTAATCATACAGGCTGATAACTGATAACCTAGTTATTATACAGTCTGGTAAACCTACAGACTGATAACTAATAACCTGGTTAGTTTACAGTCTGGTAATCATACAGGCTGATAACTGATAACCTGGTTAGTTTACAGTCTGGTAAACCTACAGACTGATAACTAATAACCTGGTTAGTTTACAGTCTGGTCATCATACAGGCTGATAGCTGATAACCTGGTTATTATACAGTTTGGTAAATATACAGGCTGATAACTGATAAACTGGTTAGTTTACAGTGTGGTAAACATACAGACTGATAACTAATAACCAACAATAATGAACCGTAAAATTGTACAGTCTGAATCATGTAAATACGACACATTTAAAAACCCACATTTGCATTATGTTAAAATTAATGAAAAACTGCAAACATTTTTGCTAGTCCATAATTCCATTTCGCTAGTAGAAATTTTTGGCACTCGAATTGACCCCTGGATACCCAAGTGGAACTTAGATAAGACACTGACTACAATATTTTCTGGATTATAGGCCTCACCAGTATTTAAGCCACAAAGCCAATTTTTCACGAATTTTTTCTGTTTGATTCGACGGAATATAAGTCGCCCCCTTTCATATGATGTGGTAACCGTAATGTTTAAATTTAATTTACAGTCTGGTAAACATACAGACTGCTAACTGATAACCTGGTTAGTTTACAGTCTGGTAAACATACAGACTGATAACCTGGTTAGTTTACAGTCTGGTAATCATACAGGCTGATAACTGATAACCTGGTTATTATACAGTCTGGTAAACCTACAGACCAATAACTAATAACCTGGTTAGTTTACAGTCTGGTAAACATAGAGACTGATAACTTGGTGAGTTTACAGTTTGGTAAATATACAGACTGACAACTGATAACATGGTTAGTTTACAGTCTGGTTAACATACAGACTGATAACTGATAACCTGGTTAGTTTACTGTCTGGTAAACATAGAGACTGATAACTTGGTGAGTTTACAGTTTGGTAAATATACAGACTGACAACTGATAACATGGTTAGTTTACAGTCTGGTTAACATACAGACTGATAACTGATAACCTGGTTAGTTTACTGTCTGGTAAACATACAGACTGATGAATAGTAAACTGTAAGGGTGACTATGGAGGCTAAAAAGCTATTACAATAGTATTGCAATAGGAAAATTACTCTTGCGGTAGTATTGTGATAGTGAAGCTTTTAAAATCTGTCTTTTTCTAATCCAAAAATATGGGTCACCATCCAATTAGATGTGTAAAATGAAAAAAATCTTCACAATTTTATACAATCAAGTTTAAGCTTGATTTATGTTTTAAAAGAAGATTAATTAATTCAACAATGATTAAATCATTTGGTTTCGATAGTAAGTCTGACACACTCATACATTGTTGGGAGATCATGTCGAAGGAAAATCTATATCCGCCTAGTTAAGGTAGGAAAATAGAGCTATTTACCTAATCAATGTGCCTGTACTTTCACAAACGGGAGTTAAATTGTGATCAGTTTTGAAACACTTATTTATTTTCACGGAACCCGAATGCTGCCCTACCCATGTTTTTGCCTTTATGATTGGCATGAGAATAAGTTTTAAAAATGCTGCCGACTTCCCGCTAAGTTGTGTATTGAAATTTGGTCGTTTCAGGGATGGGTCTAAAACATGGACTCTGAGTTAGTCACCACCTCCATATTTGAAACAATAACGATACAACGCTTATTCAAAATAAAAAATTATCATTGTAACAACTTGGGTTTAAAATTCTGTTTCCATTCTAACTTGGTTGATTGTGTTGTTCTTGTACATAGCGTTAACCTCTAATCGAGATCCAAAAAACACTTTCATAAATAAACAAAAAGGTTTGCAGCTGTTTGGCAACTACTCAGATAAAAATCTTGTTTTCAAGAAGTATTTTTATTACTTAGAAAAAACATATTAATGATTGATAGTAGAACAAGCTATCACCATAGTGATACAACCTTGATAGATGGAAACTTATTTGTCTGTACCCTGGTGAACACAGGCATGACAACAAATAGTTGTAAATCTGGTTAGTCTCTTGTTACAATTCAACCTGGTTAATATATAACCAGCTGGTCTGATAACCAAGTTACATTACAGTTTGTTTAACCTTTTGCCTGATCATAATTACCTTTGTTAACTTTCAGCCTGGTATTAAGGATTCAGTCTGACGTAACACTATATCATTAAGTCCGCTGTAATATACATACCCAATATACATACATACCTGTGTAGTTAGTAAGGGTTTATGATCTGCTCTGATATTTCATGTATCGTACTGTAGACACTGATATAAGCCTATGATACAATATAATAATTATTTGTCACTCTGAGATGCTAGTTGATACCATTAATGCTTTGATTTGCATGCTCTACTAATCCTGCCTTATAATGTTTACAGTGTACCTGTCACGTATAAACTTGTTTACATAGAAGAGTAGAGTTGTAACAGAAAATTAGTCAGTGTAACTTACCTGTATGTTTCTCGACCAGGATGTGTACAAAGTGTCTGACAGGCGTCAACTGTCTCCACACACACTATAGATACTGCAGCCACTAGCCCACTACGCACGCAGCTGCTTTCCTGTGTGAATAAATTCAGGATAGCCCATGTGTTATATGCTGATTTATACCATGTGTGTGCTTGCACATTTCAGAAATTGAAACTTTGTGGTTTTCCCCAGGATTTCGGAGAAGCAGTTATAATCAACTGTTTGTACATGCGTGGCTGGTGGCACATATATATATATGAATGAACTTTTCTTTTATTTGTTCTATAGTTGTTTTCTGTGTAGGTCAGATGGGAATTTTGAATTTGAAGGCAGTACTATTTATAGATTTCTCATTTAGTTTCGGTTGTATATCACTCAGTCTCTTAAAAAGGGTGTTGAATTTCCTGAATAGGGTCTGTGGGGGGTGGGGGTGGGGGGCTACATTTCTGATTTGATTGTCATTTGAAAAGAATTTAACATATTGTCATTGTCAACTCTTTGTTTGATGTTCCTATAAATAGGCAGGAAAGATCACTTTCCCAAAGTTATTCATACACAGCCATAAAAATTACAAAAGGATAAAAAGCAAGTCTACTGTTAAGTGTTTTCAAGCCAGCTATAGTAAACCAGTTGTCCCATGGGACCATAATAATTGCTGCATTATAATTTGCTGATTTTGCTGTTTTTCAAAAGAATATCCCAAGCATCGTCTTTGAGTGACATGACCTTAGGCTTAGTTGTTTTTCCTAACACAGGCCATTGTTTTTCCCTATGAGCATTTTTAATTACATATCTGGTATACACTGGCACATGATCTTGTTTCAAAATCTATTCATGATGTTGAAAGTATCATTTTGATTAAGTACCCCATTCAACCCTCAAAGGGCAAAGACTTGGAACAGTTCCCAACCCTTCTCCCCACCTCCCCCGTATTCCTACTCTTGAAGGCTGTCACAGAAACATAAGAAAGTGGTTCTGTTCAGACAATAAAGCATTACATAAAGCACCTGCACATCAGATCAATTATAAAATGTCAACATGGCCATTCAAAACAAACAGTCTTTATTGACTGATGGTATCCTGATTGTTACCTAGGTAGATAGCATACCAAATCTTGTGCTTTGAACTACTCGGGTATCAAAGATGTTTTTGGAGAATGAGTGTGTTCAGTAGGTTCTGTCTGTATAGTATCATTATCCAAGGAATTGAGATATTTTAAGAACCTTCATTTTAAAAACACATGTAGCTTGAACAGGTATTTCTAAACTTAATGAGGGAAAAATAAACATTCTTGGACATGCTGGCCCAACAGTTTAATTAGAATTTTGTGTTTTTGTAGAAGATAATCTTGGTTTTGACTTAACATATTAATTAGAATTTTTCATTTTTGTAGAATTTAACTTTGCCTAATTTTATCACCTCATTTGTTAAAATGTGGTTATCTTTGTAATAAATCTTGCCTACATTGAGTTCCTGAGTTACCTTAGGTGACAACTTCTGTTTTGTAGAGTATACCTCAGTAACTGTGATGTAAAATCTGAAACTGACACACTAACATCTCATAATAACAAACGTTTTGGCTACAGTGATTTTTATATCGCCCTTTTGACAGAAGAGATAGTTAGGGATTCATGGACACCGACCATTCACTGATATTCAATTCTAGATAGTCCAGAACTGACCTCTGATTATTAGAATACCTGTATTTAGCTGCTCTTAACAATCATTAATGATGCAATTAGCTAATATAGTTTGAACAACTAGGCTCTGGTATTCCTCAGGTCCCAAGTAGTTCATGTTGGCGGGGTTTTACCTAAGATTGCATGGATTTGTGTATTTACTGAAATTTTTCAGTTATAGACTGCATCAATTCATGAGAAAGGACCTTCACCCACTATAAACCCACTCTATATTTAATCAGGTGTGTTTTACACTTCCTCATTCTAGTGGTTAATGTCCTCTCAGGATATAGGTGTTTGATACTCCTGCCCATGCACATAGTTTAGAAAAACCCAAACTTAATACACGTCTGTGAAGGTAAATACACAAGATATTGTTGTATAGTCAATATTTATTATGTTATACGTACATTTAAGTATATGAAGGCCAACGATTGGTTAATTGGCTGTCTGACCATCTGATAATATTGTATTAGAGTCATTTGTGGTCAGAAATATGATACCTCTACATGACTTTATTGTAAGGGACTTTTCTCCAGTCTATGAATTCAATGTTCTCATTGAAAGCCGGCTGCCAATAGAAGTAGTCATTCTGTTAAGCTTATGTAGGTTCATATTACTACAATTAAATTATCTTATTGTTTTGATTGTAACCAACAGCAATGATTATAGAGTGGATAATTTCATTGACCTGTCAGTACAAGTTTAAAAGGCTTGCTACTAATGTAACTTAGTTCATTTTTTAGTGTCTGAAGTATTGATGGACAAAAGTACCTGTCCTGACTACACCATCTATATAAGCAATGACATAACAGGACATAACATACCTATGTAGGTGATGACCAACAAAAGTACAGGACATAACATACTTATGTAGGTGATGACCAACAAAAGTACAGGACATAACATACCTATGTAGGTGACGACCAACAAAAGTACAGGACATAACATACCTATGTAGGTGATGACCAACAAAAGTACAGGACATAACACACCTATGTAGGTGATGACCAACAAAAGTACAGGACATAACATACCTATGTAGGTGACGACCAACAAAAGTACAGGACATAACATACCTATGTATGTGATGACAACAAAAGTACAGGACATAACACACCTATATAGGTGATGACCAACAAAAGTACAGGACATAACATACCTATGTAGGTGATGACCAACAAAAGTACAGGACATAACAGACCTTTGTAGGTGATGACAACAAAAGTACAGGACATAACATACCTATGTAGGTGATGACCAACATAACATACCTATTGTAGGTGATGACCAACAAAAGTACAGGACATAACAAACCTTTGTAGGTGATGACCAACAAAAGTACAGGACATAACATACCTATGTAGGTGATGACCAACAAAAGTACAGGACATAACATACCTATGTAGGTGATGACCAACAAAAGTACAGGACATAACACACCTATGTAGGTGATGACCATCAAAGTACAGGACATGACACACCTATATAGGTGATGACCATCATAGTACAGGACATAACACACCTATGTAGGTGACGACCAAGAAAAGTACAGGACATAACATACCTATGTAGGTGATGACCAACAAAAGTACAGGACATAACATACCTATGTAGGTGATGACCAACAAAAGTACAGGACATAACATACCTATGTAGGTGATGACCAACAAAAGTACAGGACATAACATACCTATGTAGGTGATGACCATCAAAGTACAGGACATAACATACCTATGTAGGTGATGACCAACAAAAGTACAGGACATAACATACCTATGTAGGTGATGACCAACAAAAGTACAGGACATAACATCATCAATTTTATGATGATTTACTAATTGATCTATTAATTTGAGATCCATATTTCAATTCAATCTATTTATAAATAATATCAGTAGACATTGAACTGATATAAGATAACCAGAGTAAATATGTACAGCTATATGAATTACAAGTGAAGTGGACTGTTGATAAATGAAGAGTTTGTGTCGCCTTTTACTAAAGGTCACCTATGATTGTAGAAGCTGCTGATAAACCTGGTGACCAGTAATAAGAACAGATGTATATCAAAAGAAGTAGCCAAAGCTATTATCTCAATCAAATTTGATAACTCCACTGTAAATATTTACCATGTAAATTTAGAAATAATCAATTATGATGAAAGTAAATGTTTACTGATGAAAAATTGAAAAAAACCAGTGAAAGGTCTTTTGATATGACTTTAAGACAGATGGTTCATTGTGTGACTGTAAAACAAATTAGAGCATTGTGTCACTGTGAGAGAGATGAGACGTTTGTTGTGTGACTTTGAGACAGATGAGAGGTTTGATGTGTGACTGAGACAGATGAGAGGTTTGATGTGTGACTGTGAGACAGATGAGAGGTTTGCTGTGTGACTGTGAGAGAGATGAGAGGTTTGTTGTGTGACTGTGAGAGATGAGGGGTTTGTTGTGTGACTGAGAGATGAGTGGTTTGATGTATGACTGTGTGACAGATGAGAAGTTTGATGTGTGACTGTGACAGATTAGAGGTTTGTTGAGTGACTATGAGATAGATGAGAGGTTTGATGTGTGACTTTGAGACAGATGAGAGGTTTGCTGTGTGACTGTGAGAGAGATGAGAGGTTTGATGTGTGACTGTGAGACAGATGAGAGGTTTGATGTGTGACTGTGAGAGATGAGAGTTTTGATGTGTGACTTGGAGACAGATGAGAGGTTTGATGTGTGACTTTGAGAGATGAGAGGTTTGATGTGTGACTGTGAGACAAATGAGAGGTTTGATGTGTGACTGTGAGACAGATGAGAGGTTTGATGTGTGACTGTGAGAGATGAGAGGTTTGATGTGTGACTGTGAGAGATGAGAGGTTTGATGTGTGACTTTGAGACAGATGAGAGGTTTGATGTGTGACTTTGAGACAGATGAGAGGTTTGATGTGTGACTGTAAGAGACGAGAGGTTTGATGTGTGACTTTGAGACAGATGAGAGGTTTGTTGTGTGACTGTGAGAGAGATGAGACGTTTGTTGTGTGACTGTGAGAGAGATGAGACATTTGTTGTGTGACTGTGAGACAAATGAGAGGTTTGATGTGTGACTGTGAGACAGATGAGAGGTTTGATGTGTGACTTTGAGACAGATGAGAGGTTTGATGTGTGACTGTGAGAGATGAGAGGTTTGATGTGTGACTGAGAGATGAGAGGTTTGATGTGTGACTTTGAGACAGATGAGAGGTTTGATGTGTGACTTTGAGACAGATGAGAGGTTTGATGTGTGACTGTGAGAGATGAGAGGTTTGATGTGTGACTGTGAGAGATGAGAGTTTTGATGTGTGACTTGGAGACAGATGAGAGGTTTGATGTGTGACTTTGAGACAGATGAGAGATTTGATGTGTGAGTTTGAGACAGATGAGAGGTTTGATGCGTGACTGTGAAATAGATGAAATGTTTGTGTGACTTTGAGAGAGATTAGAGGTTTGATATGTGACTGTGAGAGAGATGAGAGGTTTGATGTGTGACTGTGAGAGAGATGAGAGGTTTATTGTGTGACTGAGAGAGATGAGAGGTTTGATGTGTGACTGAGACAGATGAGAGGTTTGATGTGTGACTTTGAGACAGATGAGAGGTTTGATGTGTGACTGTGAGAGATGAGAGGTTTGATGTGTGACTGTGAGAGAGATGAGAGGTTTATTGTGTGACTGTGAGAGAGATGAGAGGTTTGATGTGTGACTGTGAGAGAGATGAGAGGTTTGATGTGTGACTGTGAGAGAGATGAGAGGTTTATTGTGTGACTGAGAGAGATGAGAGGTTTGATGTGTGACTGTGAGAGAGATGAGAGGTTTGTTGTGTGACTGTGAAATAGATGAGATGTTTGTGTGACTGTGAGACAGATGAGAAATTCAATGTGTGATCATATCTCAGATTAGAGTTTTTTGTGTGGTTGTGTGTAGGATAGTGTTAATACACCAAAAGGCCAAATTCACCTTCAGTTTGACGGTTTTTTGCACAGTATACAGTGAATATTAAGAATCAATAAATTTTAGTGTTTTTGATATTTCTCAAACTTAGTGTTTGTCTTCTTCTTCAGGAAAGTACAGATGTTTATGGGGACTACCTCCCAAGTGTGACTGACCCTCTGTCACTTCTGTTTAGAAAGGCTCACAGTCTACAGGTGGTAAGTAAGAGACCATTAACCTATAGCTGATAAGACGAGATTTTCAATCAGTGGTATGTACCTGATACCTACTGAACCAAAAGTGGGCAATATTTCAATATGTCATTGCAAAACATACATTAATTGTAATATTGTAACTTACTGAACTACAGGTAATGTGATTTTTTAAATAGAACATAACAGTTTGTCTGGAGATATTGAAACTAATAATTCAGGGTAACATAGCTTGATTACATCCAGTTGAACATGACTTGATTTCATTCAGATGTATACAAACCTATAGATTACATCCTGTTTTACATAATTTGTTTATATCCAGGTGTACATTATTTGTTACAGGTGTTCCTCAGTCTCCTTGACAAAATCTCCATTGACACTGACTCTGTTGAAGAAGATGCCAGAGATCTCTGTTATGGTAAATTGACTTTGGATTTTTGATGGCCTCTGCATAAGTAGCCTGCAGATTTGTGAGGGGGTTTGGGGGTTAGGGTTGATGTGGCTCCAGCAGACATGATGATTGACATTATGTACTTTTAAGTCTTTCAACACAATGTCTTTATTATAATAAACACCCTGTTGCTAATAAACACCCCCCCACACCCCTTTTCGCAGTGATTTTCCTCAACTAAGATCACAAAACTTGCCTTGTGCCAAATATCCACACATGTACATATGAAATTTAAAACAAGAAAATCCAAAGAACAATTAAATCTCAAAAAGGAAAAATACAGGCTGTTTACATTTCTACACAGTTAATGACAAGATTAATGTCTGGGACAACCGTATGAAGTACTGTTCTCACTGTGATCACTTTCACTTTCGCTGTTAGCTCTTGGATCAGGCACATGCGCACCACCTACCAAATTTTACGTAACATTATATGCAGTCTGGACATTATTTTCAGTAAAGCCTTCAAATTCTCGTTAACAAAGTCTTGCTTGAAAATACCATCCTCGCTACCGCCTAGTGAACTTGTAAATACAACATTTTTTGAAGGATTTCCTGACAGAAGTGGGAGTAATACTGTCCCATGCTGTTTTGACCCATGGGCAACATCACTGCCTTAGATGGGGCCTTATGATTCCCCACTTTAATTTTCTCCACAGGACCATTAAAACACCACTTGTCATACAGCTCTCCAAGCTTGTCTTTAAAAGTTTTGTTCCAGAAAACATTGGCTCGCTGGTGCTTACATGTACCACCTCCCGGAATAACAAAGAGGTCGTTGTTGTACTTCTGGCTTTTAACATCTTCTGTTAAATGGCCACGGAACGAGTCCCACACCAGCAGTCGCTTGTCAGTGTTATTAACACCCCAAATTTTCTTCAGCCAAAACTTTATACTTTCTTCATTTGTCTATGACTTTGCTCCCGCCCTGCACATACTACAATACCGTTCTGGATGACACATTTGGGTAGCGGACAAATTCCAGGCAAGTGTACTAAAAGGGCTATTTTTGTGCTGTCAACATAAGCTGCTAGTGTCCCTGTAATTTTTAGTTTTGTATAAGCTGCTAGTGTCCCTGTAATTTTTAGTTTTGTATAAGCTGCTAGTGTCCCTGTAATTTTTAGTTTTGTATAAGCTGCTAGTGTCCCTGTAATTTTTAGTTTTGTATAAGCTGCTAGTGTCCCTGTAATTTTTAGTTTTGTATAAGCTGCTAGTGTCCCTGTAATTTTTAGTTTTGTATAAGCTGCTAGTGTCCCTGTAATTTTTAGTTTTGTATAAGCTGCTAGTGTCCCTGTAATTTTTAGTTTTGTCAAGCACTGTACTATAAACACAGATTTCTTTGTCCCCCTTCAATGCTAATGTTGATTGACCAGGTATGTTGAACCACACAGGTATTTCTCCATATTTACAATAAATCTATTGGAATACTTTCAGAGCCTCCACATCTGGATTACAAAATTTTAAAAACTGTCAAAGTGACTGTCAATCAGGGAAATGTCATGTTGTGTGACATGGGTAGATCGCCTAAATGAAATGTTGTGTTTTTTTTTTAACTTTGTAAACCACCCATAGAAGCTTTGAATGACTGGCTTCCAGTTGTGTTAGGCATACCTAAGGCCTTAAAGCATAAAGCTTTCCCGGTTACCAGGATACCAGTTTCTCATCTGTCAGTCAGCCATTTTATTAATATTTTATCGATATTGTCATATAAAACAGGCTTTCCACCTCTTCACAATGCGTAGATGTTTTAGCAAAATTTAAACATTTATCTTTTTTGACACCAGTCCCACACTTGTTTTCTCTCTACACAGAACACATTAGTCGCAGCATATTTTCCATTTTCTTGCACATATGCAATAACTTTTAAGTTTAAAGGAAATGTCATAATTTTTTCTGGTTCCGGACATGGTGATGATGAAATGACGATGTTGGGATCAGAATTTCTATAGATTAATATTATTTTAATGTTTTATAATGACATATAAGCGATGAGAGAACAAAAGGTCATGACCTTCATCTCTTGACAGAAGTACAGGTCACGGTGAGTACAAATGACAACAATATTTATACTAGTGCAATTTCTTACATCAATCCCAAAACATTTGTAAATTTGTTTAACAATGATTGAAGCATTATACAGACATAATGGCTATAGATTCTGTTTATAACTTTATATTTACACCCAACAACCTTCCGAGTCTGAAATTTTGTGTTCTATTAAATGCCCCTTCCTTCGAAAATTGCATGTCCCTGGAGTGTTTATTAGAATAAATACGGTAAAACAAGTACATGTACTTACAGATGTAAATAAACATTGTAGATATATTAATTATCAGTTGATACAAGTCATTCACCCAAAGCATATCTTGTCAAAATTATTTCAGACTTTGAACATTGTCAGCGATGAATTTCAAAGTGTTTGTCATATTGTGTTGGAGACATAACCCTTGAAGTTCATCAATTTTCCACTTGTTGGAAAGTTGGCAGATAGGGTCTGTGGAAAGTATGAGGAGTCAGTTGTCCGTGTATAATACAAACTCTGATAACAAAAGGTCAACAATTAGCTTAATATTAAATACATCCTGAGGAGACCTATACTAGTATATCAGATGTAGGTCAATATCAATGTCTATTGCAGTCATTGACTTATTTCTATGGTTGTAAGTTCCATATTCCTCTGACAATAAGCCTATCTAGTAAAAAGTCAATGTATATCCATGGCAGTCATTGACTCATTTCTGTTGTGTAGGTTCCATATTCTTCTGACAATAAGCCTATCAATGTCTATGGCAGTCATTGACTTATTTCTATGGTGTAGGTTCCATATTCTTCTGACAATATGCCTGTCTCGTAATAAGTCTATCAATGTCTATGGCAGTCATTGACTTATTTTTGTGGTGTAGGTTCCATATTCTTCTGACAATAAGCCTATCAATGTCTATTGCAGTCATTGACTTATTTCTATGGTGTAGTTTCCATATTCTTCTGACAATAAGTCTATAAATAGCCCATTTCTATGTGGTAGATATATTAACAGATGATTTTTCATTGTTGTGCAATAAGCCCACCTCCTTTCTTTTCTATATATTTGTTGTGGTGGCCCAATTAACTTATTGTTGGTTACATATTGCAAGTGGTATTCTAAACACATTCTTAATTAGATATTGTCAGAGTTCGTATTTCTTGTTACAAAAGTGCATTTATTTCTATATAATTTGATCTCAACAGAACCACTATTTCTCACACAGATAACATATCACTTTCTTTGGAATTCTTTTGTCTAAAGCCATAGTGCTATATTTTTCATTTGGAAGATAAAATACTGAAGCATATATAACACATGAAAGCCGATCTATCATAAAAGTTTAGGTGAAATATAAAGTTAGTATGAAATTGTCTCTGGTTGGTTTGTGCTTGTCATATATCAACACATTTCTTTGTTCTAAAGAAAAAGAAAGAGAAAAACTTTGTTTTTTAAACACTACAACAAAACAATGATAGACAAAACTTATTAGGATTTTTTGTATAGTATATGGAAACCCTAATATTGAATTTGTTGGTGGTTAAAGATTCAATGACTGTTCTATTGTATTTATTGTCAATACGGTATGTATGCTATCAGGGAGCAAGATCAATAAAAACGACCTCCGTTAGAATGCCGGCGGGTTCTTGTTATACGTTTTTGGCACACCAAGGTTACCATATCGAACTAACCAGGTTTTAACACTTGATTTTATGAGTATTGAAGTCTTGAGGCCTCCAGTTATTTTTAACAGGGAATTAGTGAAATAATATTCTGTGGTAGTTAGCTGGTGGAACGTCATTATATAAACACACCTTACGTCTGATAATCTATCGATTAGAACTACCTAATACACAAGGTATTAACACAGGTGAAAAATTGAGAGAGTAGTAATTGGATAGATTCCAGACCAGGTATTTCTCCTCTGTCAGTCAATACCAGTAGGTCATATCTAAAGCCTGATCAAACAAAACCTCACACAAAATATAAACATTAACAAAACCTATATGAAAGTTAACAATGATTAAATCCATTTTTGTAATGATAAATAACTATCAATGATATCAACACTTTTCTGTAAGACATTGTGGCCATCCATTTACACCAAGCGGGAACCAACATAAAATGCTTATTGATGTTGATTGATAAAGAATCTAACATTGTCATGACAACTTCGTAAAATTACTACAGAGTATCTTGTCAACCTTAAAGAACTTTCAGGTTGTGAACTTCCTTACATAGGTTTGAAAGTACATGGTTTCATAGAGAGAAATCACCCCGAAGGAAGTTTATTTTAACGACGGATTAAACTCGATTGAATTGGTGTTTAAATTCCCTGTATTGTTGTGACAGATTTAAGACTTGGATTCCAATAGGACATGTTGAAATTGAATTTATCTGTGACTGCACTTCAGTGATAGTATACAGAATGAACAAAATGGGATTTAAATACTCACCTGTACATTAGCTTACTGATATTGATGAAATTTTATGAAGTGACTGGGTACTTGGTGGAGAGGAAGGTACCAGCCTGGCAACCATCGAACACGGACTTTCTTCATTTATCAAATAACCGATAAGGAAAAACAGTTTCATTCGCCAGAGTTCCAGTATATCAACTTGTAGAAAGATTTTGACATAACAGTTTAAAATGTTTCTCTGATAAATCGGGACCTACCTATGACGTACGGTAGGTCTATAGATTAGTTTCTACTGTACCTTTGAAGGGCTATAACATTAATCATGTGTCCTGTGGAGGAATTTTTTTATTCTCACAAAAGGAAGGACATCATTTCTGTGATATAATCATGTAAGGAATTACGCGGACAAATTTAAATGATGACGGTTAATTACTTTAAAATTGAGCAATATCTTAAGCCTGTGAATGATTTCAACTGAAGTGATGGTGTTTTAATTTCCTGTTAACATCTGGTTGGATTACCGAGGGCTGATTTATTACTATCCTATATTATTGCTTTCTTGATTTGTATCTGACTGAATATATTACCACTCACTTAACCAAATATGGTGTTTTAATATCAGGTAATATGTAAAATTTATAGATATTAACCCTGGCTAACTCTTACCAGTGGGAAATTGGCTTGGATGTTGTCAACTGGTCCTAACTTTGTGTAGAGACTGCTCAAACTAGTATTGGTGATAGAGGACAATAATCTGTGTTGCTGTGATTTTGAACATACAACTTTTTGGAAATCCTCTCGTTATAGTGATGGTAACAAATTGCTACATTATGGCAATTTAAATAATACAAAGGAAAGTATTAGATAGTGTGTTGTGAATCAGTATACTAATTCAGTTGCCATGGCAATGAAAAAACGGGACAGGAAGATGGATCCATCAGAGAAAGCTATACGTGAAGCTACATTCAAACATCTCAGTAACAACAATGAGGATAAAGTACTGACAAAAACAGTATTGTATGTGCCTCATCGTAGTCGCTACTTTGGTCGATTCCCAATTGTATCTGTTCACAAAAATCCCAAAAATGGTCGCTATGTAGTTGTTGAGCAACGGGCCATACACAGCGACTTCTCTGATCGTTACCATGAAATTAAACACTTGGAAGAGCTGGAGAAGGAAAGTGGAGCTTATGACCCTGAGATTAAATTCCGCAGTGTGAAACCAGCATGGAAATGGGGAACAAAAGGTCACCACATTGAACGGTCATTTGACAGGTCCTATTACGAACCATATTTGCCACCCATCAATATGCCATGGACATCTGATTCTAAAGTTGGTTCCTTGGAAAATGCCAACCATATACCTGGTGGAGGTTTCAAAAAGGTGCCACATTACAAGCTGAAATGGAATGCAAAAGCTAAGGTGGGATCACTAGATAATGTCGATTATGATAAGCGTTTGTTAAACAGCCAATCAGGGTCGGACGTTAGTGTCCAGAGTGACCCCGGTGTGGGTGGAGAGGGCGTGGTTCTTCCAAAGATTAAAGCTCAGTACCGTGGCCAGGCATTCTCAGGACCTTTCAGTTCCATGCATTTTGTCCCAGGTGGGACAGCACATTTGGTCAAAAAGAAAAACACAGCCAAAGCCAAAGTGGGGTCGCTGGACAACATTAACTATGAAACCTATGGTGGACAATCAGAAATCCCACACTTTGGTAAACCCAATTGGAAAACAGAGGCAAAAGTGGGATCTTTGGAAAAAATATTTCATAAACCAGGTGGGGGCGATGTCACAATACCAGATTTAAAACCAAAATGGAAGTCAAAAGCAAAGGTTGGGTCACTAGACAATGCTGACCACATTCCAGCGAAAAGAAAGTTTCATGTGCCTCATTTTGAGGAAAACTGGAAGGAAACGTCTTCATCAAAAGTGGGTTCATTAGCTAATGCAGATCATGTTCCTAAAGGTGGTAACACTATGATCTACAATCAGTCCCAGAAGTGGACCAAGAAGTCCAAGATTGACCACCTGTGGAAGAAAAAGGCAGTTTATGTTGACCCTAACGATCTGGATTATGATGAAGACAAGGAGATTGAGGCAAGAATTAGAGCCATGTTATATCATGGGGAGTAGTGCTGATGTTCTGTGATTCCTTTTGTTCTGTATGTGATATTACATGTTCTGAGGAGGGTAATATTTACATCTTGTATATCTGGAGAAATTTTCATCAGTCTAACTCAGTTATTTAAAGGGATATTTTAAGTCATATTTGTTATTTAAAGGGATATTTTAAGTCATATATTGTGATATCTACTGTAGGCTTAATCAGATTTAGTTACGGACTAAATGTCTTAGACACCTTACTTAAAGTGCTTACTTAGTATTGTGTTTCAGGTCAGAAGGTCAAAGGTTAAAGATACTGTTACTATAAATAGAAAATTAGTTTGAATGTGATAACTCAGGTTCCTATCGGTAGATTTTGTTCTTGTCCACTTGAGAGTCAATGAGATGATTTAGCATTTTTATAGAATTTTATTTGTATTTGAATTTAACTGTCACTAAGTTACAGTAAAGTCAGGGATGAATGGGAAGCTTACATGTCATAAGATAGTACATATTAATATCCGTGGTATAAGTATTCATTAGTACTATGTACATACTACTGGGATAAAAAGTGAGAATGTTTCTGAGAATTAGATTTTTACATTTTTCAAAATAAATTTGTTTATATTGTTAGATCTGTTACACTCCCTAATAAAATGTTGATATTTATTATATTCTTCTTGTTTTTATTTAAGTACTGGACTTCTTGAGATGCGATTTATAGTTGTAATGAATGACACAACATTGTAGGTAAATGTTATCTTTAGTGCCATGGTATATCATAATTATACCTTTATATCTCGAACACTAATTATTATTTGTAGTGCTGTAATGATACATTTTAGTTTTAATGTACATCACAATACATACCCTTCGATTGCAGTATTTTCTATACAACACACTATCTATTTTTGTACATTCTAACTACAGTACAAAAAACCACCAACACAAAATATCAATGTGAAGTGAATTAGAGAAAATGTGTGGATTATCTACAATGTATGCTAACTACCAACTTTTAACAAAGTACGAGAATATATCAGACATTATTGCACACTGTTAATGGACATGGAAATATCAATGACACCATGACATTCAGGAGGCAGTTTATAATTAATGCTAAATGGTGTATCATATTGAAGTAGCAAAGAGATATTAAAACCACAATTGGAAGGCAAACAGTATGACTTAGTATTTCATCATCATGAGTGGAGTATTTTGGCCATCAGTACTATTTCCATCCGGGATTATAATCCTTATGTTATGATTGTTATAGCCAATGATTGTGGTCCTTCATCACTTCTGTCTGTCATAGGGAAGTGTTATGTACTATATGTACTTAATCATCCCCACTCAGCACAGGATGACAGAGTCAGGGACATGTAATACAAGTGACTTAAGAAACTATGTATATCTTTTCATAATGATGTAGCAAATTTATCGTGTGAACTAGCCTTGCTGTGTTTATTGATCATTTTTCTCCAAAAGTACCTACATAACTTTATTTGTATGAATTTATTATGAAAATGATATTCACTTCTCTCTGGCCAAGAAATGGCTCTGGTTGGGCCAGTTAGTTCACAATTACTACCATAACTTATACTTATAAGTGAATAAGGGCTTGGTAGGCAACATCAGATAACAACTTTGATGGAGAAAGGACTATGATGACTTCATGGCCCAGTGCTCAAACACAAAATCTAATGCTCCCTGCCATGGTATATACAAACAGATTCATCTATCTATCTGTTTGTCTGGAGGCATTTTCAGAGTACATGTCCAAAATTGGTCATGATAACTTCACAAAAATTTCTACATACGAGTACATCAATTAAGTGGTCTAGTGGTGCCTTTTGTTATGCCTATGGAGCTATTTTCAATCTTAAAGATTTTTCATGTCGTAAAATTACTGGTTTTAGCATTATCAGAGTGTATCAACAAACCTATTAAAGATAACTCCATAAAGGTTTCTACACACATAAATCAAAGGATTTAATAGTGCCTTCTTGTATGGTGGAGTTTGCAGTTTGGATACCTCTTTAATTGCCTTAAAAATGAAAAGTTGAAATCACTGATTTAAGCATTTCTGAAGCATATCTCCAAGACCTTTTCCAATAATTCCAGGAACCTTCCTATACACACCAATTCTTTGTTTACCATGGCAACAGATAGTCAAATTCGCTGATTCTACATTTCTGGAACATGTCTCCAAAATTGCTCAAAATAACTTCATTATTAAGACTTTAGTCACTACTTCTGCTCTATCCTTCATACAGACATTGACCACTTAACATCCTATTAAATAATCTCAGCGAGATACTGTGCCTGTGACCCAGGTTTTAATATGCTTGGGGATCTGAATGACCTTGTTTAAAGACATTATATGTATGACCTTTTTTGATTTGGTACTTAGGATGCACTTTATAAGTCATCATGTTTACCTAATGATATAATTAAGGATAATTAGGTGGAGTACTAGAAACTATGTATCTTACTCGGGGACCAGAAGGCAACTTGACAGGACTGAAGAACCAATGAGGTTTATTGTATTCATGAGTATTTCTCCCAAAAAGTGTATGAGTTTCTTGTTGTAATTAGGTTGTCCCTTTGTTTGTTTGTCTGTTATCCTTTCAATTTTTAGGTCAGATCAGGTCTTGATGACCTTTAGTCATTGTGCTTCATCTGTCATCATCTGCCTTGCATAAACTTTTGACATTTCAAATTTCCCCCTCAAGTTCCACAAGTGCCATTGAACTTGAAAATGGTGAGAATGTTAAGGAAATGTAGCCAATAAAGTGTTGTTATTTTTCAACCTTATCAAAAATTTGGTGCGGCAACATTGGGGGCCATCTTATAATGTGATTGCGCAATCATGGTTTTCCTGTGCAACACCTATTTCAAACTTCTCAAGTTTCACTGGTGGGATTGAACTCCCACTTGTCTGAAATGATCCTGAGATGGTCCTGACCAAGTGTTGTTATTTTTCAGGCATTTCTGAAATCCTAGATTGCTGCCATCTTATAAAACATATTTTAAACTTCTTCACCAGTTTTGAATGTCATTGGTTATTATTGCTTATGGTATTTTGAAGCATAATTTACTTCAAATGAGAACTGACCTGTCCATAGGTCAAGGTCAACATATCAGAGGTCAAATTTTAAATATGTACACTAAAGCTTGCCTGTGTCAACCACACTTGAATTGATTACATTGGATGAATCAAGTGTTTTGTTTGGTCCATATTTTTTCTCTTTTTCATCTTAGTAAATTAAACATGGATGATTCGAACACTGTTGAATCAAATACCTTGTTTGTGTGTAAAATATATTTTGTGATCCATCTCTGCTAAATTCTACCAAATTTCTTATTTTGTTATCAAGCATTCAGGCGTCATCTTTTCTCAGGTAAAAATTCCTGACTTTGGTTCGAATAAGTGTGATCAGTCAGCCATGTCTGTGTTATTGCAACTTTCTGGTATTGATCAAATGTTAATTCCTGATTTAAACATGTGTGCAGGCTAAAGTTAAAATTCATAAAGAATTAGACAACCAAACTCAAATTAAATTAAGCTGTAGTCTATTAACCATAAATCTACGGTGTTCTGTATACTTTTTATGTGGGTGGCTGTTGGAAACTGGACCAAAAGCCTGTTTCTTGAATAATGATTTAATGTCAATATTCATATTTATTATGCTGTTATTGATATTTACATTTTTATTGACTACGCTCATTTTAGAGACAGAATGAACGTGCTCATAAAAGTTGCAGAAACACATCTACCATGTATGTGGTGAATTAAACCATTATTCCTACTAAGTACCCAGAAATCTTGGGTTAAACTTAAAACAGACTTTATTGCCTTGCTGACCTTTTCTGACATACAGTTTGCTACTTTTCAGCCATTCTAGTGTGACTGAGAAATTCAATTGTACCATGGCACCTTTGTCAGTTGTACTAATAACAACCTGGCACTGCCCATAATAGCCAAACTGAACAGTGTTTCAGGCAGTACTGGACAGTAATGGGCAGTAATTGGAAAGGTAAAAGGGAAAAACACACTAGAGTTTTTATAAGCTTACCTGGTCCAAAGGATCAATGTTAGCTATACCATATTGTAGGCAAACTTCACCAGATATCAGCAATTGATTTACAACAGAACTTGATTGAATTAAAGCCTGATACACGATGTGTGAGCACTCTGTCCATGGTTTTGAAATTTTCTAATGTAAATTTTCCAGACTTATTGAATTTTTTGTCTGGAAGAATACTTTTAACCTGGCCACTAGTCCGATAGATGAGTATTTTTGAAAGTTTTTATTGGGCCCTATGTGGCATCTGTTGTCTGTCAACATTTTCTGAAACTTCTTAACCACCGGCAGCCCAAGGTGACAGGGATTCAAAATCGTATAAAAGATGGCGCTGATTCTCCAAGGAGCTGAAGGGCGGGGCCAAAGAGGGAAAATTTGGCAATATTGCATTCAAATAACTTCTTTAGAACTATGCAATGAATATGACTGATATATCTTTGGAAGAATCCATAGGTGGTGGACGTTCAAATGGAAAGACTGAGAGACAGGGCAAAATCCTTCTTCTATAGCATTGACAAAATTCTGTATAAGTAGTGGGTTATTCATTAGAACTAAGAAATGGGGACATCATAAATAAATATTACATGACTGGTCTTGCAGAGTCTTTATATTACTGTTAGTGTAAAGGGAAATAACTCCCTTATTTCATACTAATATTGCAGTGTGCCATGGCTTGTTTGAGGTGTGTCAGATTGTCACAGCGTTGGACATGAAGTTAGTGGTCAACCTGTGGAAAGCTATATCTAGGTAAGACTTTTTACATTAATAATCTGTCTTACAATTTTCATTGTAAATTAGATGAATGGCTGTTTTAAGAGGTAATAACTATCTTTTGAATGCACTGAATTCCTTTTCTTAGTCTAGAAATGTTTGAGATGCAACTTGTTTGTTTTAAGAAGTTTTATAATGTCAGAGAAATACTTTTATGTCCGTAAGTTAACATAAATGTATCTCAAAAACTAATATATTAAATAATTAAATTTTTTGAATGCAAAGTGAAGATCACCTACCAAATAATTAAAGAATAAATTGTACATTTTTCATATTGTTTAAATCACAAATTATGGAGGTTTTTGATATTCTAACAGACATGCTGGACAGAAGAAGGAGATTCTGCGAGACAGACTGGAGATAAATAACCTCCTCATTTATTTGTGTGGAGAGATAAAAACCGGATATTCGTATCTATTTCAACTCCTGCCACGCACTGATCCTGATGGAATGGTAAATTTCCCATCCTTCATTGTGTCAGAAAGTTGTCTGATAGATTAGGCAAATTATATCAGAATTGAGAAATATAGGTCAGAGGTCACCTGGGGTCATGTAGCTACGGAGATAAGAAATCGTCCATTCAGAAATACTACTAGTATAAAGTCTATGAATTTCATCCCATGCTTGAAAAAGTCTTTGAATCTCGGTTGAAGTTTAAAAACTGTTCAGCTGATTAACATGTATATAACTCATGAAAAATCATATAAAAGAGTCCATTGTTGGTAGAATGTTAATGAACAATAATAAAGATGTATATTAATATTGTTTACCATATATGGAGATGTTTCGGTCGGTGATGAGATATTGTGATATGATTTTCCTGTATTTTTATTTCATGGTTATTTGAAAACATGAATAAAGAGATGTAAGACAGAGAAACTCTGTATCTTTCATCCTCTTCCTGTTTAAGATGTTTAGGAAAAACTTTCATAATTCACTGTACTTATAAAGATTGGTTTATGGGCAGTGTACCAGGAGCAGATATTACCTGTCAGTACAATAAAGGATTTTGAAATAACAAATTATACTTTGACATTATAAACTCTTTATTATCTTAATAATACTTTCATTTGAAAACGACGATATTGAAATGTAAATTTGACCTCATTTGTTTGCTCACTGTTGTTATGCTTCTTCCAAATTTGGTAATCATTGTCATCCATTCAGTCATTTACATGTTGAAAGATTCATACAAACTTGAGACTAGATCTTGTTTGATTTTAATCTTTCTCTAGGCTCACTGCAATATATTGCAATGTTGCACAAAAGTAGCATCACAACCTGCCAATACTCAAGAATGTCGACAGTGAATGACACATTGAATTTTTATATCAAAATATCAATTTTCATTTTCAGGTCAATAAAGATATGTTTGTATAATCTTGTTTCTGCTTGTTTTAAACTGAAGTCAAACTATCGGTATGTGTAGGTGCTGTCCCAGGGTGATGAACGTGGGTTCCAGAAGTCGGTGAAGATTGTGGGGTTCCAGATGAAGGTCCTGGTTATGATGGCACGAGACTATATCCAAAGTCTCTCTGAGGCTGCCAATGCAATCTACAGACTTATCCTGCATCTACTTAGGTACATCTTGCCATTTCTGGTGGATCTGAGTCATTATGTTAACGCATGTCTATTGGTTTAAGACTTGGTAAAGCTAATGTGATCATTATAAATTTGTTATGATATTCCACACAGATTTGATGTCCTTATGTTTGACATAACATGGTGCTGAAATATCAGATGTAAATTTATTGTGATATTCCACACAGATTTAATGTCGTTGTATATGACATAACTTTATTGTTGATATATCACATGTAATTTTATTGTGTGCTGTTGATTTTATGTCCTATTGTTGTTTACAGATATGTGCAGCCAAGTGTCCATGCAATACCTCTCCAAGAGAGCCACAGTCAGGAGATCCACAGACACCTTATCAATGCCACCGAGCCACTGGTAGCAAGTCTGGTGTTCAATCGTACATTTCTGGAGTGTTTAACTCAAAGTGAACCAGGTAATTATGCTATATACCTAGGCAATGCATTATTGTTGTGGTCTTCACTTTCAGCAGAAGTTCTGAACTTTGTATGTCTGTTAGGATGTTAATACCAACAGCCATGCATGGGGAATAATGCCATGTTTTATGGCTCAATGATATCTATCTTATTCACAACTTCATGATTACATTCCATAAGGACAAAATCTCTTGTCATTTCTCCATTTTTAGATTCTCTAAGTAATTTCCTCAGTTGTTTTAACATTGTAGTTTGGTTAATTTGACCACAGTGACCAAAACCTTATTTTGCTGATGTAGATGATACGTCAATGTTTGAACTATCAGGAGATTTTTCCAATTTCTCGGTACTTTACAGAGTTAGAGGAAGAGGAGAAATTTGCTCACTTACAGGTGTTGATGAGTGTGATGGAACAATTCCCCAAAACTACAGGTAAGTTGATGAGTGTGATGGAACACCTCCCCAAAACTACAGGTAAGTCTGCTACAGGTGTTGATGAGTGTGATGGAATACCTCCCCAAAACTACAGGTAAGTCTGTTACAGGTGTTGATGAGTGTGATGGAATACCTCACCAAAAATACAGGTAAGTATGTTACAGGTGTTGATGAGTGTGATGGAACACCTCCCCAAAACTACAGGTAAGTATGTTACAGGTGTTGATGAGTGTGATCAAACAACTCCCCAAAACTACAGGTAAGTATGTTACAGGTGTTGATGAGTGTGATGGAACACCTCCCCAAAACTACAGGTAAGTCTGTTACAGGTGTTGATGAGTGTGATGGGACAACTCCCCAAAACTACAGGTAAGTCTGTTACAGGTGTTGATGAGTGTGATGGAACAATTCCCCAAAACTACAGGTAAGTTGATGAGTGTGATGGAACACCTCCCCAAAACTACAGGTAAGTCTGTTACAGGTGTTGATGAGTGTGATGGAACAACTCCCCAAAACTACAGGTAAGTATGTTACAGGTGTTGATGAGTGTGATCAAACAACTCCCCAAAACTACAGGTAAGTATGTTACAGGTGTTGATGAGTGTGATGGAACACCTCCCCAAAACTACAGGTAAGTCTGTTACAGGTGTTGATGAGTGTGATGGAACAACTCCCCAAAACTACAGGTAAGTATGTTACAGGTTAAGTATGTTACAGGTGTTTGTTGATGAGTGTGATGGAACAATTCCAGGTGTTGATGAGTGTGATGGGACCAAAACTACAGGTAAGTATGTAAGTTGATGAGTGTGATGGAACACCTCCCCAAAACTACAGGTAAGTCTGTTACAGGTGTTGATGAGTGTGATGGAATACTCCCCAAATCTACTACAGGGTTGATGAGTGTGATGGAACAACTCCCCAAAACTACAGGTAAGTATGTTACAGGTGTTGATGAGTGTGATGGAACACCTCCCCAAAACTACAGGTAAGTCTGTTACAGGTGTTGATGAGTGTGATGGAACAACTCCCCAAAACTACAGGTAAGTATGTTACAGGTGTTGATGAGTGTGATGGAACACCTCCCCAAAACTACAGGTAAGTCTGCTACAGGTGTTGATGAGTGTGATGGAATACCTCCCCAAATCTACAGGTAAGTCTGACACAGGTGTTGATGAGTGTGATGGAACAACTCCCCAAAACTACAGGTAAGTATGTTACAGGTGTTGATGAGTGTGATGGAACACCTCCCCAAAACTACAGGTAAGTCTGTTACAGGTGTTGATGAGTGTGATGGGACAACTCCCCAAAACTACAGGTAAGTATGTTACAGGTGTTGATGAGTGTGATGGAACAATTCCCCAAAACTACAGGTAAGTTGATGAGTGTGATGGAACACCTCCCCAAAACTACAGGTAAGTCTGCTACAGGTGTTGATGAGTGTGATGGAATACCTCCCCAAAACTACAGGTAAGTCTGTTACAGGTGTTGATGAGTGTGATGTTACAGGTGTTGTAATGCTACAAGTGTGATGGAAAAAATCTACCTGACACAAACACTACAGGTAAGTCTGTTACAGGTGTTGATGAGTGTGATGGAACACCTCCCCAAAACTACAGGTAAGTCTGCTACAGGTGTTGATGAGTGTGATGGAATACCTCACCAAAAATACAGGTAAGTATGTTACAGGTGTTGATGAGTGTGATGGAACACCTCCCCAAAACTACAGGTAAGTATGTTACAGGTGTTGATGAGTGTGATAGACCACACCAAGCATTAAACAATGTGAAGCTTTCAGTGTTGGAGATATGGTGTTAAATGAACAGACAAACAAGGTTCAAAAGAGAAATAAGATTGTGTATTTCGGTCAAGAACATTTCATCTCTATTTCTCTGCAGTGTTTATATTTAGAAGTCAACAATTATTATTTGGAGTGATATTTCTTAATGACAAATAACTTTGACAGTGCAGAATGTTTGATACATTGAAACGTATACTTCAGAGGAGATGAAGGATCTGTGCCTGATGGATGGAGTAAGTGCGGACAGAGATGATCTTCTCACTTCAGTCTTCAAGGCAGCTCACCAGTGTAAGTCAATTCATCAAAAATAAAAGGGCAGAGCACACACTCTGTTAGCATCAAACAGGTGCTTTCTTTGTATTGTTATGACAATATACCAAGAGATATTTGTAGTTTTTTATTTAAAAAAAAAAAACAAAAATGATTTGTTATAGACATTGTTGTTTTGTTACAGCAAAGTTATACTGCAGCCTTTATTGGCCTTTACCAAAATTTTGATGTTAAATTTGTTCACGACAGGTCCATTGTGTAGTAGGGAGAAGTCAAAGTTCATAGGTAATAGAGGGGAAAATATTTTCATAACATTGGCAATGGACTTATTTAACTAGAATTGGTTAGTTGACAATCGTGGAAAGGAGATTAAACTTTATATGAAACAAGGTCCTCTGTGGTGTTAGGAGCAGGGTCCCGTAGAGGTAACTCTGTTTTTTATTAAAAACAATCTTTCTTCATCCTCCGGTAATGCTGGAATTGAATGGTATTGTCGATGGATATTTCAGTTGGAAAATAAAAAAATTCAGCCACAGGTAACAGGATGAAGTGCATTATTTTCTAAGTAAAGCTGTGTTCCAGGGACATTTCAGATAATTGTAAAAACCCTTTGACTTCTTGTTAAATAAACAATTTATATCTCCAACAAGACAATGCATAAAAAGGGTGTGTTTACATTACAGGTTATGTAGAGATGTTACTACCAGTGTATATACCCACCCCTGTTTGTGGTGGTGAACCACAGGGGTAAGTATTCTGATCTAGTGTACATACCCACCTCTGTGTGTTGTGGTGAACCACAGGGGTAAGTATTCTGATCTAGTGTACATACCCACCTCTGTGTGGTGGTGAACCACAGGGGTAAGTATTCTGATCTAGTGTACATACCCACCTCTGTGTGTTGTGGTGAACCACAGGGGTAAGTATTCTGATCTAGTGTACATACCCACCTCTGTGTGTTGTGGTGAACCACAGGGTAAGTATCCTAATTTAGTGTACATACCCACCTCTGTGTGTTGTGGTGAACCACAGGGTAAGTATCCTAATTTAGTGTACATACCCACCTCTGTGTGTGGTGGTGAACCACAGGGTAAGTATCCTAATTTAGTGTACATACCCACCTCTGTGTGGTGGTGAATCACTGTTAGTATTCTGATTGTGACTACATACCCACTCATAGGGTCCATCTTGAAAATCTTTAGAAAATTTCTTCAGAACAGAAAGTTGTACATATATTATGAAGAATGTACATTCATGAATGCCAGATGCAAGACTGTTGCTGTAGCCACATCACTTTAAATCTTGACATAGGTAATCCTCTTTTATAGGTCGTCTTTTACAGATAAGACTTTAAAAAATTACTTGTGTATAAATGGCTTCTGTAGCCACAAGCTAAACAATCATGTAATCTCTCCACTCCTTCAGAAAGGGAAGTTGTGTGGAGACAGGACTTTCCTGAATTAGTTGTGTATGGTCCATAGTTTGGCTATGATGGAAGTTAGGACCCATACGGCATAAAGATTGCTGCCATGGTTATAATCATACAAGTAAACAAAAAGTTGGACACAAGTAGAGCACCAGTTTCATCAGTTTACACCTGTTTTGAGTCTACTTTATTTTGAACACGTTGTTTTGCAGATGTGTAAGCCTCTATGAGTTCCTGTGTACACGTATGTGTGGATTAGCGGGGACATATTCTGTTAACAGATTTCCTGTACTGGTAGGTATTGTCAGAATACCAGTGTCACAGCTGATAATTTGAGAATCTTAAACATAACATTAGCTTTAAGTACTGTGTAATTAGTGTGATGTAGAAATTGTGACCTGTATCTTTATTGTTGGGCCCTGTGACTTTTCACTTTTCTGTTATGCCCTGTGAACAGTAATATTACAGCTATGCCCTGTCACTTGTATCTTTACAGCTGTGCCCTGTGATCTGTATCTTTAGTGTTATGCCCTGTGAACAGTAATTTTACTGTTGTGCCCTGTCACTTGTATCTTTACATGACTGACATGCCCAGTGACTTGTAACTACGTTAGTAGCTTTACTTTTATGCCCTGTGACATAATACTTAACTATTATGCCCTGTTTAATACTGCTTACTCTGTTTTACAGGAGCGTGTACTGATACAATGGCTGTTGTCTAGAAGTCCTGTGTGTGCTCCTCTAGCTGCTGATGTCTGGTGTTTCATAGCCAGGTGAAAGAGGGAATTCATTAAATTTCCTTCAGTAGAGTTATATATTTATATCAGCTAAGTGAGGAAACTGTTGACTTTTGAGCCGCCTTGAGGTATACTGAATGGATCATTCTTAACTTTCATTTGGTGGCTTCCATTTGTTCAGCATTGTCTGTTTTTGGGACAGATCAGAGAATCAAAATGACCAACAGGCAACCATCTTTATTTTGATAGTTATGGTTTGATGTTACTATTCCTTACAACTTTTGTATGTTTTTTTAACTCATAAATAATGGCAATTTTACACAAAAATTGTCTGTTGATAGCTTGTATATTCCAATGATAATATCATGAGCGAATTAGTACAGTAGATATTCATATCTGCAATGAAAACTAGGAAATTACACACTGATAACGAGAATCTCTAATGTGGTGCTCCACTCTCTATATGTAAAGAAATTGCAAAAAATATGTCTAACATGCATATGTAGACTTGTTTGTTTAGAAGACTGGCTATCAAAGCCGCAGATCAAGAGACCAAAGTCAGAAATATGTTTTATAAAGTTTTGAATGAATAGTGATAGTGATGACCATGTCTCATAATTTGAAATAGATGTGACCTTGTCCCAATATTTGTAATAGATGTGACCTTGACCCAATATTTGTAATAGTGATGACCTTGTCTCAATATTTGTGATAGTGATGACCTTGTCTCATTATTTGTAGTAGGTGATGACCTTGTCTCATAATTTGTAATAGATGTGACCTTGTCCCAATATTTGTAATAGATGTGACCTTGACCCAATATATGTAATAGTGATGACCTTGTCTCAATATTTGTGATAGTGATGACCTTGTCTCATTATTTGTAGTAGGTGATGACCTTGTCCCATTATTTGTAATATTATTTGTATTTGTAGTGTGAGTGATGACCCAATATTTGTGATAGTGATGACCTTGTCTCATTATTTGTAGTAGGTGATGACCTTGTCCCATTATTTGTAGTAGGTGATGACCTTGTCCCATTATTTGTAGAAGGTGATGACCTTGTCCCATTATTTGTGGTAGATGATGACCTTGTCTCATTATTTGTAGTAGGTGATGACCTTGTCTCATTATTTGTAGTAGGTGATGACCTTGTCCCATTATTTGTAATAGTTGTGACCTTGTCCCATTATTTGTAGTAGGTGATGACCTTGTCTCATTATTTGTAGTAGGTGATGACCTTGTGTCATTGTATATTACAGGTATGGAAGTGCTGATATGTGTTACAGCCATATCACTGTTCTGCTGGAGCTTTGTCAAAATATCAAGGGACACAACTCTGATTTACACTCAATTCTCTCCCTTGTGTATAGACTGTCCAAGTTCTTGTCTCCTGAACACCAGGTAAATTTAGCACCATGTTAATCATACAAACTAGTTCAACTGAAAGCCTAAAGTGATAAATAAGAAAGCTTGCAGATGTTACTGTCTTGAAATCCAAGTGAATATCTTTCCATTTCAAAATGTTGGAAAAAAATATTTGACAATAAATTTCATGTCTGTAGCCAGAGTTAATTGATTTGAGAAAGATGGCATCCAGAGCCCAAAAGCTTATGGTACTGGTAACACAATGTTGTGATCAATTTTTCCAAAAAACTTAATGTAGGATTTAAAATGTTCTATATTATTCTCCAACTTGGTGTTCCCTATGCCATATTTTAAGAAAGCTGATAAAAGAAGTAATTGAACCAATATGTATCAAAGATGAGCAGATCATAATTTTTTAGTTAGCACTGGCCCAACTTTAATCTTCAAGCAAAATTGAAGCCTATGCTATAAATGTACAATCATAATTTAGTGCATAATCACTTTTTAGCAAATTAGCGCAATGAGAAGTTTGTGTGTTCACATTAATTACTATGTAATATAAAAATTGCAGTTAGCACAATCATACCTTAGTACTATTACTTTCAGCATGAAAAGCACCTAACTAGTACATTTATAGTGACTTTAAGGTTAATCTATGGAAGTTGCAGAGATGTATTTGTACCTGCATTGCCTGTGTTACTCATTAAATGTACGTGTGTTCATGTAGATATACATCTCTGAGTTTACTACAAGCTTTAAATAGAGAATTGTATAAGTTTCATGACAATGAAGTACATATAAAAGGTGAACATTTCACTGACAGTTACTTAAAGTTGTGACAACTGAAAAAAAAATTAAAAACTGTGGTATTGTGTTTTGCTTTACATCATATTTCTTCTTGGACTTATTTCCACTCTGCTAGATACATTGTTATTTGGTAGAGCAACAAGCAAGGCTTTTTTATTTGGGACAAATTCTTTTTGAATTTTGTGCACTAGTATTGAAGGGAGATAACTATCATTAATAAATTGTAAGATTTCAGGGGCAAATAACCTAGAATAGTAGTAGAATAAGTGTACAAAAATGGAAAAATCAAACCTCAACTTCTACAAATATTCTCATAAAGAAAGAGTACCTTCAGACAAGTAAGACAGTAGAACAGGAAGGACAAAGTCCAAATAAAACTCTTGATTAATATTTATCACTTCATTATTTTGCTCAATACTCTGTTTACCAATGACTAATTCTAATTTATAATTACATTTCCTAACAACATAGGACACATACAAAGATGTGACAATGTTGAGATTGGTGAACAGCAGTCAAACAGCATTCATACAAAACCACCCTATAGATATCGGCCACGGGAAAGGAAGATATGATTGATAATGAATGAAACAATGTGTATGAGATGTTAACATGTTCTATTGTTATTACCCAGAATGCCCTTGTAAGGCAGTTTCCACCCTGTGACGACCTTACCTTGTGGTGTTTACTCCCTGTGACCATGTTACCAAGTGACCGGGTCCGTGACATCACAGTCAGTATGACATCACTATGTCTACAACACATGGAAAGCTTTATCAATACTCCAGATGTCACATGTCATCACACTGAGTTATTAGTGAGTATTATATTCTAAAACAATCTGTATTTCTACTTCAAAAATCGACATGATTCAGACCTAAACACAATACTGTTGTTATCTTTGGGCTTCCTTATAGATGTGTAGTTAGTAATTACTCTGCTGGATTTACAGATTTGTAGTTTGACCTACCTGATCAACACACAGACATGTCCTAAAGATTGGGGGAAGTTCATTGATCACCAGGTGCAGTCTTCCCTGGTGAAGTGTGTACAGAAGTTGTGGCAGGACGTGTTTGTGTCTGACTGGATGTGTATTCCCCAAACTCAGCTCTGCCTCGGAAAACTTCTGCAGTACTCTGGGCAGCTGGTGAACGAGTTTACCAACTCAGACCTGCTCAAGGTAGGGTTTGTACAGACAACTGACTCGGACCTGATCAAGTTAATGACCTCACTGACAATCAACTCAGACTTAGTCTAGGTAGGCACATCAATGACAACCAACTCAGACCTAATTTTTACTGTCAACCAACTCGACTTTGTGAAGGTTAGGATGTCACTGACAACCAACTCAGACCTAATCTTCACTGGCAACAAGCCCAGACCTGGTCATAGTAAGGATGTCACTGACTACAAATTCACACATGGTCAAAGTAGGTACCTCACTGACAACCAACTCAGACTTTGTCAAGAAAGAGACCTGAAGGACAACAGACTCATAATCAAGCCTGGTCAGAGTAAGGGTTCGCCTGTCAATCTGATGAGACTTTCACTGACAATGGGTAAGATAGTAGGACATTACTTAGACATTGAAATAAAACTGTCTTTGCTAATAACTTCAAAAATCATAATAAAGATAGAAACACAGCCAAGTCACATGTCCTTTCTGTTCTAAATGTATAACTATGTCATTAATTCTGAGAGATGCCAGTTATTTTGTTAGATCATTAGTCGCTAAATAATTTGAACACTGAATGTTTTTTTTTTTTTTTTTTTTGTAGATATTTTCTGTGATGAAATCATGCCTTGGGCAAAACCCATCAGATTGTCTTAAGTTCTCAATGGTAGATTTCCTTAAGAAATTTGGAAAAGTCAAACTAGGTGCAGATTTTGAGGTAAGTACAAAATATGTGTTTATAATGATTTTGGAAAGGATGTGTAAAGATGTATATGTATGTGAGACTGCTGACTAGTGTTTACTGTACCTTTATATATTTGTGGGGCTAAGAATTTGTGGTTTTACAAAAATATGATTTTATGGGTTCTTGAATTCCTGAATTTAAATCCCCTGGTCAAGTTACATATTGTTAGGTACTTCAAATGAAACAGGTAAGAGTGAAATTCTCAAATGGATATCACATTAGCATTTCAAATGTGATGTTTTGTCTGGCATTTTCTCATCAGAGGTCCATAGCACATCACATCTGTGTAAAAGATTGTTGTGCTTATGATGATCTTGTAGCAAAGACAGATATCTCAAATTAAATAGGATGATGCAGACTTTCAAAACAACTTTTACATGTTGTCTGTAGATATAGCTCCAATACCCACAATATCATGCCACAATTTTATTTTACGGATAAATATAAATACCCAATGTATCAATACAGAGTATGATTGTATAGGGACTTTCTTATTGCACACAGCAAAGTCAAGTTCTACAGAAAGCGTCTACAGTCTTTAGAGAATTGATGACCGACACCTGCTGTCTTGTTCATCACTGGAGTGTCGAGGCCTTCACACATTTTGCAGAAGACACCGTTCATGAGACGGTTGTACCAGATTGTATGGCACAGGACAACAGACTTGAGGACTGTGTAGTAGCCTACCTCAACAAGGTACATCAGTATATGGTTGATTCTCATCTCTTTTTCTTTTTTTGTAACATGACTAGTCTATATCTGAAATATGCAGACAGTATATCTATCTGCCTTTCCTTGTCATTGTTTTTTCATGGCAATACATTTTAAGAATCTCACATTCCATTGATAAAATGGATAACAGTTAGACAAACTCATCAAGTCATATGTTTTGTCACAGGTACCATTTGTTGCCCAGAAAGGTAGCCTTACCTCTGTAGAGTGTATCCAGGTGCTGTGGAAACAAGCAGAGAGACACCAGTCATCACTAGATGACACACAAGTTGGTATTATTTATAATCTCATCAGGCTTATAGTAACTTAACACTGCTGATACAGTAGAAGATAAAACTAATTATGATCTGTGTCTTTCTCTTCCATTCTGTATTAAAATGGTTACTGTATATTTCTTACATTTGAAAAATCTTTTCATCCTATACGTCCTTGTCAGGTTTTTTTTTTAACCATAATATGTTAACTCCGTTACGTTTCTCCACAGCCATTAAAGAAGAAAGCTAGGACATCATCCCCTGTTGTTGGTCCAGTGAAGGTAAGAAGTGAATACAGTCAAAATTGTTTACAACAACTTCTACAGGACCAGAAGAAATAATCTATTATACCTGAAACTCCTTACAGGATTTTCCTCATTCTTAAAAGTTATGTCAGGTTTTCACCTAATCCTTATCTAACATAAAAGCTTTCACATTACAAAAAAAAAATATGAAGACATTATTAGATGTAAAATTTTAATTGTGGGGAACTTTCAGAAAGCAGTCGAGCATGAATAACAACAACTAGTATATAAGCAGGACATGGGTTGGATTCTACATGTATATGTGTTGTAGTGGAGTAGTAGTCAACACTTTCTGTGGTAGGAGTATATAGATTTGTCTGTAAAATCATTGAAGTGTGAACTTAAATTACCATCCAATACATTTATGTTTTTTTTTGTGTATGTGTAGACTTCCCTGCAAGTCTATTGTTCATGTTACATTTACAAGTTCACCTATTCGTACAGATTACCGCCTTATGGACCCCCAACTTTCACTTTTAAACCAAGTCAGGAAACAACCCTTTTTGAAAACTTCCTCTTAAGTAATTGGTGCAAGTATTCTCATTGACAGCATGATGGTGCCATTTGGTATCAACAAAAATTTTCTGATAAGTAGATTTATTGTGTTTTGAAAATATGAAGTAAAAAGATGAGTTAAATTCAGGGATTTTCATTTACTTCTTAATACTTTAATCTCATTAATTCATTTTTATGGGAATTTTGTTTTTGTTGAATTTGTGTTTACTTTTAATCAAAGATTTAAGGTGTCCACAGAATGATATCCAGATAAACATTTACATGAACTTGAGTACAAACAGATTTAGTGAATAATAATTTCCATGAAATTTTATTCCAACAAAGATGCATATTTTTGTAAAACCAAAAAAGTTGAGCCCCACAAAAATATGTGATTTCACAGTAGATGGAAATGTGTATCAAACCTGTCTATCTTAGGAAAGTTTTACTGCATCATCTGAGGTGAACTGTCCCTGTCTTCATAAGTTTTTTTGTTACTGTTTGTTATGGTTTGATTTATTTGTGTCTACAGACCCCCACTATATCAGCATTTATTTGTTTTGTGTGTCTACAGATCCCCACTATCAGCATTTATTTGTTTTGTGTGTCTAAAGACCCCCAAACATCAGCATTTATTTGTTGTATGTGTCTACAGACCCCCAATGTCAGCATTTATTTGTTTTGTGTCTACAGACCCCCAATGTCAGCATTTATTTGTTTTGTGTGTCTACAGACCCCCAATGTCAGCATTTATTTGTTTTGTGTGTCTACAGACCCCCAAAGATCAGCATTTATTTATTTTATGTGTCTACAGACCCCCTGTATTAGCAGTTATCAGTTTTATGTATCTACAGAACCCTAGTCTTAGCAATTGTCTAGACTCCTAGTTTCAGCATATACAGCATATTCTGCATATATTTACATCTACAGACCCGCAGTATCAGCATTTATTTGTTTTATGTGTCTACAGACCCCTGATATCACTATTTATCTGTTTTGTGTGTTCAGCATATACAGCATATGTGTGCATATATTTATCTGTTTTTTGTACAGACCCCGATATCACTATTTATCACCCCCGATATCACTATTTATCTGTTTTGTGTGTCTACAGACCCCCGATATCACTATTTATCTGTTTTGTGTGTCTACAGACCCCCGATATCACTATTTATCTGTTTTGTGTGTCTACAGACCCCCGATATCACTATTTATCTGTTTTGTGTGTCTACAGACCCCCGATATCACTATTTATCTGTTTTGTGTGTCTACAGACCCCCGATATCACTATTTATCTGTTTTGTGTGTCTACAGACCCCCGATATCACTATTTATCTGTTTTGTGTGTCTACAGACCCCCGGTATCACTATTTATCTGTTTTGTGTGTCTACAGACCCCCGATATCACTATTTATCTGTTTTGTGTGTCTACAGACCCCCGATATCACTATTTATCTGTTTTGTGTGTCTACAGACCCCCGATATCACTATTTATCTGTTTTGTGTCTACAGACCCCCGATATCACTATTTATCTGTTTTGTGTCTACAGACCCCCAATTCCAGTCTTTATCAGGAGGTATTGGACACACTGAGGATCTGTGTACAGGAATTGGAGCAGACTTGTACAAATAAATCTGCTGTAGCACCACAAGGTTTTCATCCGTCCAGTATAGACAATGCTGGCAGCACAATGATGACAGATAATGACAACATCCACGATAGATTGAAGCCTAGTGATAACAAGTTTCGTGACAGAGCTACAGCCAGTGATGACAAGAAGTCTAGGAACACAGCTACAGCTAGTATGGACCAGTATAGAGACAGCAGATCTAGCGTTGATCTGTCCCCGCATCTTGTAGCTCACCTACAGCTGGCACAACACAAAATAACTTCTCTCCTTACTGAACATGGTTAAAACTTCAGTGTATGCTTATTTATTAAATTTTTAATAATTTTTTTGTCTCCTAGTTTGTGATTTTAGTCGTCTGAGCCAAATATTCAACAAGTGACGTGTTCTTTTTGAATTATGGCACATTAAAGTAATATATTGGAATGTGTTTTTTTCTGATCAACATGATGTTCTAGATAGCAGCAATCTTGAAACAAAACCACTTCGCATGTTAGTTCTGGTTTAAGGAAATATATGAGACTGTAGGAAGTTTTAAAATTTTGCATGGTGCTCATCCATACTTTTACCAACTTGTCTGGCCCTATCTCCTACACTTTTAGTCACATGAACTTCATACTTAGGGTATAGGTTCCTCTTGGCGACGCTAATTTATGTATCAAAACTAAGTCACTCTGACCTACATTTTAACCTTTGACCTACATCACTGGTACTTTTTACCTGAAAGATGGGTTCATATGCAGTAACTTTTTGGCCTTTTTTTTTTTTTATCATTTGTACAGGGACTGTTTCGTTTTCTCTCTTTAAACTTCAACTAATGTCAAATGTTTCTTTAAGATCCTGACAAAATGTTGCTACTTTTCAGGACTACTCAGATGGTTAAAGTTTTCAAAACAGCTTTTGATGGATTGAAAAGCCCGAGATTTTGATTAACTGTTTGTCAACAATGAATTTTTAGATTTGTTGAAACACTCAACTGCATTATACTGAACCTAATGTTAAATGTATTGACTCGCCACTAATAAGGCAATCTTGCTAAAATACAAGAATATCATTTCATCTTTCTCGTAATTTTATTTTACTTCCAATAATATAACAAATTTACTCCTGTACAAAAACAGCTATTTCTACAAAAGCATTAACAACATACCGTACAGTCATTTACACACATACATCTACCTTAGTACTGCTGGGTAAATCCATCCTTGCAAGCCTTAATAAAAGTTTCTCATTAATGAAAACAAACTGGATTAAAATCACAGATTTCAAAAACAGGAGATTTGTGACACATGATCTGTGATGTTAATCAATGATTACTTACACATTATCCTGTATTCATCCTCAGGATTTTATAATCACTCAAAAATAATATCTCTCATACACACTCCATACACAACACAGACATCAATCATTTCATTTCTCAGGACAAACAAATGTCATTATTTTATAACAATATAAAAGTATCTGGATTTCCTCTGAAAACATGTACACAGTTTCTTCATACACATATCCGTAAAAAGGTAAGATCTTGGAGGGATCTTGGCGCCCATCACATGAGGATATACATATATTTAAATCACAGAAACAGGATTCTCTATCTTTGTTCTCCTGTGATCTGTTGTTATGATTATATTAGGATGGAACTCAGTGTAGACAAATGCGCAAGTCTTTAATTCCAGGGCTTCAGTCTGTACATTTGAAAGTGGGATTCATGTCTTAAAATATTGCTTGGTTACATAAATGTCTGTATGTAGACAGAAATTAATTAAATTTTACAAAATGATATCTTGACCAATTACCCACTGCCTATTAATCACAATTGAAAAAAAAAAGACAAGTGGCCATTTTAAAAATCTGAATGGCCTACAAATAAGAGCTATTTCTTGCAGAATAAAGTTTAAATGAGAACTTTTAAATCATCCTCAAGGAATGAAAATATTAAGAATAGTTTAATGGGCAAAGGAAATAGGTGTAAAAGCCTCGAGATGATGATGGTAGGTAAAAATATGTGATACTGTATTTCTTCTTTAATGGCATTTGGATGCTTGGTGCCTCTCCTGGATTTTATCAAGACTTAAATAAACATACATGTACTATAGAAAAGTTTAACTTGTTCATCTCTCATTGGGATAAAATGTTTTGTTTCTCTCATTCATCCCTCCTACATAAGATATAAAAATGCACTTACATCTCTCAGGCACCATTGTAAAACACATTGTAACTGTGCACCTCTCATTTAGACAAAGATACAAGATTATACAGATCATGATTATGGAAAGTATATTTTTGGCCTTGTAACAATTTATGTTTACTATATAACTTGTATTGCACATTAATCCCCAAAAATCTATTTAAATGATGTCTGAACATTCCTGATAATCCTAAAGATAAGTTAATAAGAAGACTTGCAAAATTAAAAGACTTAACTCCAAAGTTGATATTCTTTTACAAGTCTTCATTTTATTTATTTATATATATAAAATATATATATCATTATTTTTTTTTTTTTTTACTGATGTAAATAAAAATTAATAATAATAATAATAATAATAATAAAAATGATTACTGAAATACTTCATACCTGAATTATGTCAGCAAATAATTGATTTAAGGTTGAACCATAAAAATTTCTTTAAAACTTTATTATGGCATAAACCTGTTGTGAATAAATTTTAAAAAAAGATGAATTTCAGGTCCATGTGTGTAAAAAACAATATATAAATCTATATTTGACATAAAAATCATATGAACACAAGGATAACATAGCACACAAAACAAAATCCGTTTACAATTATAAGTTGATCTGTATAAATACAAACATCGCACTAATTACAAGTGAAAAAAAGTTTGATAACATGAAAACAGTCTGGGTATTACTTACCTTTACACCTGATACGGAATGGATAACCGTGATAAACAAGATCAAACAGAACATGGCTTCCAACAGATTTTACGAAATAATACAAACATAAAGATACGTGTAAAAAAAATCATATCAATTCAAAAATATCTCTACCAACAAAATAATGTTTCATTCTTCCATGAAATCTGTTCAATTTTACTTCTACAGGAAGTAAAACCTAGAATGGCAAGACTACAACATATCTGGTTAGCTGACCTCTCCATTTATCATGTCAGAGATGTATTTCAGAACAACATATCTGGTTAGCTGACCTCTCCATTTATCATGTCAGAGATGTATTTCAGAACAACATATCTGGTTAGCTCTGGTTTGTTCTCAATAACAATAACAAAAAGTTTTCAACATTATTTTAACTGGACTTAAAGTTGGAGGGGAGTTATTCCCCTTTCATCCCTCTCCACGTGTCCCATGGATCTTCAGTGAGACATCACACTCCTTTGTATTTCCATGGGATCTTTTCCATGGTCTCGTCACCAAATACCCACAGTGCTCCCTTGTCCTTTTTAGAGGCCCTTTAAAATACAAGCATATATTATGGAACAACATCCTTATACATGTAGTCAGTTCTTGCCAGGTAAACTCCATAAGCACTTAAAAACCTTGCCAAGCATGTGAGATTATTAAAGAAGGGTTATATGAACTTTTAAACATGATTTATGACATCATGGTGCCAGCCAGTCGAAAGTACCAATTTGTATGCTCACAAGGAAATATGTGAAAAAATAACAAACAAACAAAACAAATAAAAGCAGTTTTGATGAGTAAAGCTATTAAACATAAAATAATTTGATTTACTAAAAACTTTTGATGAGTAAAGCAAATGATATGCTATTAAACATGAAAAACTAAAGTTATTTTGCTGAGTAAAGCATTAAACGTGAGATACAATTCTGATAAGTTTAACAAATATTTCTTGTCAGCACTCTACGAACTAATGCAAAAAGACCGGAACATACTCTTCCCCACATGAAAGATTCACTGTGCCAAAAAGCAGTGGTCTAGAAGAAGAATGCTGCCAAAAAGCGGTGAACATATATATGTCTACTTGTAGGGATGAATGCTTGGCCACACACAGATTTGCTTGCAGGAAAGCTAAGACATTGCTAACAATCTAATAGGCATATTCATAGTCAGCTCTGTTGTTACAATCAGCTATTGTCTATAGGGACAAACTGTATTAATGACAAATGGAAACTACTTGCAGAATAACTAGTACCATTTGTGATAAATATGTGTATATAAAACATTAATTACAAAACAAAAACTGTTAAAATTCAAAATGCCCCCCTTTCTCGGCCAAGTGGTTTTTCTGATCTGACACAAAATTACGGCACAACTAGGGACCAGTTGGGAACCTTCATATGAGATAATGTAGATCCACACAGTACACGTTATTCAAGAAAAAACAATAGAAAATTTTCGTAGTCAAAACCAAAGATGGTGTCTGCCAGCCATTTTATTTTTCTTGTCAGTCCAAAAAACAAAAAGTGCACAAGGACCAAGAGGATTTTACATATAAAATTCGAAAAGGATCTATCCAGTACAAAACTGTCTGAAGATGAACCATGGATGCAGGGCATCCTGAATACCCCACCATCTGATGATAATGAGTTGGAAATTCATCCTAGATTACTCCAGAACAAGCAAAATTGAAAACTATTAAGTCTGGGATAACCAAATTTTAGCAACAACAAAGTATAAGTTTAAACCCAACATGCTTCACTTTACATATATTCTGGAATTAAGAATAACAAACTTAAGAAGTAATATGTGTTTTATGTTTATGAGAAATCTGTTACAAGTGAAGCTGACTCTGTGTGCAATTTTTACATCAATACAGGGTGTACTAGGTATTAGCAAGTTATTTTGACAGTTGCTGGAAGTAAGCTTCTGCTGGTATGTTTGCATATGTAGAGTTCAAAGTATAACACAAACATTAAGCGATAGTATAACTAAATCTTGTGATTTGAATTTTTCAAATTCATCATAACTTCAATTTTGTTTCCACTGGTGAAGAAGCAAGGCATATGTAATTAAGTATATACATACATTTTTAGATATACCAGGTAAGTGCATTTTGCGAGCAACAGATAACAATGAAAGAGATTAGCAGTTTCTTTGTACAGATTAAGACTTTATTGACATCTAGTACACAATACTATAGTGATATCTAATATACAGATTAATATTATAGTGAAATCTAGTACACAGATTAATGCTATAGTGATATTTAATACACAAATTAATACTATAGTGATTTTGAGTTCGCAGATTAATACTATATTAATATTACCTACTAGTACTTAAGACTGAAAATACAAAATATAGTTTGCATGGTAGTTAATATAAAATTACAGTTAGAACAATGTCAGAGACTTGCTAATCTCCACAAAACTACGTCATCAAGCCTCCACCATGAGTTGCTATGTAAACACTGACTAGGAAAATTAGCTGAAAGAGTAAAAAGCAGGATGAAAATGACGAAGTCTACAATATCATTTTGCTTGAAGTCTATTTGTCAAAGTCTCACAGCCAATGACAACCTTTGTCTGATACAAACTTTAACCACTCGCTAGCAACACTTTCATTTCCTCAAAATGTTTCCAAAATTTCAGAGAATCAATTGCAAAGTTAGGCACAGTTTCTTTGTGCTATGTAAGCAGTGAGACAATGATGAACAAGGCCACTGGCCATGAGACACAAGCAAGAAAATAAAGCAAGCACATTCTAACAGTAATTATTTACTGCTATCACCAACATAATATACATGTAATCAAGCAGGTTTTACAACAAACCGTAGCAGAAAAAGTGATTTTATCTCATGCACTTTTAGAACAAAGTCATTGAGAATGCAATATTATGTGTAGTGTTTAACCAACCATCACTTACACTCAAGGTCATCCACTTTATAAAGTGACAATACACATATTGGAATACATGATGGGTTGTTGACAAATATTGCTGGACGTTACTAAATGGAGAGATGTTCATAAATATTCCTGGTCTTGACTAGATGGAGAATTGTTTACAAATATTCCTAGTCTTGACTAGATAGAGAATTGTTTACAAATATTCCTGGTCTTGACTAGAAAGAGAATTGTTTACAAATATTCCTGGTCTTGACTAGATAAAGAATTGTTTACAAATATTCCTGGTCTTGACTAGATAGAGAATTGTTTACAAATATTCCTGGTCTTGACTAGATAGAGTACAAATATTCCTGGTCTTGACTAGATAAAGAATTGTTTACAAATATTCCTGGTCTTGACTAGATGGAGAATTGTTTACAAATATTCCTGGTCTTGACTAGATAGAGAATTGTTTACAAATATTCCTGGTCTTGACTAGATAGAGAATTGTTTACAAATATTCCTGGTCTTGAAATATAGAGAATTGTTTACAAATATTCCTGGTCTTGACTAGATAGAGAATTGTTTACAAATATTCCTGGTCTTGACTAGATAGAGAATTGTTTACAAATATTCCTGGTCTTGACTAGATGGAGAATTGTTTACAAATATTCCTGGTCTTGACTAGATGGAGAATTGTTTACAAATATTCCTGGTCTTGACTAGATAGAGAATTGTTTACAAATATTCCTGGTCTTGACTAGATAGAGAATTGTTTACAAATATTCCTGGTCTTGACTAGATAGAGAATTGTTTACAAATATTCCTGGTCTTGACTAGATAAAGAATTGTTTACAAATATTCCTGGTCTTGACTAGATAGAGAATTGTTTACAAATATTCCTGGTCTTGACTAGATAAAGAATTGTTTACAAATATTCCTGGTCTTGACTAGATAAAGAATTGTTTACAAATGTTCCTGGTCTTGACTAGATAAAGAATTGTTTACAAATATTCCTGGTCTTGACTAGATAAAGAATTGTTTACAAATGTTCCTGGTCTTGACTAGATAAAGAATTGTTTACAAATATTCCTGGTCTTGACTAGATAGAGAATTGTTTACAAATATTCCTGGTCTTGACTAGATAGAGAATTGTTTGCAAATATTCCTGGTCTTGACTAGATAAAGAATTGTTTACAAATATTCCTGGTCTTGACTAGATAAAGAATTGTTTACAAATATTCCTGGTCTTGACTAGATAGAGAATTGTTTACAAATATTCCTGGTCTTGACTAGATAGAGAATTGTTTGCAAATATTCCTGGTCTTGACTAGATAAAGAATTGTTTACAAATATTCCTGATTGTGATTAAACAGAGAATTGTTTATAGATATTCATTTAAGATTTTAAAAAGAGTGAAAGTCAATGGAGGACATTCATTTTTGCAAGGGAAATAAAGCTGGTTGTTTATTTTTGTCTGGTTTGTTTTTGTAATACATTACAACTTTGGGGAAATACCTTTGATATCACATTATCTCATTAAGTCATGTGATTGAGTTACTTTTCTTCTTTATATTGAAATATAGGAAGAGATCAAATATGTACGCAAATCTATGTTCGTACTGAACTATGACTTTGGTATATTGGTGGAGGGTTGTTAAGAATGTTCCTGGTTATCGTTTAGAGATTGTCCTTGATTAAATGATGGATGATTAACACTGTGCAGATATATGGTGTAACAGTAAAACTCTGTGATACCTGACCATGTGATCTATCATCACATTAATCCCAAACCAGCTGATCAAAAAGTCGCAATGCCACTGAGGAACGGCGACGACCTAATGATGTCGATGATTTGCTGAAAGGAATTAACATTCTGATACAGCAGCATTTACTAAGGACCTGCACCCTATAGACAGAATGAACCAGGAGTAATGTAGTGGCCTGCCAGGTCTGTATTGCTCAACTTCTTGTCTTCTTTATTTCCAAGAGAATGAAGAACAGATGATTGTATTATCCAAGGTTTAAATTTGACCTCCCTTTGTACCAGATAAGTTTGTAGAGAGAAATTATTAAGATATAGCCCCTTGTCCTTTCCAGTGACTGTTCCTTGTTCTAAATAAGTTTCTGACAGTAAGCAATCATATCTGTATCCCATCCCAAAGATGATGAGCAGCCAGTAAATTATAATAATAACTGAAGATTATAAAGCATTTAATCAATGGACTGCAGATTTTCAAGTTGACAAGTAATTAATTTTAATATAATTACAACAAATACTTCCCAAATACAGAACATTACAAACACTGCCCAGATACAGAACATCACAAATACTGCCCAGATAAGAGCATTACAAACACCATCCAGATACAGAACATTACAAATACTGCCCAGATACAGAACAATACAAATACTGCCCTGGTACAGAACATTACAAATACTGCCCAGATACAGAACATTACAAACACTGCCCAGATACAGAACAATACAAAAACTGCCCTGGTACAGAACATTACAAATACTGCCCAGATACAGAACATTACAAACACTGCCCAGATACAGAACATTACACAAGTACTGCCCAGATACAGTACATTACAAACACTGCCCAGATACAGAACATCGCAAATACTGCCCAGATACAGAGCATTACAAACACCACCCAGATATAGAACATTACAAACACTGCCCAGATACAGAAAATTACACAAGTACTGCCCAGATACAGAACATTACAAACACTGTCCAGATACAGAACATCACAAATACTGCCCAGATAAGACCATTACAAACACTGTCCAGATACAGAACATTACAAATACTGCCCAGATACAGAACAATACAAATACTGCCCTGGTACAGAACATTACAAATACTGCCCAGATACAGAACATTACAAACACTGCCCAGATACAGAACATTACAAATACTGCCCTGGTACAGAACATTACAAATACTGCCCAGATACAGAACATTACAAACACTGCCCAGATACAGAACATTACAAATACTGCCCAGATACAGAACATTACAAACACTGCCCAGATACAGAACATTACACAAGTACTGCCCAGATACAGTACATTACAAACACTGCCCAGATACAGAACATCGCAAATACTGCCCAGATACAGAGCATTACAAACACCACCAAGATATAGAACATTACAAACACTGCCCAGATACAGAAAATTACACAAGTACTGCCCAGATACAGAACATTACAAACACTGCCCAGATACAGAACATCACAAATACTGCCCAGATAAGACCATTACAAACACTGTCCAGATACAGAACATTACAAATACTGCCCAGATACAGAACAATACAAATACTGCCCTGGTACAGAACATTACAAATACTGCCCAGATACAGAACATTACAAACACTGCCCAGATACAGAAAATTACACAAGTACTGCCCAGATACAGAACATTACAAATACTGCCCAGATATGACCATTACAAACACCGTCCAGATACAGAACATTACAAATACTGCCCAGATTCAGAACAATACGAAAACTGCCCTGGTACAGAACATTACAAATACTGCCCAGATACAGAACATTACAAACACTGCCCAGATACAGAACATTACAAACACTGCCCAGATACAGAACATTACACAAGTACTGCCCAGATACAGAACATCACAAATACTGCCCAGATATGACCATTACAAACACCGTCCAGATACAGAACATTACAAATACTGCCCAGATTCAGAACAATACGAAAACTGCCCTGGTACAGAACATTACAAATACTGCCCAGATACAGAACATTACACAAGTACTGCCCAGATACAGTACATTACAAACACTGCCCAGATACAGAACATTGCAAATACTGCCCAGATACAGAACATTACACAAGTACTGCCCATATACAGTACATTACAAACACTGCCCAGATACAGAACATCGCAAATACTGCCCAGATACAGAACATTACAAATACTGCCCTGATACAGAACATTACAAACACTGCCAAGATACAGAACATTACAAATACTGCCAAGATACAGAACATTACAAATACTGCCCAGATACAGAACATTACACAAGTACTGCCCAGATACAGTACATTACAAACACTGCCCAGATACAGAACATCGCAAATACTGCCCAGATACAGAACATTACAAAGACCACCGAGATATAGAACATTACAAACACCACCAAGATACAGAACAGTACAAATACTGCCCAGATACAGAACAATACAAAAACTGCCCTGGTACAGAACATTACAAATACTGCCCAGATACAAAACAATACAAATACTGCCCAGATACAGAACAATACAAATACTGCCCAGATACAGAACAATACAAATACTGCCCTGGTACAGAACATTACAAATACTGCCCAGATACAGAACATTACAAACACTGCCCAGATACAGAAAATTACACAAGTACTGCCCAGATACAGAACATTACAAACACTGCCCAGATACAGAACATCACAAATACTGCCCAGATAAGACCATTACAAACATCTTCCAGATACGGAACATTACAAATACTGCCCAGATACAGAACAATACAAATACTGCCCAGATACAGAACAATACAAATACTGCCCTGGTACAGAACATTACAAATATTGCCGAGATACAGAACATTACAAATACTGCCCAGATACTGAACAACACAAGTACTGCCCAGATACAAAACATTATAAATACTGCCCAGATACAGAACATTACAAACACCACCAAGATATAGAACATTACAAATACTGCCCAGATACAGAACAATGCAAGTACTGCCCAGATGCCCAGATACAGAACATTACAAACACTGCCCAGATACAGAACATTACAAATACTGCACAGATACAGAAAATAACACAGGTACTGCAGAGATACAGAAAATTACACAAGTACTGCAGAGATACAGAAAATTATACAAATACTACACAGATACAGAATTGTAACAATTACTGCCTAGACACTGAACATTACAAGTACTACCCAGATGCAGAACATTACAAATACTACGCAGATACAGCTGATGTTTTAAGTGGGTTAGTAGAATGGTGGGATTTTATAAGTTCTTTATTAATAGAAAAACAGATTGTCTTCAAAAACATTATATTAGTTAAGATCACCCAACACTGTTAACATCTGTGTGAAAATTTATTAGCTTTGCCTATTTCAGTAAATATTAACTCAAAGACAAGTTTGAAAAAAAAGACTGCACAAAATGACACACACCATGCCAATTAAACCCCACTTATTGGAGTAATTAAAAACAACCACTTGAATTCTTGCATAACAAAACAATAAAAGTGAATATCTATCCAAAAATGTCACCTGAGACCTGTGATAATCTATTTATCATTTTGAAAGAATCAAGCAAGAAGAAATATACAAATGCTGTAACATTAAATTATTGATCTAGAGCAAGATGTTAGTACAGCTAATTGATCAGGTAGGTTCAAATTTGAGATACAGATAGCTGCTAATATAAAAAAAAGAAAGAAGAATTATAATTGAATACAATACAGGTAAACAAACTGTTCATGCAGTTTACATTATACTTTTTGCTAAGATTTATTTAAAGTTTTATAAATTGTAGCAGCAGAATTTGAATACATTGTATGTGCCAGTGATATGTCCATAAGTATTATACATATAAACTTATACTACAGAATTTTATATACATTCTTGTTGTTCCTGTTAACAGAAAGAAAATTCAAAATACCATTTATGAAACTAAATTTCCATATACCCAGCATCTTTGCTAAAGGGCACAGAGTTTTCTTAATCAGAACACAGACATTTGTGAGGTGAGTGATATAACAAGAGAAGCTTTTATGTATATATTTACAATAAAAATGAAAAGAAACTAATGAACTATGAAAACAGTATAAAATGACCATTTACTAAACTCTGACGACAACAGTGAATGCATACAGTGTATATCAGCACCAGTGGTCCCACATACTTACTTGCCCATAAGTCGTTTACGCTCCGAGCGACATGTGTAGGCACCATCATCCTGGTCCATCATGTCCTCCAACTGAGTCTGATCATTGGAGTCAATGGGTGCTATGGAGATGTCACGCACCGCACGGAACTGACCACAGTTGTTCAAGTGCTCATTCTCGAGACGGAAGAAGTTCCACACAAAACGTCTGAATATTGTTGAAAAAAAAAAATACAAAAAAATACAGACACCTTCCCAAATCATCATATTATCAGAATACAACCAATCACATAAAACTGTTATGTTCTGTCTAGTTTATATTTATCTTAACCACGTGAAAACATTTTTTAGCTTTATATCACCCAACCTTTTCCTACTGGAAAAGTGTGAAATATCCAAGAGTTAAACTAAGCGCTGTAGACACTAGCTACAGGTTGTGCTTGTAAAAGACTTGATGGATAATGCTTAGAAATATCAGCATGAATGTTGATAAACTTAATATATATTTTATTTGAAAATTTTGTTCATACTATGATAAAGCCTAAGCAAAAATGAATCTGTAAGTTTCCTATCAGAGACTAACAATTTTAACTCCAATACGGTTTTACCAACAGGAAACTGTAACTTGACTTATCCTTGGCATATACAAGGTGTACATGTTGAAGTCTGTTCAAATCTGGGAACAGTTGATGCTTGAATGATCAACACTACCACTGTACAGCACCTGATAACTTGATCACAATCAGAATCCTAAAACTCCTTAATCTTTCTACACCTTCCATGCTAAGCAGTCTATCAACCTTACCAGAGTTTCCTTACCTAAATACTTCTAACAATGCCAGCAGTGTTTAATTACTGAAATACTTTTAGCAACCCAGCACTGTATACTGTAAATCATGAAGATTTCACGAATATTTTATATCGCAAACTTATCAATCACCTTTGCTGACAGATTCGCGAAAGGTGAATCTAGAAATTACTTTAAATTTGTGAATGATTGGCTAATATACATATGGGCACTGATATCAGTAACTGAATCAGTATGGATGTCATCAAGAATTATTTCTGTACAAATAATCATGAAAGATTTAGATTTGCCATTAACTTTCCTTGCATATGAACATGAAAATAAATCCTACGACAAATGTAAGTGATCTGCAGTATCTCAATACTTCTAACAACGCCTGCAATCTTTATCTCAATACTTCTAACAATGCCTGCAATCTTTATCTCAATACTTCTAACAATGCCTGCAATCTTTATCTCAATACTTCTAACAATGCCTGCAATCTTTATCTCAATACTTCTAACAATGCCTGCAATCTTGATCTCAATACTTCTAACAATGCCTGCAATCTTTATCTCAATACTTCTAACAATGCCTGCTATCTTTATCTGAACACTTCTAATAATACCATGAGTGTTTAATTACCTTAATATATCTAAAGATGTCAGCAGTTTCAACTTACCTGAATACTTCCGTGTTTAAATACCTGAATACTTCTAAAGATGTAAGCAGTTCAACTTACCTGAATACTTCTAATGATGCCAACAGAGTTTTGAGAGCTTCCCCAGGAAAGTAGCCTCCCTCTCCTACAGACACTGTTATTGTCCAGGCAAACCTCAGCACAAAGTCTTCCACCACAGCAAAATAATAATAAGCCTAAACACAAAATAACAGCCACTGTAATCAACCCTATAACAGTAACACCAAGTACACCATCATATTTTTCTGGATAGGATTGAAGGATAATTATAAAATAAAGAATTCTTTCACTTAAAAATCCATCTGTGAATCTAGTATCTCTCCATCTTAGTGTTGTGTGTGTCTGCCAAATTTTGTTTATACCAGGACCAGGCCAATGGAATTGTCAAAAGAATGCAAATTTAGAAATGTAAAGTTCTCTAGATATATAGTTAAAGGGTAAGTAAGGTTACTCTCCTGCCATTGACACTGATTACCCACTGCTTGTACAGAAGGAAGTAAACAAAGACACTTTAAGATTTGATGACAAATTGTGTTGTCCTCACCATTCTTTATAAGCATTATAAGCATTCACAACTTCTTTACAAAGAAATGGGTTTTCCTAAACATTCTACAGTAGGTACCTTGTAAGCATACACAATCTCTTCACGAAGGAATGTGTTCTCCCCAGCATTCTTGTCTAGTAGACCCCAGTCCATCTTAATGTCCCAGGTAAGAGTGTAACAAGTACTGATGACCGACGCCCCGATCCACAAGTAAAAGAATACGCTGGTCTGACGCTGCCCTTCTCCATACAGTTCTGTGTACCACAAGTACCAGGTCATGAGAAAATGACATATAATGTAAATACTGGTGACAAGTTCTTATTTCAGTCCAAAACACATCACTGAGAAAAATTTTCAAAAGATTTGTTTTCACAGTTCAAATTTCCAAATGATCGGCTTATCATTGAATTAAAAAATCATCAATATACACAATGACAGGCATGAAGTAAATACTTTTCAAATATAAAGAAGACAGCCTGATTTCAAATGTGTCTAAAACTAGACATGTTGGAGCAACATGAATGCCAAACCGGCACTCCAGGAGTAGTTTGAAATTTTCAATGCTATTGGCTCTGTTAAAAGGTGACTAATAGAACAGCACTAACATCACACATCTTTGGTCGTAGAAATTATAAGAGTGTTTGCCAATGTTCTGACGATGGCTAGTCTGAATCAATCGGAGAACACATGATTGACAGATAAACGATGTGTTTCTCATGTTTTTATGCCTAAACTATCAAGTGATGCTTTGGAAATGAGTGAAATCATCATACAAGCGATAGGATTTACTTTGTTTTCAAAATTCTGTAAATTAAACCAAATTAAATGCCATTAGCTCAATGGCGGCCGTGAACATCACACGACATCTCATTTATCTTTGATTGAATATCATGGCTTGTAAGTATACGATTAAACTTTAATCAGTGTCTAGTCTTTAATTAACCTCGTAACACAGAACTGATAATTGCAGGTTATCATAAACCGATTGTCAGGTAGCACTTTTCTTTGAATGTGTGAAATTGTGTCGCGGGGCGAAAATACCTGTACAGTGCAGGAATATGTTCTGTTCGAATCTTGAGGTGTCAGTTACTATGTTATCATAGCTTATGGTCTGTGAAAAAAACTTTGATACATCAGAAAGTTTGATTTATAAAACTTTGATTCATTAAGGGCTAAGTTAGTAGTAATATGTAGGAATAAAATACCAGACAAAAACTTTGATACATTGAGGAATTTGAATTATTGAAGTTCAATTCATAGAAGTTTGACTGTATATCTTTCCAAATTACCTATCTGCACTTTGTACAGTGTTGAAAAAACTGTTGTGAAGAAAGTTGTAGAATATTTCCCAGCATTCACCAAATGAGGAAAGGCAAGCTTAGTGTCACGATAACGACGGAGACACTGGGCAAATCGGAACCAAGCAGGAAGACAGCTTACAACAGCACGGATTCCATATTTATTCATAGTGCATACACCAGGAGCTGAAGTTGTCAACAACACAAATACTTGTAATTATATTCACAATACATAATAATCTGGACCTGTATCTATCAAATATTTTACAGGATCATTTAATGTTGTAACTACAGATTATTTGCAATAATATTTATTGTTGAAACATATGTGTCATTTATTGTATAATTTAGTGTTGTAACTACAGAATATTCACACTATTAGTTACTGATGAACTATATATCATTAACTGTATAAGTTAGTGATGTAACTACAAAATGTTCACACCATTAAACACTGATGAACCATATACTATTTACTGTATAATTTAGTGATGTAACTACAAAATTGCTGAGCTATATGTGTTATTGACTGTATGATTTATACTGTAACTACAGAATGTTCTCACTACTGATGAAACTCTGTGTTATTTACAGAATTATTGCCGTAACTATCGAAAATTTACAATACCATAAGATAAAGCATACTTACATGTACTTGAGAGCCAGTCGACTTCAAATGCATAAAAGCATATGAGGAATTCAAAGTCCAGTAGAACTGTTGATAAGCTGTTGAGCTGGTCAGCCAGCCAAAAGTCTGCAAATCCTACTTTGTAAAATGGTGCAAGAAAAATCCGCTTCTGAAGATACAAATCAACAGAGAGAAATTTGACACATATCAAATGAAAGAACTTTCTTACTGAAACAAGACGCCTAGAGGCCAAAAAGGTCACCTGAGTGAACTCAAAAATGGAATGCACAGGGACAGAAGAGTTTTACCTTAAGACCTTCCTATCCATGAAGAGCATTTGATTATAACATCTTTGGGTATGGATAAAAAATTTCAAATTTCATTCAATTTATCCTTTCTGTCATACCCATCAATCCCTGGGGGTCAGCAAGAGTAAAGCATCTTAAGACCCTTCCATCCATAAACCGTATTTCATTCTATTTGAGTATTGACAAGAATATTCTTGAAATTTATTTGACAATTTTTGACCCTTCCTCTCTTGCTCCTAGGGGGTGGGAACCATATAATTTACAATTTTGGTTAACCTTTGGTCATTGAAATTTTCTGACAAGTTTCACTGAAATGAAATCAGTGGATTTCCAGGAGAAGTAAAAAAGTTTACATATACAAGATGGACGACACCTGATGTAAGGGCATCTAAATAGGTACAGGAATACTTACCAGTACTGTGAGAAGCCACATACGTGAACTTTTATGAAGAATTGGTAGAGGATTGATGAGGAAGATCAATACAAATCCTGTCAGAGACAGTGGGAACACAAACGCTGGAATGTGGAGCGTATCACTAAAGAAATAACACAGCACACTTATAGCCCATAGTACTGCCAACGAAGATGCCAGCTGTAAAGTAGTAAAGGGTTCATAACATTATACACAAAAACTACTTCTAACACCAGAGAGTCTATAATTTTATTAGTTCCAGGGAATTTAATACTGATTTCTACCTCAAACAATAGAGACTCTACAGTATCATTGGTTACAGAACTGAATTTTACCTTTAACACAAGAAAGTCTACTGTTTTACTGGTTACAAAGAATTCAGTACTGATTTTTATCTCCAACATTAGAGAGTCTACTGTTTTACTGATTACAATAAATCCAATGTACCTCTAAGAGCTGTTGATGAGAAAGATGATGTCGAGGATCAATCTCAAAGATGAGAACATGATTGACTCCTGATGACCGCCAGCCATATGTATTGATCCCGAGCAGGAAAATCATCTGTATAATTAGAAATATCCCTCGATACATCCGTAAGGCTGGCTCCCAGTTCTCAGAGTGGCCAGAGAAAAATGCTGAAACAGATATCATTAAATGCTAATGTGAGAATCTTTTGACTGATAATTTTTGCTTGAATACCTCATGTAACAATTAAGTTTCCATTCAGAACAGGAGGCCCAGAAGACTTCCCCTCATTTTGTCAGACCCTTTCTATAAATGTCCTGTCACACAGGGATGCTCCAGAAATAACTGTCATATCATTACAATTCCTTCATGGGAGAAGGCTCTTAAAGATTTACCTCTCTTTCAATAACTGAGCCCTTTCAATTAATCCTGAGAAGTCAAACCCTTCATCAATTGCTGTGTTCCTTTCAATCAATTATTCCCTTTACTTCTCACAACACTCAAATCCATTTTTTATAAATAGCATTTCAAACACATAATCATTGTAACAGAGACTGTTACATATGTCTCCCACACAACAGCATACAGTTGTAATTGATGTACATATTGTTAAGTTAAGATTGATAAAATATCATGAAAATTGATCAATATTTGAAGTTCAACATGTTAGTTGTTAAACTCCATCCAGTTACTTTCAAGAAATGTGTCAAAAACCTCATGGAAGAAAGTGGAAGAAATTTTTATGTTAATGATCTGAGTGACTACACTTAAAAAGAAACTTGTTTATGGCTGGGGGTTCGAAGCTCAGGCGGTATACTTTTGATTTATTATATTTTTATGATTCATGTTTACATACTTACTTTCTCCTTGAGTCTAATATTTTTCGACAATGAAGCTGGTGAATACCAAACCATTTACTAAAATTATCATTCAGCACACAGGATTTTGTATGTTTCACCAAGACCACTGTATCATTTATCAACCAACCTCTTGGCCAATTTTACGATACTTTAACAAAAAACAATTATAATTTCTTAGACACTGTTGCATTTTAATTGCACTCATATGTAAATACATATTAACGATACACTTGCAAAAATAATGATACTAAGAAATGGAGCAAAATCAGTGTGAACAAACTTACCAGTTAGCACGAGAACCACAGACATCACTGAGAACCATCCAAAAAACAGCCCCACTCGGAAGGTTGTCCATGGTGATTGCTAAAACAGAATTGTTAACACTTGATACTTATATTTTTAACAAATGATGAAATTACTGACACAATACAGTAGACTTACATTTACATCAGAGGTGATTGTAAATGTAAAATCAGAAATAAAAGACATCTGTAAACAATTTTCTATCCATCATATCAAGGAAGCTTTCCGAAAACTTAACAGCAAATTAAGTCATTGGTGTTTTATGACTGCAATACTAATGTCCTGAACCAAATAAACTACCTTGACACTTGACTTTAAAATCAGAAGATATCTGACAACCAGGAAAGTCACCATGTACGGTAGACTTATTGACAGACAAAAATACAGGGACATCTGACTACAAAGGAAGTTACCATGTACAGGTAGTAGTACAGACAGACAGATAAAGGTACAGGGACATCTGACTACAAAGGAAGGCACCATGTACAGGTAGTAGTACAGACAGACAGATAAAGGTACAGGGACATCTGACTACCAAGGAAGTTATCATGTACAGGTAGTAGTACAGACAGACAGATAAAGGTACAGGGACATCTGACTACCAAGGAAGTTATCATGTACAGGTAGTAGTACAGACAGACAGATAAAGGTACAGGTACATCTGACTACAAAGGAAGTTATTATGTACAGGTAGTAGTACAGACAGACAGATAAAGGTACAGGGACATCTGACTACAAAGGAAGGCACCATGTACGGTAGACTTATTGACAGACAAAAATACAGGGACATCTGACTACAAAGGAAGTTATTATGTACAGGTAGTAGTACAGACAGACAGATAAAGGTACAGGTACATCTGACTACAAAGGAAGTTATTATGTACATGTACAGGTAGACAAAGGTACAGGGACATCTGACAGATAAAGTAGTACAGGGACATCTGACTACAGACAGATAAAGGAAGTTATCATGTACAGGTAGTAGTACAGACAGACAGATAAAGGTACAAGGAAGGCACCATGGACATCTGGACATCTGACTACCAAGGAAGTTATCATGTACAGGTAGTAGTACTGACAGACAGATAAAGGTACAGGGACATCTGACTACAAAGGAAGTTATTATGTACAGGTAGTAGTACAGACAGACAGATAAAGGTACAGGGACATCTGACTACCAAGGAAGACACCATGTACAGTAGACTTATTGACACAAAAATACAGGGACATCTGACTACAAAGGAAGTTACCATGTACAGGTAGTAGTACAGACAGACAGATAAAGGTACAGGGACATCTGACTACCAAGGAAGACACCATGTACAGGTAGTAGCACAGACAGACAGATAGTGGTACAGGGACATCTGACTACCAAGGAAGTTACCATGTACAGGTAGTAGTACAGACAGACAGATAAAGGTACAGGGACATCTGACTACCAAGGAAGTTACCATGTACAGGTAGTAGTACAGACAGACAGATAAAGGTACAGGGACATCTGACTACCAAGGAAGTTACCATGTACAGGTAGTAGTACAGACAGACAGACAAAGATACAGGGACATCTGACTACCAAGGAAGTTATCATGTACAGGTAGTAGTACAGACAGACAGACAAAGATACAGGGACATCTGACTACCAAGTAAGTTATCATGTACAGGTAGTAGTACTGAAAGACAGATGAAGGTACAGGGACATCTGACTATTAAGGAAGGCTAAGCTATGATAAAACCATGGATTCAGGTTAACCTACTAAACCTCCATACCACTTTATATTTGAATATGATAAGTCATACCGTTTCTCCTAGAGGTGGCACTCTCAGCCTCTTCATTGCCTTCTGTCTGTTTCCTCCTTCAAGGTCTGATGTCACACTGTTCTGTAAATATAGAAATGGTAGACAATATTGTGACTGGACACTGATAATACCTTGCATGGAAGGAAGACAGCACTCCTTAGTTGTATGAGATACCTCTATATTTACTCTTTTGTTATTAAGCTTTCCCAAATCTAAATGGTTAACATATTGACGTCATCATGGTCAATATTAGCTATCTCTGACTAGCTATAGTAAAGTGTAGTAAACTTAGCTTTGTCTGATTTTTTATTGCAAAGTTATTTTTAACTGACCTTTTATTGTTAAATCAGCTATTTCTGGTTTTGAATTGTAACTTTTAATTTTTAATTGAAATATTTATTAAAAATGTCAAAAATGTAAAGCATTTGCCTGCTTTCAGCTCTTTCCTGATGAAACAGCCCACTTTCTTGTAGAAGGGTACAGTGTCTACATGAGCTTTCCTATACTCTCCCAACCCTTATATATATTGTATGCTGTAACACTTACCTCTGTCTCTGTGATAAGGTGGTCAACTTCCTTGTTGGTGTAGAAAGGGGCAGCATCTACATGAGCTTGTCTCCACTCTGTACCCCTCTGTGTTGACATCAGCTGTTGAAAAAAACATATGTAGATTATTTCTAAACCTCAGATTATTTTTATAAAGAGATAATATATCATGATTTGATATTCTTCTGTAATACAGTGTATCTCAGAACCATTTGCATGACTGACCAAAGATTGTTCCACTGGTTTTTCATTATTGACACTTAATGCCTGACCGACTTTAGCTTGTTCCATTCTTGACTCCAAATGCCTGACCTACCTCTGCTAATTTAACTTAACTCTCATTCTGAACCCCTGAATTCCCTGTCTGATCTTCCATGGCAAGTTTAACCTAACTCATACCCTTTGATCCCTAAATGACTGTCTGACCTACCAAGGTCACTTTAACCTACCTCTTACCTTTTGATCTCTAAGTGTCATCTGACCTACATTGGCTGGTTTACCCAACTTGACTTCTGACCCTTTTACCCTTGAATACCCATCTGACATACCTAAATGGTTTTACCTTCCTTTCATTTATGATGCCTGAACTCCCTACATGGCATACCTAAGCTTGTTTAGCCTACCTCTCCCTTGACCTCTCAATACCTTACCTGGACTGTGTAACCTACCTTGTCATGTTTTTTGAGGATCTTTCTGAAGCCTGTGAAGTTTAGTGTCTGGTAGTTCTGAAGGAGGATGAGTGAAAGGTAGAATTCACTGAAGGCCAGTTTGAGATCATGGAGCTTTCGTGTATGGGCTACACCACTAACTTCCTTGTCCTTAAACAAGGTCTTCACACTAGCCCGTCTCTGGCGCAGGCCTACTGTTGATGGTTTGTGAGCATGCTCATGGTAGGCTTCCATCTCGGCCTTCAGACTAGCATACTTTCTATTGGCCTCGGAAATTTTTTCTTCAATAACAAATTGTATCTTTAATTACAGAGAATTATTTCAACTTAGCTCATGCATTAAGTTATTCAATAAATGCAGTAATGAGTATTAAAACAATTATACATTATCAACTAAAAACTTACCATAGAAAAAGGTGTTAATTTTAGCCAATTCCTTGTCACAGAACTGGAAAAATCTCTCATCAAACCTTGCCAGAAATCTCTGTATGATGGTCTGGTCCGTTACTACAAAAAAAGAATTACTTAATATAGGATTAACTTAATTTCAAAAACACTATGGTATACCTGTCATAAGTCTTGATGTAATAATTGAATAAGAATTACAAAATCCATTTATCTCTGAACACTTTTATGAAATTCTTCAGGATACACATATATCTTATGAGACTTGAAAAGTTTGCAATATTTTTCGACGTTGTACAACATCCAACAAAATCCTCTTTCAAATCAAACAAAAACAAAAGCCAGTAGGCCTGTCATATCTTATAAATTCAATAAAATTTGTATAGACATTTCAAACAAAGATCCAAACAGGTACCAGGAAAGAAAATTAGCACTTAGAAATTAAACACTGTCAATCAACATATAATAAAAATTAATGAAAAGAATGTTTAATTTGTTCTTTCCGGTCAAATATTTTGTTTTCCTTAGTGTTAAATTTATTTAAGTATCTAGTTATTTTGGGGGCTTTCTTGTACTTATTTTGGAGTGTTTAGTATGTTTTAGTGTTTAGTTTGTTGGATATTTAGTTTCTCTGAATGTCTAGTTTGTTTTAGTGTTTAGTTTATTACAGTGGACAAGTTGTTGGTTGGGAAGGGGTTTACAATAGTTCTGAGTCTGATTGAGTGTTCATCACTTTGATTAAGTTTCAATTTGAATATTCAGTTTGTCTGAGTGTTTCGTTTCTTTGGGTGTCTAGTTATAAATTAGCTTGAATGTTTAGCGTGTGTGTTTACCTTCAGCAGATGGTGACTGCTCTTGTGCCTCATACAGCATTTCCTTCATAGCCTGTAAACAAATCCAATCAGTGTAATATTATGTAATCTATATTGTATCAATGGTTAAGTTATTCTTTTTCCAGGAACACGTCTAGTCTGTTTAATCTGAAATATACTAAGTGTGGTACCAATCCATGCATATCACAATATACACTGATATAAATTTCCGCAAAGAGAATCCTTGTAACTCTTTATATCAGAACTTGGTCTCCAGCTCACAGATCTAGAATGCATATACAGTCAGTCTTTGTTGTCTTGAAATCTGATGACAAGATTGTTAAATTAAATTATATTTCAAGTCCTGGTCAAAAAGTTCATACAAAGTCATAAACATGCATAATTCAAAATTGGAAAACTTGAAAAACTTGATAACTAGAAATGAAATATTAGTCCTGATACCAGAAAGCAGAGTCTACATAAGATTGCTTCTCATTGTGAAGTGGTAATTCTATCCTATGGTTCTCATCTTTTCCTTGTTATGTACAATTAAGAACATAGGATAGAGGGACAGGAAGCTGTCTGCATCTCTTTGTAAATCTATTGCGAAGAAATTTGAGATATCTAGTCTTGCCGTGTTCTTGTACCAGATGGTTTCTCCAAAAGTACCCCCAATGTGTTTTCAAAATAAACAGTAGTGGAAAGCTTAACAATTTTCAAAAATTTATTGAGCTAACTATTGAGACAAATAATTTATGTGAACTTTTGATTATTTTCTAAACAAAACTGATGTTTAAGCTATTATCACTTGAAACACCACCCTTTACTGTTTACAATTTTCAGACAGAAATATGACGAAAATAATTCTTAAATAAATGGCATTAGAAAAGTCGAGTGGTTTTCTGTTTTACTCATGTCAGTTTTATGATACATTATTTCAATTTATCAGCATTACTTTTGTTACAAAAAATGATATTCACTTCTCGCTGACCAACAAAATGGCTCTGAGCAGGCCAGTGCAAAGTCTACACTTACTACAGAATAGAAGTTAATAGGGCATAGATAGATAACATTAGATAACTCTAAAGAGTGGAAGGTTTGATGACTTCATAGCTCAGTGAGCAAACACCAAAGATAGGTTTCCACTGGGCCTAGTTTTTTCTTATGTTTTTGTATTACAAAAATGCCGTATATTTTTCCACCACATCCTTTTGAAAACAGTTTTTGATTTGTGATAATTAATTTCAATAAAAGTTTGAAGTTTAGGATATTTTCATGACAGCAATCAAATCAAAACATCGCCAATGTTGAATAACATATTACCTCATACTGGATGTACTGCTTCCTCCACTCTGGAGTGATGTGCGCACCAAGATGTTCCGCAAATTTCATTTTTGCAGGCTGTCTTCACCAACTACAAAATATTAAAACATCACCATCTAACTAGTCCCTCACAAGAGATCCTACGTACATAAAGCTGTACTATTGAACAAGCAGAAGAAAATGTTGCTTACCAAATGTTGGGTGGAATTACAGTTAGCAACTTCAGGTTCTAAACAGAACTGTAAATATATCTCAAGTGGTATGTGTATTAGTATTGTCTTCAGGCAAACTGTTTGATGTTAGGCATACTAGTCTATAGATATCTATTTGTGTGAACAAAGTTCGATTTGGGGCTATTTTGATACATTTTCATTTTATCTGTATATGATCTTTGGAGGAAACCCTGTAGGTATACAGCAATAAGGCAATATACTTTGTCTTCAACGCTATCGCTGGATGTAATCGAGCACAGTAGGCCAATAGTAACGTTAGATCAAGTGTCGGTTGTACAATGTAAATCACGAGATACATTACTCACAATCGTAAAGATATTTGTCAAATCATCCAGACGAAATATCAGCGGATCATGTTCGTCATTCGGACTCTAATGACACAGAGCAATCGACTGCAGTACCTCGGCATCCATATACCCGTATAACTTTTGGTTACTGTTCGTGTACTACGTCATCGATTGTGGGAAAGCACCTGAAGTGTGACGTCACAGGGTTACTACACGAAGCCAACTTGATAGCGTGTACCAACAATGGATGGAAGGTGTTTACGTCGGGATGTCAATTGGATTAAATTATCAGACGCATTCACGAAGACTTGAAAATGGATATGGACGTTATAGTAATTAAACTGTGTGTGTTTGTAAAAAAAGAAATGAAATGTATTCAAGAAATAGAAGGCATCGTTCATCCCCTCGCAGTTTACACCTGTCTTCTGATAACATAAATACCACAGGTAAACATGTTGACACCATTCCACGTGATATTTATCTTGATCTGGTATCATCGTCCAGACTTCTAGACGAGCGACTTCGCAGAAGATTCAGTGATCGTCATAAACATGGTAACGGAGAAGACCTGCCTACCTCAGAGGAGAGTTGCAACAGAGACTTGGGAAATGGATCTAGAGGAGATGGAGAGGTCGAGCGAAGTTCTCGTAATACAAACAATGTCGAGCCAAGAAGAGTCGACATGGACAGCTACATACCATATGGAGTCAGATCCAGACCTCCAGAGAGAGGCAAATGGCTAGCATACGCTAAAAATATTAAACCACGAAAACAGCGGGTAAGAATTCTAGTTCAGATTGTCATTTCACTTCCTTTTTCTGGAAAGAGAAAGTAACAATATGGGAGGGATCTATTACTTAACCTTTCTGTTGGTTGGTTGAAGATGGATTGCATACATGTGGAATGTATATAGACGGAAAATATCTCACAGGTCAAATTATTTATGTGTATCATGACTTGATCTATTTATTGATCAAATAAAGACAGAACACATACAAATGTGCTGTAACAAACTCTATTCAGTATAACATTCTCTATGTACATAATGGCAGGTTCTCTATGTAGCTGCCAGCTTAGTGGCAGGTTCTCTTTGTACAGACCAGCATAATAGCAGGTTCTCTATTTAGATGCCAGCATAGTGGCAGGTTCTCTATTTAGATGCCAGCATAGTGGCAGGTTCTCTATGTAGATGCCATCATAGTGGCAGGTTCTCTTTGTACAGGTCAGCATAGTGGCAGGTTCTCTATGTAGATGCCAGCATACTGGCAGGTTCTCTATGTAGATGCCATCATAGTGGCAGGTTCTCTTTGTACAGGTCAGCATAGTGGCAGGTTCTCTATGTAGATGCCAGCATAGTGGCAGGTTCTCTTTGTACAAGCCAGCATAGTGGCAGGTTCTCTATGTACAAGTCAATACAGTGACAGGTTGTTTACGAACAGGTCAGAACAGTTATGTGTTTTCTATTTACAAGTCAACAATGTGGCAGGTTTTCTATGTACAAATGCAGATCACAACAGTGGCAGGTTCTCTATATATAGGTCACCACAGTGACACATTCTATATGTAGAGGCCACCACAGTGACACATTTTATATGTACAGGCCACCACAGTGATACATTCTATATGTACAGGCCACCACAGTGACACATTCTTTATGTACAGGCCACCACAGTGACACATTCTATATGTACAGGCCACCACAGTGATACATTCTATATGTACAGGCCACCACAGTGATACATTCTATATGTACAGGCCACCACAGTGACACATTCTATATGTACAGGCCACCACAGTGACAGGTTCTCTATAAATAGGTCACTACAGTGACAAGTTTTCTATATATAGGTCACCACAGTGACAGGTTCTCTATAAATAGGTCACCACAGTGATACATTCTATATGTACAGGCCACCACAGTGACACATTCTATATGTACAGGCCACCACAGTGACACATTCTATATGTACAGGTCACCACAGTGACAAGTTTTCTATATATAGGTCACCACAGTGAGAAGGTTTGTATGTACAAATAACCAAAGTGGCATGTTCTCTATGTACAGGTCATAACTGTGGGAGATAACATTATACGGATCATAGCAATGTACAGGTTCTCTATGTACAGGTTACCCTAATATGTAATGATTTATTTACACAAGTTAAAGAAAAGCACATCAAATCAATGTCAACCAAAGAAAATAGTTCAATTTTTTTACAAACCTTATTTGGGAGTATTATTCTTGAACTCAACCAGCTAGAGAAGATTGCAAATATAAATTGCTGTATATATTCAGTCATTAACTAGTTGTAACATAAATAATTGACCTGAATTCTATAGCTTTCACCACCTGATTTTACACTTAATGTTGCTGAATATCACTTATATTACATGATATTGAAATTGTTGTAAATATTGATAGAGAAGTAATGTATCCTTTTAACTAGATATGATGGCGGCATGGTTTGTGACCTTAGTAAGTAGATGTGATATGACCTTGTTTGACTTTTGTAAGTAAATGTGCTATGACATTGTTTGACCTTTCAATTACCTAGAATGTGACCTTGAGTAATCTTTTTGGTTCGTTGTTAATGACCTTGTATTACCTTTGCAATTAGATGTGGTGTGACTTTGTATGACCTTTGTTATGAGATGTGATGTGACATTGTTTGACCTTTGTAATAAGATGTGTGATCTTGTGTAACATTTGTGATTTGATGTGATGTTACTTGTGTTCCCTTAGTAATTAGATGCAATGTGACCTTTTATGAGTTTTCATAATTAGATGTGATATGACCTCTTATGACATTTTATAATTAGATATGACTTGACTTATGTGACTGTAAGTTTTGTAATTAGATGTTGTGTGACCTTAGTAATTAGATGTTGTGTGACCTTAGTAATTAGATGTTGTGTGACCTTAGTAATTAGATGTGATGTGACCTTGTGTGACCTTTTTACATGTAATTAGTTGTTGTATGGTCTTGTCTAACCTTTGTAATTAGAAATGATCTTGAACAATCTTTGTAGATATTATAGCATTGTTACCATAAGCTGTTGGTTCTTGATTTAGCAAATATAATGATAATATTATAGAAATTAACTTTTAGACTGCTTTGATTTTCAGTATTTTTTCCTCACTTTTTTCTGACTTGTCTGCTGAAATGCTGTAATAGTGGACATCAAACCCATTTGATAAATAAATTAAAAGTATTATTTCATCACTATAAGAATGAAGAGCACATGTTAATGAATTACATCCAATTATAGAATTGATGTAGATTGAAAATACTGAATAATTAATAATGGTGTTATTAAAAATAAATATAATGTAAAAGATTTATTTAATCAAATTTTATTTATTCTGCAACAATTGTGAACCAAGTTTTGCAACTAATATCGATCACTCTTGTTGGCCCAGATTGAAACCCACATTGGGTCTAACCCTGGACATCTAGGTGAAAGACAAGTGCATTATCACTGCACTACCTGACCACCCTGATTTGTCATCGTTGCTATTTATAAATTATACTATAGATCACTTATATTTCACATGTGATTTATTTTATCCATTAGAACAGGAGGAGAGTCAATCACAAATTAAACATCCTTTGTTATTGTTTGTATAGAAATAATTCTTGATGACATCCACGCTGATTCGGTTACCAATATCGGAGTTCATATATCCAATAGTCCATCATTTGCAAATTCAAAGTAATTTCTAGAACACCATTCACGAAATCAAGTATTTGCAAATATGTCTGAAGAGGGAAGGTTGCAAAATAAAATATTCGCGAAATTGAAGTGATTTACAGTAGTCACACACAGCAACTGGTCATAAAAGTGTTATCTGTAATTAAGATAGATTTCACCTCTTTTACACTGTATTGAAGAACTGTATATTTGGTAAAGGCTATTATGATGTCTTTATTTACTTACCAAGTAGATATGTGAAAGTCAAGATAGAGATTGAAAATTAGATGTCTTTATATTTTTTTTTTAATTATTTGTTTCGGTTGATCACAGAATAAATTCGTGGTTAGATGACTGATGAGGATTTTTCCAGGGATCAGCTGATGTACGGGATAATGTGATCAATCAAGATAATTTCATTTTACATTTCAGGAGGGATCTAACCTGTCACAGAGCATGGAGAACATCGACATCTGTACCAAGTATCCAAGATTACAGAATTCTAATTTTTATCAAAATCTCCATAAGAAATATCCTCAGGCTTTTCAACGTCGACTTATGTCTGAGACCAAGGCACGCAGACCTCGGCGATTATTCAACTCAGGTTTACCAGTGGAGTTTCATGGTGATATTTATGACTCTGATGACACCAGAAGTGTATGTTCTGAAAGACCCATGTCTAGCTTAGAGCATGATTTAAGAGGATTTCTGAGCTATGGTGATCTTCAGCAAGACCGTGATTGTAGAACCAGTCCAACTCCATCCATGATGTCAGACCTCACAGTGAAGGAACGCCTGAATGCAACATCTGACAGATTGTATCACCTCTTATATAATGGACTTCCTCAAAGTCATTACAGAAGCAGCTATGATCCCGGACTAACTCCAAGGTCAGAGGTAACTCCAAGGGCACGAATGTCCAGGACCAGCAGTGTGTCTTCAGATATGCATGGTTTTGATGACCTTGACAACTTGTCTTCCCCACGACACTTGGACCCATACCACAGGATACTGGACTCCAATGATCTGTCACAGGAGGAACAAATACGCTCCCTTCAGCAACAACTGGAACACAAGGACAGACAACTAAGGACATACAGACAAAAACTTAACCTTGAAACAGCAGGTATGCATAACACTGGCTCCAAACATCCTGAGAACCTTGAGTCATCCTACCCACGGGTAATCAGTCCAGACTCACCTTCCGATAGTGCTATTGATGTAGAATCTTCATCAGCACAGTCTGTGGTCTCCATGGATACCAGGTACCACCACAACACGGACAATTCTTCAACAGATGTCAAATACTCAAATGGATCTGATAAATTACACATAAATGGAAATCTGCCAAATACTGGTGCTAATTACTTTGCAAATGACTTGGATAGCTTTACTTTCACTGATGTCATACAGGAAGTAGACGAGGATGATCTTACCTCTGATGTTAACTGTACACTGTCCTCAAACAAGGGTGGCATAGTGTCCTCAAACAATGTTGGCAATGTGTCCTCAAACAATGATGGCAATGTGTCCTCAAACAAAGATGGCACAGTGTCCTCAAACACATGTGGCACAGTGTCCTCAAACAATGATGGCATGGTGTCCGCAAACAAATGTGGCACAGTGTCCTCAGACAAGGATAGCAGACTGACCCCAAACAAAGGTTGGTATAGAATGTTTAATGTTTAGAAAGCATAGGAACTTTTGTTTGCTTGTGCCATTAATAATGTGTCAATGGATAAAGTCAAGGTTTAGATCTTTTAAAGTGCTGTGATATTATCGTGTCACGGTATTACCACACACAAACTTATTGACTGCTACCACAGACTCATTGACTACTTCAACATACAAACTTATTGGCTGCTTCCACACACACCTTTTTACTACTATCCTTCACACGATTATTGACTTCTGCCACACAAACTTAATGACTTCTACCACACAGACTTATTGACTTCTACCACACAGACTTATTGACTTCTACCACACAGACTTATTGACTTCTACCACACATACTCTTTGACTACTTCAACACACAAACTTATTGGCTGCTTCCACACACACGTTTTTACTACTATCATTCACACAATTATTGACTTCTACCACACAAACTTATTGACTTCTACCACACAGACTTATTGACTTCTACCACACAGACTTATTGACTTCTACCACACAAACTTATTGACTTCTACCACACAGACTTATTGACTTCTACCGCACAGACTTATTGACTTCTACCACACAGACTCATTGACTACTTCAACACACAAACTTATTGGCTGCTTCCACACACACGTTTTTACTACTATCATTCACACAATTATTGACTTCTACCACACAGACATATTGACTTCTACCACACAGACTTATTGACTTCTACCATACAAACTTATTGACTTCTACCACACAGACTTATTGACTTCTACCATACAAACTTATTGACTTCTACCACACAGACGTATTGACTTCTACTACACAGACTCATTGACTACTTCAACACACAAACTTATTGACTTCTACCACACAGACTTATTGACTACTAGCACACAGACAGAATTATTGACTACTACCACACAGAATTATTGACTTCTACCACACAGACTTATTGACTACTACCATACAGACATAATGACTTCTACCACACAGAATTATTGACTTCTACCACACAGACTTATTGACTTCTACCACACAGACTTATTGACTTCTACCACACAGACTTATTGACTACTATCACACAGACTTATTGACTTCTACCACACAGACTCATTGACTTCTAACACAAACTAGTGTGTCTTTATTGTATTGACTGCATCACACACAGACCCCATTATAATAATTGTAATATGTAAGAAATAAACAAGAAAAGACAAATATTCAGTATTTTTGTTCATGATTAACATTCCTAATTGGAATATTGATCACACTTTAATATCAGATAAGCATATCAGAGCATGTCTGTTTTCCATCATACCCAAGGAGATGACAGGTGAATTATATCAAGCTAAAATTTTAGGGGAGGGAGGGATAATGAATGGTTGGAGATTCTTTTCCACTGTATATATTGTTTACTGAGAAGAAAAACCCCTGCCAGTGTATTGTATCCAGTGGACAAAAGTCAGACCTTATGAATGATTTACAATGTCAATTTTACACACCATAAAGGTAAATATGGTTGGCCTAGGTTTGTCCTGGCTATCACACCCTGGTCAACAAAACTGTCCTAATATGTTATCAAAATATATTTATTCACCTAAGTCAACACACTCTGAATTCTGGGGACTTAACAGGGTGGTCAAAGTAATATTGTTAAATTACGTTGTGTCCAAATAGTTATGTGTAAGACACTTGATCAGAAATATAACAGAGTAAGTCAATATTGGATTGATGTGTCATATCAGTGGTGATATGATTCACAGGAATATTTCAAAAATGTTGATACTAGCTCCGAATTCAGTTTGAGATTATTTGTATGCTTATTAAACGAACAATTAACCTGTTGAATATGACTTTTTAAAATGAAAATTTCAGTTGGAATATTTCAACTGTCAGCTGTGTATGTAATTATTTACCTGTAGATTCCAATTCACTGTAATGTCATATTCATACCATATACCAGTAGTCACTCGGCACGTCCAGACATGATACATTAGAAGACTCTATAAGGCCAAAAAGAAAAGAAAATTTGTGTTTCTTGTTTCTGGTCCGTCCCTGTTCTTTGCTACCAACCTTTTTTCAACATTTTGGCAAAAATTTGATCCAGAAATGATTTTGCTTCGGGTTTTTTTTCCTGGTGATCCCTAACAGCACTGGCACTGGAGGTGAATTCAATTCAGATGCTTGACATATACCGGTATTTATACAGACTGATCTTTCTGGGCATATAACAGTTACCTTGCCATTATTGGTCTTAGTTGTTTTAGCCATGAAATTTATATAATCCATAACTTCATTAGCGTTCATAAAAAGCAACTGTGAGATCAGATACATTTCTTAACCATCTCTACTGAATGTTATAACTCTGTATTGCTTTGACAGATGTTGACCAAACTTTTTTCCATTTTTTAAAATTTATTTTCTTTGTATAACCCCCACCTCCAAACAAGTTGGGGTTGGTATATAGGAATCACCTTGTTTGTCAGTCCATCTGCTAAGACCCTTTTAAAGACAATTCCTTCTATACTGTTCAATGGAACTCCATTGAAAACTTAGCACTTGATAATACAGAAAAGACTCACTTTCGAAAATAAAACATCATCACAGATTGTGATATTCAGCATGGTAAATATTTCATAATACACACAGGCAATGCTTATACATACCTGACTCATAAGTATGAACCCGAATCCATATAAAGTAATTCAGAGTCGGAGCCAAAAGTAACTATTATCCATGCTACCCATGGTCTCCATTTTTTCTGGGCAGAAACAGGAAACACAGATTTTTTTTTGTGTGGCCTGATGTCTGAATCTATCTATAGATACAACACTTCATCAGAAGTCTTTATAATATCTATATCTATATAGATCTATATCAATCCATCAGGTGCTTATAACATCTGTATAGAGGTCGATATAACAACCACAGGAAGTCCTTAATATACCTTTTCCGTGGCATGAAAAATAAAACTCTTATTAAATACCCTTAGTTTTACAGTAATATTCTTAATGAAGAGTAAAAACAAATGGAATTTATGTCATTTTAAAATTTGACATATATTTAGGTAACATTATAAATGTCTGACAGAATTGGCAAGACTGAGCGTGCTTTAATGGTATTCATTAATCTCTATGTGTTCAAATTTAAATCACCAAACTAGAATTCAAGATCATTACCCTATAAACATTTAAATGTCTGAACAGTATCCATAATGTGTTTACAGAGAAAAAAAAGCAGGTGCTTGGGACAAAAGACTTTTTTGACTGACACCTGACCATATTTTAGGATGGAATTTTTTAAACATTTTTATCCGCTTGAATGATTTAACTTTGATATACTTCGGTACTGTCGGCCATGTCTCTCCTATAATTACCAGTGTTAATGTACATACAAAGACAGTGGAAAAACCTTGACAAGACTGAGCGATCACTTCATAACAGTTGGAAATGATACTATTTGAATAGTAAACTAGTGTGTGGACTGGCTAACCTGACGGACATGTTTACACCTGTAAAGTCCACCTCCAGTCCATATGTAAATTCTTCATCTACAACTCTATTGAAGGGACTAATTACTTTGTCATCAATTTCTCTAGGGAATATCTCATCCTTACCAACAATTCTTGAATCTCTGCATTTAAATACCTTTTTTGGGCAGCAGGGTATTAAGCCCTGAAACTAAGTCACCAGAGTTATGCCTCCTAGCCCCCCTCCCCACACACACACACACACACACCCACAACCCTCTACAATCTAAATTTGTCATATACTATTGACATGGTATTTTGTATTTACATTTAGTCTAGTAAACTACAATAACAGTTTAAATTACTCTGTTTTAACAATTCCCAGGTATACTGTACAGTGATAACTCCCTACTCAATACTCCATAGAATCAGAGAGAGAAACCCTGATAACTCCCTACTCAATACTCCATAGAATCAGAGAGAGAAACCCTGATAACTCTCTACTCAATACTCCATAGAATCAGAGAGAGAAATCTGATGGCAGATATACCTTTATAATAATAACAAATGTTACTAGTTATGGTTAATGTTATTATGTTTCAGACAATGGAGAAAGTTATAGTTTGGCCGAGGAGGGAGAACCAAACAAAGAATTGATATCTAGGTAGGTCACAAATTACTTCATAAAACATTACATATGTAGATACAAGTATGTGTGTATATATGGGTACAGATACAGTGTATATATGGGTACAGATACTGGTATATATGGGTACAGATTCTGGTATATATGGGTACAGATTCTGGTATATATGGGTACAGATTCTGTTAAACATGGGTACAGATACTGTGTATATATGGGTACAGATACTGTGTATATATGGGTACAGATACTGTGTATATATGGGTACAGATACAGTGTATATATGGGTACAGATACTGTGTATATATGGGTACAGATACTGTGTATATATGGGTACAGATTCTGGTATATATGGGTACAGATTCTGTTAAATATGGGTACAGATACTGTGTATATATGGGTACAGATACTGTGTATATATGGGTACAGATACTGTGTATATATGGGTACAGATACTGTGTATATATGGGTACAGATACTGTGTATATATGGGTACAGATACTGTGTATATATGGGTACAGATACTGTATATATGGGTACAGATACTGTGTATATATGGGTACAGATACTGTGTATATATGGGTACAGATACTGGTGTATATATGGGTACAGATACTGTATATATGGGTACAGATACTGGTGTATATATGGGTACAGATACTGGTGTATATATGGGTACAGATACTGTGTATATATGGGTACAGATACTGGTGTATATATGGGTACAGATACTGTGTATATATGGGTACAGATACTGTGTATATATGGGTACAGATACTGTATATATGGGTACAGATACTGTGTATATATGGGTACAGATACTGTGTATATATGGGTACAGATACTGTGTATATATGGGTACAGATACTGGTGTATATATGGTACAGATACTGTACAGATACTGGTGTATATATGGGTACAGATACTGTGTATATATGGGTACAGATACTGGTGTATATATGGGTACAGATACTGTATATATGGGTACAGATACTGGTGTATATATGGGTACAGATGCTGTGTATATATGGGTACAGATACTGGTGTATATATGGGTACAGATGCTGTGTATATATGGGTACAGATACTGTGTACATATGGGTACAGATACTGGTGTATATATGGGTACAGATACTGTGTATATATGGGTACAGATACTGTGTACATATGGGTACAGATACTGTGTACATATGGGTACAGATACTGGTGTATATATGGGTACAGATACTGTGTATATATGGGTACAGATACTGGTATATATATGGTTACATAAACTTGTGCAAACACATTGGATATGTGCAACATGTATATATGGATGTTATTTTTTATGTAAATATAGCTGTTATTGTCTTAATTTTTCATGTCCTGCAGTCCCCCAGAAGTTGATGTGATGATGCATGAGATAGTGCAACAGACGATGTCCAAAATGCCTTCCAGTGACCTTAAAGTGTCGGACAATGACCTTCAGATCACAGCTGGCAATGATCTTCAAATCTCACTTGGCAATGACCTTAAAATTTCACCTGGAAACAACATCCTTCAAAGTTCATTTGTGAATTCTTCCATAGAAAGTGACCTTCAGATACAAGCTGAAAGGCACAATAGTCTTAACGAGGAAATAGATGACTCAGATCCACGTCTTGGTATTCCAGAAGTGAAAACTGATAATGAAAACGTGATACAAGAACGCTACTATGAAAAATGCAAAAAAATTAAGTATCGAACTAAACGGCGTTGTTTCACCCCTCGTGAAAAACCTGGAAGTACCTGTAGAAACAGAACCCGAAGTGAGGACCAAGTGTCTGTCTTGTGTTCACCAAGATTTGAGAGTAATTCATTGACCAGCAATGATATACTTCAGAAATCTGATGTGCATCGCTCAAACCACAGTTTAAATGTGGTCCCTGAAAGACTGGATTTACGATCTCGTAGACTAGCATCTGAATCAGACATTACAAATGTTAGCTTAGATAACACTGGAATCTTTTTCTCAAAGTCTTCAAATCCTGGATCCATAGGGTCCTTTCAGTCAGATTTGTCAACAAACACTCTAGTGGCGTCACAGCAGACACTGACTGAGGACGATCTCACAGAGTCCTACCCTAAAGTAACTTTACATTCTCATTCACCCAGGAAGAAAATTCGCTTTAAGAATATTTTTAAGTTTAAAAAGGGTCATTATAATCCATCTAAGGTAGAAGCCAATTTGCCAGTGGATTTAGAGGCCATGTTAAAACATTCATCTGTGTCAGATTCACCATGTAACCAGGAAGAACATCAAAATTTCTACTCTGTGCAATATAAGAAGTCAAAACATCACAGTCATTATGCTGGAGAGGGAGAATCAAATGTTGGTGAAAGTCCTCAAAGTGATAACCGGGGAAATCTAACTGAAGAGGATCTCTCTGATGTCAGGGAGCATCTTTTTGATGTTAATGTTCATTCCCATCCTGTGAATGATACAAATGACTATTTAAATGGTCAAACAGTACTTGGACCACCTCCTTCCTATAGTGAACATCTGGAAGACAGTCAGCGGAAGACCGCTTATGAAGTTGCCCTGGTCAGTCTTGACCAAAATGGATTGGATATTGATGAGTTGATTGAGAGTGACTCAGACAGTGTATTTTCAGCCAAACCTGTAGTTATAGATTCACAGCAGAGAAAACAAAGTAGCGGGTCTGAAGTTCAGGAAACTGATGAGGAAGGCACAAGGAAGGTAGGTCAGATGTCCATAGAAGAAGCAGAGAAACGTAGAAGTGTCTCAGTAGATTCTGAGGATGAGGTATTTACGCAAAATGTCATGACGACTGCAGAAAGAACACCTGTACCTAACCACGTCAGACTGGCTAATCTCAGCCTGAACATGGAGAAAACAGAGTCAGAATTGGTTGATAAAAGTGATGTTAATGAAACAGTACATTCTGAGGAAATTAACAATTTTGCTGTTGATAAAGCCCGGGATATGGATGAGGACAGTGAGGGGGATACAACTGAAGACAGTGACAATCTAGACATAGAACCTATAGTCATTGGTGAAGTTGATGTAGTGTCTCCTGTTAATGATGATATGGATATCTCTCAAAGTAAGAACAAAGCAGCAGCAAGTACTATGCAAAGCAACAACACACAAGAAACAGTCCATAGAATCCAGGGGCCAGAACAAGGAGACCAGATACCAGAACCAGGCATCAGTACAGAAAACAACGGGAGTGAAGTCCACGGAATCCAGGGGCCAGAACAAGGAGACCAGATACCAGAACCAAACATCAATACAGAAAACAACGGGAGTGAAATCCATAGAATCCAGGGACCAGAACAAGGAGACCAGATACCAGAACCAGGCATCAGTACAGAAAACAACAGGAGTGAAATCCACAGAATCCAGGGACCAGAACAAGGAGACCAGATACCAGAACCAGGCATCAGTACAGAAAACAACAGGAGTGAAATCCACAGAATCCAGGGACCAGAACAAGGAGACCAGGGACTAGTACCAGACATCACCAGAGACAGCAATGACCATGCACCAGTCGAGGGGCCATATGCCACAGTGACTGTACACAGGGACACCAGTGTAAGCTCAGAGACACAGATTAACTCAGGTGAGTATTCTGAAACATGGTAATACCTGTAAGCAACTTCTTCTATAAAACCAAAAGGCCATGGCAGTGATATCTTTGGCACGGTATAATGATAACTTTTAAAACATATTAGCTCACTAGGCTTATAGATTGATATACCTGGTAAACAAAAATTTGATATTACCTACTTTGATTATTACTGATTTACCAATAGTATTTTAACATTAAACATTATGAGTAATCATATCAGTATCATATCAGCTTTGAATGCTACCAAGTTTTTCCTATGTCCATTGGTACCACTGACATTGTTGATTATATCAATATTTTGTTTGGATACATATCAAATCTATCTTTAGATTCCAACATCTATTCTGAAGTGGAACTCACAGATAAAACACAGGATTCTGACAGTAACAAAACCAAGGGAGATAATCTGAGAAAACATTTCTCCTTTGTAACAGCAAGTAGCAACATGGATGACAGCATTACTGTGTTGGACCAAAGTGCACCACCAATACCAAAGAGGGCTTACCAAAGGTAGGTAATTCTGTGTCAAATTTGTCACTCATTCATAAAGAAGAAACACCACGGCAGTCAAAAACAGTGTGTTGTTAAGTGTTTCAGTTTGTCAATTGACATATTTTTCTTTCTTGTTTTGATATGTAGTTGTGAATTATTACTGCATTGATGTTTTATGAGATGTATCCTGATATAAGCAGTTGACAATACATATAAATTTACAAGCTTCTGTCCTGTTCCTCACCCAGACCTTGTTGTTATGTTACAGGGAGGAAAGCAACCTAGTAAGGAGCAAAGAACTGAGTGTGTCTAAGCAGTCACTTACTGATAAGGTCAGGTCGTCTGCAAGGAGCAAGTTCAAGGCCATCCGAAAGGCAGTCAGTTTAGACAAGGGCCTCAACAAGGCAGGGACAGACAACTCTGATGATATAACAAAGGACAAAAACAAGGAAAAGAAAAAGTCAGGCTTTAAAATGCCTAAGATCAAGAATCCTCTACATTTTGGAAAGAAGAAATCAAAACCACCAATGGCTCCAGTTTCTAATGTAGGGAAAGAGAGGTACATACACTCACAGCACCCGTGTGCATTTGTGTTGAATTGGTATGTGTGTTGTAAGTAAGTGTGTATCATGTGTGTAGTTGTGTGTATCTAGCTGGTATATGAGTATATTGTATATGTATCCATCTGTGTTGTGTGTATATACATGTTACATGTTTGTACTTGTCAAGATGAGTATACAAAGTTGTGTGTTTGTGTATGTGTTGTGTGATTACATCAAATGTTTTGTGTGTATGTAAATGTTAAGTTTGTGTGTTGTGTGTATGTAAATGTTACGTTGATGTGTTGTGTTTATGTAAATGTTAAGTTGATGTGTTGTGTGTATGTAAATGTTAAGTTGATGTATTGTGTGTATGTAAATGTTAAGTTTGTGTGTTGTGTGTATGTAAATGTTACGTTGATGTGTTGTGTTTATGTAAATGTTAAGTTGATGTGTTGTGTGTATGTAAATGTTAAGTTGATGTGTTGTGTGTATGTAAATATTAAGTTGATGTGTTGTGTGTATGTAAATGTTAAGTTTGTGTATCAGTTTTTGTCAGCTGGTTGACAGATGTGTGTTGTGTGTATGTAAATGTTAAGTTGATGTGTTGTGTGTATGTAAATGTTAAGTTGATGTGTTGTGTGTATGTAAATGTTAAGTTGATGTGTTGTGTGTATGTAAATGTTAAGTTGATGTGTTGTGTGTATGTAAATATTAAGTTGATGTGTTGTGGGTATGTAAATGTTGAGTTGATGTGTTGTGTGTATGTAAATGTTAAGTTTGTGTATCAGTTTTTGTCAGCTGGTTGACAGATGTGTGTTGTGTGTATGTAAATGTTAAGTTGATGTGTTGTGTGTATGTAAATATTAAGTTGATGTGTTGTGTGTATGTAAATGTTACGTTGATGTGTTGTGTGTATGTAAATGTTAAGTTGATGTGTTGTGTGTATGTAAATGTTAAGTTGATGTGTTGTGTGTATGTAAATGTTAAGTTGATGTGTTGTGTGTATGTGTTAAGTTGATGTGTTGTGTGTATGTAAATGTTAAGTTGATGTGTTGTGTGTATGTAAATGTTAAGTTGATGTGTTGTGTGTATGTAAATGTTAAGTTGATGTGTTGTGTGTATGTAAATGTTAAGTTGATGTGTTGTGTGTATGTAAATGTTAAGTTGATGTGTTGTGTGATGTGTTGTGTTTGTTGTGTGTAAATGTAAATTATGTGTTGTGTGTATGTAAATGTTAAGTTGATGTGTGTGTGTAAATGTGTGTTGTGTGTTGTGTGTATGTAAATGTTAAGTTGATGTGTTGTGTGTATGTAAATGTTAAGTTTGTGTGTTGTGTGTATGTAAATGTTAAGTTGATGTGTTGTGTGTATGTAAATGTTAAGTTTGTGTGTTGTGTGTATGTAAATGTTAAGTTGATGTGTTGTGTGTATGTAAATGTTAAGTTGATGTGTTGTGTGTATGTAAATGTTAAGTTGATGTGTTGTGTGTATGTAAATGTTAAGTTGATGTGTTGTGTGTATGTAAATGTTAAGTTGATGTGTTGTGTGTATGTAAATGTTCAGTTGATGTGTTGTGTGTATGTAAATGTTAAGTTGATGTGTTGTGTGTATGTAAATGTTAAGTTGATGTGTTGTGTGTATGTAAATGTTAAGTAGATGTGTTGTGTGTATGTAAATGTTAAGTTGATGTGTTGTGTGTATGTAAATATTAAGTTGATGTGTTGTGTGTATGTAAATGTTACGTTGATGTGTTGTGTTTATGTAAATGTTAAGTTGATGTGTTGTGTGTATGTAAATGTTAAGTTGATGTGTTGTGTGTATGTAAATATTAAGTTGATGTGTTGTGTGTATGTAAATGTTAAGTTGATGTGTTGTGGGTATGATATTTTTCTTTGGTTTATGGTCCATATTGATTTGTTGTGTGTATGAAGTGACCATATCTCAATCTTGTTGCAGGTCCAGAGATCATGGAACAATCCTAAACATAAGTTTTTACATAGCCAATCACATTTAACCTCTCTTTTCAAGATGTTATCCATGATTGGTACAATCAAAACATAAGACAGATTTATGATAATTTTATGATCCTGGGGCCTGGTCTTGGCACTCCTAAAGCCATTTCAGCATTCCCACAGCACTCAGTACTTCACACCGCTACGATTGTCAAAGTTCTTAAAAGATCTTTAATGTATAAATGACTGAATGTTAAAAATCTACTGTTCTTGCCAGTAACATACTTATTACATTAAGTAATAGGGTTTACCACAACGACATATCTATCAGTTTGTATTGGGAATTGACTAATCTAGGGCATGTTGACCAGTATTTTGATGGTCAGTGACCTGTCTGGTTGCTATACTCCAGTCAACACTATTGGTAGAGATATACGACCAATGACATTTAGTGTTACCATACACCAGGTAGTAAAGATATATGTTCTTTGACCTACACTGTAACTGAATACTAGGTAGAAGAAGTGTATGAACTTTGACCTCAATTGTTACTCTACACCAGGTTGTAGAGATGTATGACTTATGACGTCATACGTTACTGTATACACTTTACCAGTTTAGAGATGTATGACGTATTTTGTACATGTAAAAATGTTTAACGATATATAACTTATGACCACTAGTGTCAATATGCCAGGTAATTGAAGTATATGACTTTTGACCTTTAGTGTTACTGTACTTGTACCGATATACAAGGAAGTAGAGATGTATGACATGTGACCTCTATCGTTACTGTGTACCAGGCTAGAGATGCTTGACCTATGACCTCTAGTGTTACTGCTACACTTCATAATAGAGGTATATGACCTTTGACCGCTATTGTTATAACATTTGACCTCTATTGTTACTGCTATACCACATAATCGAGGTGTATGACCTTTGACCTATATTGTTACTGTATATTAGGTAGTAGAAGTGTTTGACCTATGACCCCTATTATGATTGTATAGTTTAGATATAAATAACCTGTAATCATTATATTATATGTATATTATGGTCAGTAAAATTGCTGTACATTTCAGGAATTGATTTTAAGATGATCAAGTACCTGTAGATGTCAAATTTTGTGAGATTTAATTAGTTCATTAAAAAATGTGCCACAGCTTGTTCAACACCTACTGCTCTCCACTAATTTATGGTGTTATGTATATTGTAGTAGTATTATCAACACAAAAATATCTAGACAGAAATTCTAAATATTTCACCTATGAAGCTTTAAATAGGAAATAAACCCGTAAATTTTATATCAATTCAATTAAAAGCATTGAAGTGATCATTTGTTCAATATGAAAGCTCATTTGTCTTAACAAAACGTTATTAGTGATAATACCTAATGAAAGGAAATACTGGTGATGACAAAGTGATGAAGTTTAGTGCACACATACTCTGTTTTTATTGATAATGTATTTGAAATAGCTTTAGAATACTAATTATTTCTGATGAAGAAATAACTATAGTTTCTGTAGTAATCTGACAATGTAATCAACAGTATATACTTATTTACACTATAGATATATAACAAACATATATATTGTGTATCAGAGTAAACCTCTTTTTAATCCAATTTTTTTTATCTGTAAAGTAAGAAATATTTGACAAAGCATGTATGTCTGAAGTTGTCCTGATCGAAAGACATTCTGATTACAGCTATGGTGACGGGAAAAGAATTATTGTTCATGATTTAACTTCAATACTTGAAATGTTTTAACTTTTTTTTGTCCGTTGACTCTTTGTTTTGATGATGATGGTACAACTAGGATACCAAGAACTATTTCATGATTTTAGCATTACAAGGGAGTGGTTTTTAGGTTTGATGTTGATGAGAATTACAAGGGAGATGGTTTAAGGTGTTAAAGCTATAAACATCTATATTTATATGTCGTTTGACCAGGTGATGGGAGGATTGTCTCTCGATAGAAATCAGATTTACATATCATGCCATAATGATCCGTCCACTAATGAGGCAATTCACTGAACCGTGACCTTGTGTAACTTCGGTGTAGGACTCCATAAAGTCTCTGATTTGCAATCTATATTTATTCAGATTTGTTTTAATTTATCAAATACAATGATGTTTATGTTGTTTCTAATTTATACTGTTGTTTTATAAATATACATGAGTGTATATCTTTTTTTCTGAATGAAAACTTTTTATTTCAATTCTTTGCTGCCATAATTCATGTATATATGTTCAACTTTTTGTTACATATTCTAACATCAGTACTGATGATGTCTGTTCCCTGAACACCTGTACTGATGTTCTTTGTGCACTGAACACCTGTACTGATGTTCTTTGTCTGTTCCCTGAACACCTGTACAGATGTTCTGTGTCTGTTCCCTGAGAACCTGTACTGATGTTCTGTGTCTGTTCTCTGAACACCTGTATTTATGTTCTATGTCTGTACACTGAACACCTGTACTGGTGTTCTGTGTATGTTCACCGAACACCTGTACTGGTGTTCTGTGTCTGTTCTCTGAACACCTGTGCAGATGTTCTTTGTCAATTCTCTGAACACCTGTACTGGTGTTGTCTGTTCTCTGAACACCTGTACTAATGTTCTCTGTCTGTTCTCTGAACACCTGTACTGATGTTCTGTGTCTGTTCTCTGAACACCTGTACTGATGTTATCTGTTCTCTGAACACCTGTAATCATGTCCTGTGTCTGTTCTCTGAACACCTGTACTCATGTTCTGTGTTTGTTCACTGTACACCTTACTCATGTTCTGTGTCTGTACACTGAACACTTGTACTGATGTTGTCAGTACACTGAACACCTGTATTTATGTTCTGTGTTTGTTCACTGAACACCTGTACTGATGATGTCTGTACACTGAACAACTGTACTGATGTTGTCCGACACTGAACACCTGTATTTATGTTCTGTGTTTGTTCACTGAACACCTGTACTGATGATGTCTGTACACTGAACAACTGTACTGATGTTCTGTGTCAATTCTCTGAACACCTGTACCGATGTTCTGCGTCTGTACACCTGTACTGATGTTATGTGTCTGTACACTGAACACCTGTACTGATGTTGTGTCTGTACACTGTACACCTGTACTG